TTTGGCCAGGCAAAAATCCCACGGGGTGGAGCCACGCTAAGCAGAACGCCCCACCGGTGGCACGCTCGCAAATTTTCCACGGGGCGGCCCCCAAAGTTCATTCAGGTCCCCCGGTCCCCCTTTGGCCAGGCAAAAATCCCACGGGGTGGAGCCACGCTAAGCAGAACGCTCCGCCGCTTTTCTTTGGCGACCCACGCAAAAACCCCAAGGGGTGGGGCAACGCTAAGCAGGGCACTCCACCTGTGGTACACGCGGAAACTCATCAAGGGGCGGCCCTCCCAACCCACGGGGTTCGTGTAGGTGCCCAACCCACAGAAAATGGGCCAGGGGTTCTCCCAACCTGCTCCGGGGGTTGCGTGCGTGGGTTTCTGCAGTCGGCGGGCTGCCGAACCCCTTCGCGCCAATTTTCTCGCGGCCTCAAAGAAATTCTTCACAGCAATTCCACAGAAAATGGGCCAGAAATCCTCCCAACCTGCCCCGGGGGTCCTCTGGCTGGGTTTCTGACGTCGGCTGCCGAGCCCTATGGCGCCACTGCAATTTTCTCGGTCGCGGCTTCAAATTCTGGCGAGCCAATCCGCAGGAAATATGCCAAAAATCTCCCAGCCTGCTCCGGGAGTTGCCATCGGGCGGCGGCTTCACTGAGTAAGGCCCATGCCCATACTAATGAGAAAGGGGGGGGGAAAGCAAGCTTTGCCGCGGGTGACCGGCTTCCAATTTTTGTACGAGCGCCGGCAGGAATTTTCGCGCCACCGCCACGCCGCCGAGCGATGGCTTCGAGCCCTGCGAGGCAGGGCTTCGCATAGGGGGGCCTCTGCTCGTAGCCAAAAGGGGGGGCCTTTCCCGGGAATGGCCGGGCCTTAGTTTTTGTCGGAAAAGAAAATTTCCTGCCATACCAGCAGGCGAAGGCGGGCGCCGCATTTACGCGCCCGGCCTCGTGCCATATCGTAGCGCGCAACTAGCGCGGGCACCATCCAAAGCAACCCAGCTGCACACGCTCCCGAGTGAGTACCTCGCGCGACTGATATGAAGCCGCGAGGTGACACAGCTTGTTTTATCTTGCAATTACTTACCTGACTCATCTGGAGAAATTAACAAAAAATACATACGAAAACCCTGCAAGACAAGGGAAGAGTGCGGGTTTAACGGTGATCGAAACGGGTCTCAAAAAGACGCGTAGCTCGACAACTTTCTCCCTCTGTGATTGTGGTTCGCAGGATCTTGCTTGAAGCAGATTATTTCATTGCTATCCGCAGGACCGTTGAAACGCATTTACATTGTAGGCTGGCGGTGTTTCTCCATATCCCTTTGGATCAACCAGCAACGATCTGCGATGCTTTCTATGGCACGATCCTGATGTTTAATGACGTAATAATACAGACTAAGGCGTCCACGCCTTGACGTCACGTAGCATAATCTTTGCACGGTCTCCGTCTGACGAGATCTGAGTGCCAGCTCCTTCGTCGTTTCCTTATGAAGCGACTTTATTTTTTTGAGGCGTGTATGATCCAGTCGTGTCGCGAATAGCTGTAACAAAATTTGCGGTGCTACTTGTAGCAGAGAGGTTTGCGCGCGCGGAACGAATTCACCGTGGCTTTTACTTGACAGCAATTTCAACTAGAGCCAGATCCATTTGAATGAGAACAGTTTCACGCGAGAGGCGATTTTTTTCGCCCACTCAGCCAATCAAAGCTCGGGCAGAAGCTCGCCTTCCCGTTATTGCGTCAGAAACCATGATATCTGCGTTGAGCTGATTTCGATTACCTAGTTCTGCGCTTAGTGTAGTCTAACAAAAAAATCATTGAGTGGGTTCATTGTGGGTGTGTGTTGTTTTACCTTCAGTTGCGATTTTCTCTTTATGGAGTAGCTTTCGATCAGATGGTTGTTTTTTATTCCGTCAGGTCTTGATTTGGTAATGAAAGTAATCAAAAGGTCCTCTTGCAGAGTGCTCACGAAAGTAAGTATACAAGATCAAACAACTAAATATTCGCAACATCGTATCGTCGTGGCTCTCTCCTGCCAATCACCGGTCATTCTATCCTGTTAGCCGGAAGAGAAAGATGCAGCAGCTGCACGCCCGTGCTTCTGCTGTGAGGAGCGGCGGTATGGTGCGAAACTCTCGTCCTTGCGATGCTCCCCATGGTATTCGTATCTGTTTACATTTCGATTCCGAGTGTTGCGACAGTTACCTACTTCGATAGTACATCTTCGCATCACACTCAAATCGGCCAAATTGCTGTAATTCTCCAGAACTCAACAGGGCTATAGTCTACACTTACCTTACGACGTTCGTGCGCTGTCCAATGGCTTCGATCCTCGCGAAAGGGTTGCCTGGTAGGTGGTCCGTGCGATCTTCGCCGTCCCCATTTGCATGCAGCTGTCGCGGCACTTCGTACTCGTAGGATGAAGAGCCCGTTGGTCCCCCGACTTCCAACGCTGCAGGTCCGCCCCCCGTATTCACTGCAAATATGTCTGGGTCGGGAAATTGAGTGGAGCTTGCATTCCGTTTGCGGCACGTCTTTGAATGTGTGTTGCATGGCCAGCAAAGGAAGACCCGTACTTTTCATGCAGAAAACGCAATTTGTGTTTCTTATGCGTGCCATGCTTCAACGAGCGTTGCAAAACCTTGTCATGCTTCGCTGCAAGTAGAATGCTTCGAAGTGATGTTTTCATCATCCACAATTCAGCTGCATCACAGCCACAGGTTTCCAGAGCGACACATATTCGTATTTCATACTCCGCTGGCTTCGCGGAAGCAGGAACGGCAGACCGAGAATATGTTTCTATGGTGGGGCGCTCTTGATTCCGTCGGCGTGTCCAGTGCAAATATGTCTGGGTCTGGAAGAATGTGAACTTGTATTGCGGAGTCTGGAAAAGCAAGGGAAAATCTGTGCTGCATGGTCAGCAAAAGATGATCGATTTTTGTCTCCGGAAGAGGGCAAGCCTCATTCAGACTAAGCATGGATAGGCCACCGAAGAATCATTCGTCATGCTCCGTGTGGTGCATATGCATAACTCCTTTTCCAGACCTACTTGCAGATGCAAAAACTGTGTAAGCACATGTCTGATTTCTTCAGGACCCAGACGTGTTTGCAGTGCGTAGCGTGCCTGCCACGATCTTTGTGTTGATTTCTCTCCGGCTCGTAATCGCGGTTAGATTATCCAGTGCAAATATGTCTGGCTGCGGAAACTTGTAATGCTGGGATGGGAATAACAATAGTGAATGCTCTTCGTCTTCAATGCGCAGCCAAGCACGAGAAATATCTGCACTGCTTGGTGCTGCGTTTTATGCATGACAAACTGCGTTTTTGCATGACAAGTAAAAATGTCTCTTCTTGGACATCACACATCACAAATTTCTCAGTCATGCCAGACAGGCATGACAGATCTTGCATTCATCCAGACCCAGACATATTCGCACTTCATATAGATTTCTGTTTCTGCGTATCAAATACAAAATTGCTGCCCCTTCCCTACTTACTCGTTCCCGATGTTTGCGTTGGTAGGGTTCACCGCGCAAATCTTTGCCTTGCATGCAAAGCAGCTTCGCCATGACAAGTCCCGCTTCAACGAGGAGCGTATAGTACGTTTTTCGTCAGTGGTACATGCAAAACGATTTTAGAGCAACGAACACAGGCGATTCGGAAATCTCTTTCGGTAGTGGGGTGGCTTGCCAATACCATACTTCTCTTTCTTTTCCTTGTGGCGAATGGCGTCGTCGTGACGGCTAACATCGTATCAACGCTACAAAAGCCCCCCCTAGGTAAAAAGTGGAATCCACTTCGTGACAGCATGACAGGACAGGCACAGCGCTACCTACAAGAATGCGAAAACTGGCATTACAAATGGCCTGCAAACGCATCAAAGTCATGAGTTTGAGGAGTGTGTATCTGTATTCTACTTGTTGCAAGTACTAGGACATCTTTGATGAGTACCTAGTCGAAAACGATGAAGCAGCAGCACGAACTTTTCAACTAACTAGGCGAGCAGGTTTATTTTTGTCTCGATAGGTCGTGCTTCATTTCATGAGTCCGGTCGCCTTGTTCGCGATGGCGGGATTTCGTGGCCTTGTTCTCCTTCTCGTGGTGCTTCATGTTGCGATCTTGAGTTGCTGCCTCCCGGTGCTCTCTGGCAGGGGGGGCTGCGGTAGGAACAGGTATTTTCATCGAGAGGTGGCGGCTTCGACTGTCCTGTCGCAAACAGACCGGGCCTCCACCATCGCCCGCGTCCGCCATGCTGGCGTCATCGTCGTCGTCGCTTTATGCGTTCGCAAATGTCCCTTGACGTCTGGAAGGATGCAAACTTGTGATGCGCGTTTCACAATACTACACACAAACCCCTCATTCAGATGCAGCAAAAGTTTGCCCTTTCCTGTCACTGAAATAGCGGATTTGTCATTCGGAAAAGGCATTGCGAGACCTTCGCACAGCCTGTGAAGATGCTAGGACTTCTTGCATGCCAGACCTTCTGGGTCATGCGAAAGCTGCATCACGAACCTCTGTATCCTTCCAGACATCCAGGATCGTTTGCACTGGATACGCTTTCGTGTTGAAAGTCGTCTGCTCGTGCGTGTAAGTCCGCACGATGTCCACTTGGTGGTGGCACTGCTCGCACTGCACCTCCTATCCCACGAAAAAGTGTGACAGTCAGTATACACATTTGCTGCAACTTCAGCATCGCATATTTCTCGTCTGCATGTCAGAGAAAACTAGCAGTGCAAATAGAAATAATATCATAAGGAAAAACACTAACACGTAAAAAAGGAGGCGCGAAAGCCTTTCCTGCATCACAACGGTTTTCGGTCTTGCCGGTCCTCGTCCAACACAATGTGTATAGTGAAACACTTTTTTCTTGGCATACCAGCGTCTTGCGCCGGAAGCGACCGCGCTGCAGAAGCGGGCTTCGCCACCTCCAGTCTTGTACAGGTCGTGCTCCGGTAGTTGTTCCGCAGTTGCTCGTTACCACTTCCTATCAATGGCAAATATATGTCTGGGTCTGGAAGGTTCTAAACTTGTAATGCTGTCAGTGGATTCTACAAAAATTTGTCATGCGGTACCGGTACTATCACAAAGCCTTCTAAAAATCTGTGATGCTACGGCATGCATCACAGACATCATGGCTCATGGAAAACATCATGCATGACAAATCTAGAATTCTTCCAGACCCAGACATTTTTGCATTTGATACTTCCGCTGGGAGTCGAGTCTTCCTCTCCAGGTTCGTTCCCAAAGTGCTCGGCGAGGATCGCATTCTCGACCGTTTTCCACCATGCGACGTTGGGCTTATCGGGAAGATGAGCTTTGGGTTCCGCCCAGCTGCACTTCCGGCGGTCGCGCACATAGAGTCCGCCCTCGAAGCTATCCTGAGTAGAAACGTCCCCACCCCACCACGTTGGTCATGCAAATTATCCGCAGGCCGAAAATCAAATTCTCATTGCATCGCATGCGCAGCCGCATGAGAAGCATTTTCTGTAAGTACTGCGTTTTGCAATTTACCGTGCTGGAATCAGGCCCAAGGTATAGCCAGTCGATTTGTCATGATCCCACACTAGCTGAAGACGATTACGCGGCGAGTCCAAGTTTGTCATGCGCAACAGCTAAAACTTCTTGTTGGCTTGTCGTATAGCAATTGTTTTCTCGTTATCTGGAAAGTGTACTATTCTTTTTCTGTTGGAGTTCGCTCAACGTTGCCACGCCCGCTAGGTGGCCAAAATGTGCATCTTCAAGATTGTCAGTGTATGACCAAAACTACTTGTCCTTGTCGCCTTGCAGCGGACTTGTCGGCATGCAGCAAAACTTGTGTACAGCAAAATGTTTGTCGTGACCAGGGGATGGGGACGTTTTGTTCAGGATAGAAACGTCCCAATTCGAAACGCATCTCCCCAATTTCACCTAGATTGAGTTATCAACATATAGTTGGTATACTGTCGTGATCAAGATGCCAAAGAATCGTCCGTCATCTTCATTTGTTGTGGTCTTGCAGCAATACCAGAGACGCAATTGCACTACTTGATTAGTAATGATACCTTCATTCCGCCGGCTGAGCCCGCACACTTTTTTATCCTGAGCAAAAACGTCCCCCAGAATTCTCACGCAGTTTTGCAGTTACAGCAAGATTTGTAATGCGCACCTCCACGAGAGACTGCCATTTTCGATTGTGTTTTTGCATTTGTACTGACGGTGAAAACAGGAAAATCAGATGGATTTTTGATACGGCTGTACTTGCCAACCTGCACTGCCCTACAAGTCGTAACTTGTCATGCGTGACTCGCAAAACTTCTGGATTGTGTTCAAGAATCCTCATCGTGACTCTGGGGTGGAGACGTTGTTACACAGGATATTTTTCGATGTCGGGAAAGGTGCCGGCACCCTCTTCCTTCTCGTAGTCCAGTTTCAACAATTTGACCGGCACAAACCCAGACTTGTCGTTGGCAGCCACGGCGCATGCATTGCAAACATGTCTGGGTCTAGAAACTTGGCATGCTAATAAAGTGTGGATGGCAGGCAGCCTCCAGTAGCACGCCCTGCATGGCAAGTTTTTCAGGGACTACTTCGTGAGTAAGGAGCATGACAAAGCCCCTTTTTGCAAGACAAACCGACGTCGCTGTATCGCAACGCGCATGACATCAAGTTTTGTTCTCTTGTCAGACCAGTATCACATGTCTTGCGAGTTCCAGACCCATTCAGATTTGCAGTGGATACGGTGTTAACGAGCAGGGTAAAGACGACCTCCCCTTCGCTTCCGTATCGGAGCACTTTTCCAAGCTGGTACGAAAAGTCGTTTTCCTGTTGCATTTGAGAAAAGACATAGGAAGAGCTTTTTCGTCTTGAGGCTTCCTGCTCAAAGAGCAAACTAGCAAAAAGAACATTTCTGTCGGAGCTATATTTTGTACTTAAACAACTTATTCACTGCTCTGCAAACCTCCTGCGTGAGCTCGGCATTCGGCCTGGGCCCGGATCGCCGCCTGCGCCTGCGGCGGTACTGATCGCGGGAACGGTAGCATCTTCCATTCTGCTGGTGTCCGTTACCTGGCTGGCCCCTCCCATAGAGATCATACGAAAAACCTATTTCACCAAATGCATGGCGCTTTGGCTCTGCATGACCACAGGGGAAACCTAACCTGCCATGCGTTCCTTCCCTGGGAAAAAAAAAAAACACAGAGAACGGCGCCCCGTCTTCAATTTTTTCGAGCAAGACGCCCACTTCTGTGCTGCATTCTCACAAGGTCGTTAGAGGGAAACAGGTTTTTTTTACGATAGTGCTGTCGCTGCTTGTATTCCGATCCCCGACCGCCTCCACCAGTAGATTCCAATCCACTGCCCAGTTCCACAAGATTCGGGTTTTGGCTAACCCGCTGCACACTGTTGTGGGGCTGATTGTCAAACTGAAACCCGCGCCTGCGCCTGGCACCGCGGTGATCGCTCATTTTGGGATAATTGCTGGTCTGAATGATCTTGGAGCGATGTGTGCTTGGTGGTGGTTCTTCTAAGATTGAATCGCAGGTTTTTTGATGTGGGAAAAAAGAAAAACTCCACCCAGTACCAACCTTTGGGTGCTGTGCATTAGGCTATCAAGTAGTACTTATCAGATGGGAATGATGCTGGACGTCGGTTCGATTACCCCGGGAGGATTTACTATCGCGTACGGTGTTTTCTAAAAGTAAAATTTCCGCTCTAGCCTACTCTCTACTTCTTGCTACTCAAACAGGCCGAGGCTTTTTGATTCTGAAGCCGGGCACTTCTTGACGCTTTTGACGGACAGAAAGACAAAACCATAAAAACAACCGTAGCCACGCGTCCTGGAAACACCATAATTGGAAAGAAAGGCATGCACAACCAAAACGGAGCAGCTGCAACCACTTGTCCTGGTGTTTCGGACTTACAGCAATTGAAAGAAATGATTTACTGCTGGGTGTGAGCTAGATCTCCGCACGGGGGGATCCATCGTCTCGGCTAAGATCTTGACTGGAGCATGGGGATGTAAATAAATCTGATTGGTGCTGCAGATCTTCAGCGTCGATCTCGTGCGCCACTTAGTGATCGCCACGTGCACTTCTTCCAGATTGGGAAGTCATGATGACGTGCAACGGATCCACAATGAAAATCACTGCCAGAAATACTATTACAGGATCTTGAGCACCACGGCATGACCGGGACCAACTGCTCGCAGTTTTACGTCTCGACAGACAGCCGCAAGAACATTTGGCTGTCGTCCTACAGTATCAGCTTCTTGAAAGGCAGGCTCTTGCGTACTTAGCCCGATAGATCCTTCTAGAAGCACTTCAGAAAAAAAACCTCGAGCCGATTGCTCTCGCGCGCGTCTTCTTTGCGTCCCGACGGACTTCTTTGCATGAATTGACTCACCTGAAAGGAAATTCAACTTGTCGTAGAAGTCTCTCAGATCCCGACGCACGGGAATGTAGTGCTCGTAGGGCTGAAAGATCTTGTCGATCTGGTTGTCGTACCGGAAATGTGCGCGAGACAGGACCTGCCCGGCGAGAAAGGACCAGATATCACGCAGAGACACATTGTCGCTGAAGTTGTACTATGTAAACCACCTATCAAATACAAAAATGTCTGGGTCTGGAAGATCGGAACTTGTGATGCTACCTCTGGACTCTACATAAAAGTCAAGATTTGAGAATTTTTGGGAATACAAAAGTGTCACGCATGCGAACTATTTTATCTAGTTTTATTTTTGGAGGTGGAAAGTCCTTGGGTGCCTGTCGTTTTTGATTTTGTTATCTTTTTGGATTCGCTTGTAGTTATCTTTTGGCTTTCACTCATAGGGAAATAGCTATGCGCGCAAACTAGAACAACACTTCGGCCCTTGCCGTCTCACCGTCAAGTACCTCTCTACCCGATGAAGTAGATAAGTAAAAAACCGCCAATCCCATGATCGGCCTGCGCATTCGGCGTTCCAAAAACATGCCCATTTTTGTTCAGTTCCACTGCATGCGACAAAACGATGAATCGGATTCAAAGGGATAGATCTGACAGCAACACTTAGACTAGGTCTTGGTCGTGGATGTCGAAGATTAGTAAAAAGGCCAAAAACAATACAAAAAAAGGTGTGCAGACTGATGCTGCTTGCGACAAAATCGAAGGTAAAGGTAAATCTCGACTTGATCCAAAATGGCTACACAGCCTTGAGCCAAAATGGCTACGGAGGACTCTACATAAAATTTGTATTGGATGAACAGCAGAAGAGGCGTAATTTGTGCTACACGGAGAGGGTATGTCTCATACTACGACAGCGGAAAAAATTGATGAGGAAAGAAAAAACGAAACAAGTCGACCACTCTCACGATTCGGAGTTTCTTACTTTCGCGCTTCTTTCATTGACAGGAGCGCGCCGCCTCATCGTGACGCCGTCGGATCATGGCGAGCGCGTCCTTGGCAGGGAGCTCGTTCGCTATGTGTCTCCTGTAGCCAGCCCCGTTCGTTCGTTCGTCAGCCTCGTAAATCGTCGACGTTTGCTCTGCTCCCAACGGCTCGAGTCCTTCCCTTTTGTGTCGGCACTTCGGCAGAGGAAGATGGTGGCGGCGGTACATTGGGTGGTCCCACTGTTCCGGGTGGGTGGGCAGCGCTTGTTTGATCACTTCGCAGCTGTATCCCCGAGAAAAAAGCAGGCAGGTGCTCGCAGCTGTAACGCAGAAATAAACACACAGAAAAATCTGTCATAGGCGGCCCCATAGTGCGCTATTTAGGACACGCAAGACAGATTTTTCAGTGTGTTCATTTTTGCATTTACAAAGATGGCCCGCCGGCTTTTTTCTGTGGGATACACCGCAGGCTCTCACCCGTTCAGCACAGTCGTCCGCGGCCACTCTCTTCCCATGTGCTGGAGGTCCATCCGCTAGACCAAGGGAGACCCGCAATATCTCCGCGTAGGCCTGCTTTTCATTGTTCAGAAACAACTCCAGCAGCAATTTTCTTTCCGCGCAGTGCGTCCTCATCCGCCAGTCTTTATCCCAGAGAAAAAAGCTGGCAGGGCACATTTGTAATGCAAAAATCAATACACAGAAAAACTTGTCGTGGGTGGCCCCATAGCATGGGACTTCGGATATGCAATGCAATTTTTTTTGTGTATTCATTTTTGCATTACAGAAATGCCCTCCAGCTTTTTTCTGTGTGATAGTCTTCCATTCCGATGAAGGTGCCATTGAGCCTCATGGCCACGTCGACGGACTTATTGTAAGGAAATATCCCGCCTCCCCATACTAAAAAGGAACAAGCCGCAGAAAATTTGCAATGCTGATGCGCGATCGCAAATCGGCTCCGTCTTGCAAGAAGGCAACTTCACAGGCTCCGCCGCAGTATGAAGGCGGTTTGTGATGCTGTTGCACCTACAGTGTGGACATTTGTAATGCTAGGCCCTAGGTCAAAGCCTCGCTCCCCAGGGTTGACAGATGCCTGCAGTCCTCTAATGCAAGACAAGTGTGATTTGTGTACGAAAATGCAGCATCACAAATTAGCTTTTCGATATGGGGAGGGGTGTTTTTCCTTTTGATAAAACTGCACAGCACTGTTTTCCCCGCCGACGAGGTTCGCCGGCTGGTCGCGCAACTGTTTGCAGTATGCATGACAAATGTGTCTGGGTCTGGAAGGATGCGACTTGTGATGCTACCTTTCGAACACTCTACATAAAATCTGTATTGCATGAACAGCAAATCAAGAGGCGCAAACGCAATTGGCGGAGAGGGCATTTCTCATGCGGCATGAGCACCAGAAAGCCCTCGCAGAATCTCTAATGCTAGGGCATGCATCACAGACCCCATGGGTGATGCAAAATCTGCATGATACACTCCTGCATTCTTCCAGACCCGAACATATTTGCAGTTGATATGCACAGTTTGCGTGGGATCCAGCCGCGCTTTTTCTTTTTTTCTTCGGCTTGGCCGACAAGCCGCAACACCAAAATTGGATCGGTTACGGTTAGCCCGAGCTGTTGTCGCGCTTTGCGCTCGGCCTATTACAATGAAACGCCCCCCCTCGTCACCATGTTCAAAGGGAGATTTCTTGTCTAGCATGCTTTGTGCAGCTCACAGATTAGTTTGTCACCCTAGAAGGCAACAGATAGAGATGCGGGCTGCAGTGCTTTCTCCTTCAGCATGGCAGGAAGCAACTGGAAGTAGCGGGAAACAGCATGACAAGTTGCCTGCATACGCAGCTGCAAGTGCGTCTCTTGGCCTTCTAGCAACACAGGTTCATAATTTCTGTGCGCAAATCTAGAGTTCCACATTGACTTTTCGATATGGGGAGAGGGGATTTTTCCTCGCAATACGGTTTGGTTAAGGGTGTCCGCTCTGTGGATATGGACGCGCGTCCACTTTGCCGTCAGGAATCGGAGCGGCAACGTATTTGTGTGGAGAATATGAAGTGCAAAATTATCGCACTCGTAGTAATTGCTGTTACGTACCTACAAACCTCTCTCCTAAGGTAAAAAAACAGCATCACAAATTGATTTGTAGTGCTGAGCTAATTCGTATATGCAACTTGTTGTACTAGGAGCGCGGTAACAATTAAATCAACTAACTCGGATCTCCGAGTTAGTGGCCCGGCCGTCCGAATCCGGGCGGCCGGACGACTAACTCGGGATTGTAAGTGGGAAAGTTTTTCGATTGTTATAGCGACGCCGGAGCCGACGACTTCGATCAGAGGCGTGCTTTGAAAACGTCCTGGCAACATATGCAATTCGTGCGGTTTTGTGCATAATTTTTGCGCTTTCATCAAAAAACGCGCTTCAGTCGGAAAGCGTGTAAAACTGTTGCGCTTCGTAAATGTTAGCTTCACGGCAGGGAATATTTCGCCATGACAAAACAGGCATCGCCTGCGTTGCAAAGAAAGCGAAAACGTTGCCCCGCCGATTTTCAAAAAAAACCCTAAGAGCACAAATAACATGCACAAAAGCACAAATCCGCATAGGGAATTCCGGCAGTCACCGACTGCGCGAGTTGCCTGCTAGCTAGTGGTCGCCACGAGTTACCCTTACCTGGCTAGGGAGCTCGTGCGTGGCGACCAGTCTCGGCCGCCCGCAAAACTTTCGCACTTACAGGCCCGAGTTAGTCGTCCGGCCGCCCGGATCCGGACGGCCGGGCGACTAACTCGGAGATCCGAGTTAGTTGATTTAATTGTTACCGCGCTCTAGTACGACAATTTTGCAATTCATAGGGAAACTCGAAGAACAATTTCGCGTGGAGTTCGTGCAGGGGAATCCGCAGTGCTGCAGCAGGTTGGTCACTGGTGTAGACGCGGCACATATCCACCTGTGTAGATTGACGTCCACGGCACCCCAGAGAAGTTGTCATGCGAATAAACTGGCAGTGTTCATCGAAGTGTGTGTCATGCGGCTCTCCACGAGAGGGACTTTGTAGCCGTGTTTGGAACAACAACAAAGCGCTCATGCGCTAATCAGGACAAGAAATTGGACTCGCCATCATGCGTTTCAACTAGCTATGCAGGACTACACTGCACCAAAAGTAGCTGCTAAACTACTTGTCATGCCGCGCGGGTCCGAGAGCAGGTTCATCTTGCTGACCCTGGGGAACTACAAGGGACGTCTTTGTGTATCCACCGGATAATGCAGGATGCCACTGGCTGCAGTGCCGAAGTAGTCCACGTATTCCCGGTCCTGAATTTCCGGATTCCGCACCTCGAACGTCATTGAGATCCGGAGCCCGGTCTCTTTTTTTTTCCCAAGTGCGTCTGCCGGCTCCTGGTGAAGACCACGGTCCTTCGTGAGGAGCAACCGGTTCGCGTTGCTGTAGAAGTCGTCCTATCAACCGCAAATAAGTATGTCTGGGTCTGGAAGTTTGTAAACTTGTCACGCAGGAGGTCTCCCATGACCCATGACCATGAGGTCTGGAATGAGGGACCTAGCGTGACAGATTCTGTGAGGTCTCTGCCATGCCTATCCTGCATGAGAAACTCCCTCGCAATTTGGTCGAAAGTGGACAGCTTTCGGCGCTCATGCAACACAGATTTTTGCATGATTCGGATTTAGCATGACAAGTTGCAATCTTCCAGACCCAGACATGTTTGCAATCCATACGTCTGTATTCTCATCATGGAGAAGCACCGCACGGACGCCGAAGGTGTAGTTCTCCTGGGTGAATTGCATTTTTTGCTGATGTATCAAATGCAAAAATGTCATCTGGGTCTGCAAGAATGCAAGACTTGTCATGCACGTTTTGAATGGTAATTGAGGTTTGAAATGCAAATCCTAGCATGACAGATTTTGTGAGGTCTCCATCATGCCGATTCTGCATCAGAAACTGCTTGTGTACTTGGTCGAAAGTGGACAGCTTTGGGTCATCATGCAACACAGATTTTTGCATGATTCTGTAATTACTTTGACAAGTACCACTTTTCCAGACCCAGACATTCTTGCATTTGATATGATGTTCCCGCCGTTGTCTGTCGACGGCGTTCTTCTTTTGCACGTCCTTGAGCGACAGGGCATCGGCCTTCTCCTTCATCAGGCGCTCCTTAATCGGTGTGACGGGCATACACGGTTCGTTTCCGAGCATCTGAAACAGAGTTCGTTGAGTATGGCGTTCTCAACTGTCACATTCTCCACTGTTATGCGACGAATTTTTTGTCATGCAAGAACAACAAAAGTGAGATGAGGACCGTTCTTGCGCGTCTCGCATAATACAGATTTGGCAAAGAAGAGTCCAATGGGGAACTTTGTTGTCATGCGAAGAAGCTTGATCGTGTGTGGCGTGATACTGATTCTGCGCGATAAAAAATTCATGTAACAGTTGCGAGTGTTTATGCTTGAGATGCTTATTCCCATATTGAATGTCCTCTGGAAGAGTATCCTCTAGAAGAAAGTGCCATCCTCTTTCGTAGCCAGGATTTTTGGACAGCTGTTAATATACCAAAATCCAGAGTTAGTTCAGGAAAATCCTCATGACCAGGTACTGTAGGTGTTCCGAGGAACAATGACGGACCGTTTTTGAGAAATCTATGTTGCTGCTCTTGTTTTCTTTTCTGCGGGATGAATTTTTCCAAAGGAAGAACACAGCGATTAGAAGATATACAATGCTTCGTGACATCACAAGTAGATGCTGTGTGAGAGAGATTAGTCCTGGCGCAGCCGAAAATAATCCAAATCTGCATGACCACAACTACATCGAGGCAGCTACAACTTCATTTTCCACAGGATAAAAGGGCTGGCGCGAGTTTGCGTTCGGGAATTTTCTGTCGTAGCTATCATGAGCAAAACGGTCCCCACCCCACAGTGAAGTTGCTAAATCTGCAACACAAGTCTCAAAGTTTTGGGCGGTATGCATGACAAGTGACCATCTGCAGTGCTGGCTAGCAAGGGAAGCCGCATGAAAAAGCTCCTCTCACTCTAATCCTGTTTACAGCACTACAAATGCCAACACATGACTGGAAATGCCTCTCATGGACATGCGCATTGCAAATGTCCCTGGCAGTGCAAATCTGCATGACAACGCTGGGGTGGTGACGTTTTTGCCCAGGATAGTAGCAGACCACCACCGTGTTGACCGCCTCGGCATGCATGCGACGGACATTTTGGCGCCGAAAATTCGCGAGCTGCTCCTCCTCGGTTGCCTCGAACCAGGTAGCGTACGCTGTCCCAGTGTTCTGGTTAGCCATTGCAGCTCTGTTTTTTGTCACTCTAGTATAAGCTTATCTTTGTATAATTTTGTTCTTCAACAAGAAGTGAGTACCCTGAGTACTTCGTTTGTGCATATCAAGTAAAAACGAAATAGCATGTAGTTCTTTCTACTCCCAGCGGAGCGCAAGAGAACAAAGGTAGGAAAATATATATGCGTAAGGATGATCACAGCGAGGGGTTGATAAAAAAGGCGCACTAGACTACAGAAAATGAAATCCTTTGTGCACAAGAAAGGTTCGTTGCTCGTCTTACATAACTAATCCAGAAAAGGTGATATGAACGAGGAGGTGAAAGAAATATTCTCAAGACAGCTTGCAACTTCGATTGAAAGAGAAGCATCGTTGCGAATTTTGCGAAATAAAGCTTTTGATACACGACGAGAGACTCCCTGATCGATGCATTCCGATCATAAAAATTCTGCATGTACACTGAAACATAAGTACTTAGCCGAGATCGTTGCAGATTATAGCACCGCGTGATCAAAAACATCGCAGATTTGAAGATCGGCAATTTCCTACGGAGAAATAATGATCCAATTGTTCATTTTTCCGTCGTGGCATCTCAATGGAGAAGCAAATGCAAACCTTACCAGTTAAGTATGATCTTTTCGACGGTACCACTGTCGATCACTAGCCGAGCAGCGTGCGCAACGCCACACACAGCTTGTCCTGGTGTTTCGGACTTACAGCAATTAAGAGAAAAGATTTACAACTGCTGGGTCGGAGCTAGATCTCCACACGGGGGGATCCATTGTCTCGGTTAAGATCTTATCAACTGTAAAAATGTCTGGGTCTGGAAACTTGTGATGCTGGGTGGCGTCTCATGATGAGGCCACAAATGCTGGCTCAGCATGACAAGTTTCTGAGCTTCTAGGTGTTGCCTATTCTGCATGACAAACTGCGTTCCTGCATCACAGAAAAACTGAGCTCTTGGGTAACGTGCATGACAGATTTAAGAGTCATGCCAGACAAGCATGACAAACATGCATTCTTCCAGACCCAGACATTTTTACATTTGATAGATCTTGACTGGAGCATGGGGGTGTAAATAAATCTGATTGGAGCTGCAGATCTCATGCGGAGAAGGCATTTCTCATGCGGCATTTCTCATGCGGCATGAGCACCAGAAAGCCCTCGCAGAATCTCTAATGCTAGGGCATGCATCACAGACCCCATGGGTGATGCAAAATCTGCATGATACACTCCTGCATTCTTCCAGACCCGAACATATTTGCAGTTGATATGTACAGTTTGCGTGGGATCCAGCGCGCTTTTTCTTCTTTTCTTCTCCTTGGCCGACAAGCCGCAACACCAAAATTGGATCGGTTACGGTTAGCCCGAGCTGTTTACAAACATATAAAAATCCACCCATTTGCATTGGAACACTTCTGACTCCCCCCTTACTATCGCTTACCACAACTACTACAAATACTGCATGAAGAAATAAAGACGGTAGGTGGCGCTCATCCTGCTTCGTCGCGTGCAAAGCCAAACAAGTTGGGTGGCATTGCGACGATAAACTCGGCGAGATATTTCTATCTCGGTTGTTCCGAAAACGGAATTTACCAACTTTTCGGAGACAGGCCGGCGCAGCGGCAGTGACCGAGGAGAACAAGAGCAAACTCTTGAAATTCGGCGACCAATACTACTTCCTCAAGATCGTGGCCCGGGTGGCAAACAGCATTCGCGCGAACGAGGGGTCGGCGGAAGGCGACGGGCCGGACAAATTCAAGCGTGACGACTTGAAAAAGCTGAAGAAGGACGCACTCGCATTGTTAGGCGACAACGCGGACGACCTCGCTTTCTTCAAGCTGAAACCCGTCAGAACCGAAATCGCATGGGGGTGTAAATAAATCTGATTGGAGCTGCAGATCTCGTGCGCCTGCAGCTAGGTTCCTCCCCGCTGCGGGGGCTGGTCGCCCCTGTCTCAGCAAAAATCACGTCCGCAGCCAGCCCTTCCAAACAGCAAACAGCAGAGGATGATCTTCAGCAAAACCCACGCCGATGTTCTAACGAGGACAGCAAATCCCGGCGGAATCAGCCAAAGTTCGTGCGTCCGGTCTTCCTATCCATCCCCACTCCAAAATCAGTACAACTCCACACCAGCAGCTTGACGGACATGGTTTTCTCATACCTTGCTACCAAAGACCAGAAATTCCGGGTGCGGAGACAGAGCGGGAATGAAGACAAGAGGCTATGCAGCGAAGATGAACTTTTAGGATTCTTACAGCTTGAGAGCCCCGACGTAGATTTCACGATGAACAGCATTCGGGATTTTTGTTTTCTATCAGAACAATCTATATCAATACGACTAGCACTAGCAGGCGAGAACGCCGAGCAGCGGCGCAGGGCGATTCGGATCGAGCGTGAGGGGCTTGATTCGAAAAGCTTTGCAATACCCCTGCCCGAGCCTGAATGGGCTCAGATTCCGAAGAAGCATGGGGGTGTAAATAAATCTGATTGGAGCTGCAGATCTTCAGCGTCGATCTCGTGCGCCACTTAGTGATCGCAACGCGCGCCTCTTCCAGATTGGGAAGTCATGGTGACGTGCAACGGATCCACCATGAAGATCACTGACAGAAATACTATTACAGGATCTTGAGCACGGTATTTCCTGGAACTGATCGCAGTTTTACGTCTCGACAGACAACCGAAAGAGCATCTGGTTGCATACCGAGTTCAAATCGAAGACCATCTAAAAAAACATCTTCAATCCTTCAGATCCGCATTACAGATTCTCTGTCCCAATTCTAGTTTTCTCAGTTTCTGATGCTAAAGCCGTATTCGTAAGCGTGCCCGTAGCCGTGGTTCACCTAGTTGAAGATAGGAAAACGGTAGTGCGTCACTCGGATTCAGTGGAAATCAGACTTACGTTCCGACGAGTACAAGAAAGGAACACTCAGTTCACAACAGCGGTGCCGCAGAGGATGCTCAGTTGTACATGTACTGAAAGTTGTACCGAGACCAGGTGGTGGACGTCTGTACATCTAGTCAACGTCCTATACTAGCAAAGATTCAACATCTTGTTCCGTGTGCCCGCCTTGAATCAGTGCAAGTTTCAAGATCAACGTGTGCATGTACCAGTATTTTGTCTCTAAATTGAACACCTCCTGGCCGAGCTTTTTGCCCCTATCTGCAATTTTCTCCGCCCAGTGGTCATTTGCCACGATGAAATTCAACTTGTCGTAGAAGTCTTTCAGATCCCGACGCACGGGAATGTAGTGCTCGTACGGCTGAAAGATCTTGTCGATCTGGTTGTCATACCGGAAATGTGCGCGAAACAGGACCTGCCCGGCGAGAAAGGACCAGATATCGCGCAGAGAAACGTTGTCGTTGAAATTGTACTTGTAAACCACCTGGTCCAGCTCCGAGAAGTACTTCTCCCCCACAGCAGTTCCTTCGTTCTTCTCGAAGTGTGCTTCAAAGTTCCGGTGCACAAAAGCGTTCCACGCTTCCCGATTCGCAAAAGACTCCGGTTTATTTTCAAGAATCTGTGGCAAGGCCTTCTCCGCGGACACGCGGCCCGGAAATAGCGCAAAGTCTTCGACTATCAACTGCAAAAATGTCTGGGTCTGGAAGGTTGGAACTTGTTGTGCTAATTTTAGTTTTTAAAAAAATCTGTATTGCATGAGCAGCAAGAGGAGCCCAGTTTGTGCTACACGGGGAGCGCATATGTCATGCGGGATTTGCATCAGGAAGGCTTCTAAAAATATTTGATTCTAGATCATGCATTACAGACATCCCGAGTCATGCAAAATATGCATGACAAACCTGGTAACTCCTAGACCCAGACATTTTTGCATTTGATATCGATCGGGTTGAACTCGAGGCTGCGCGGCCAACTTGTTGCTTTGATGTTGATCTTGCTTGCAAACCTGCTGTGTCTAGTACGTCTGGCAAGATGCCAAGCTGTTCTGCCTTTTAGTTACACTTCACAGAAGTCGCGATGTGCCAAGTTTGTCTATGTACTTCTTGCGTGTACTGCAATAGTACTTACCATAAGCCGTCGATGATCACTTTGTTTTCATCCCTCGTTATTCTTTCATGGTCGACTAGTAGACTCATTTATTCGACTTCCTACTCGTGCAGAGTACGGCGCAATATTGATGAGGGGCGGTTTTCATCTTCAAAAGACCTGGGCTCAATGCTATGCTTTGCGTGTGTTTATCCACACCCTCTGTTCTACTGAAGGATGCAGAAACAGCATGTCAAACGAGCCTGCTTTTCCAGACCGAGACATTTTTTTGCAGTAGATAGTCGAAGGAAAAGGAGGTTTTGTTGGAAAAGAGGAAGGGGTACTTCTGCTCCTTCGTTCCAATTTCCCGGTCTGCATCTAAAAATCGAAACTGCATTTGCTGTTTTTTCAAAATCGAAACTGTTCTGCGCCCCCATAATGCTGCTTCGCACTGGTCTGTCTTCGTTCCCCGTCTGTCTTGTTGCCTGCGTTCTTCTTTCTGGTCCCCCGTGTTCCTGTTCGTGTCGGTGGTCTTTCCTGTGTCGCTTGTTTTCCTTCGCCCCGGTTTCTGTTGTTCCTGCTGCTACCGCTTCTGTGTCTGTGCCGGTGCTCTAGTGCTGTCCTGGGTTTTCTTCTTGCTGTCCTGGTGTTTTCGCACCTCTGCCCGAGTGTTCTACGTTAGCTTGACTGCTTTTCGCCAAAATCTGCTAGTGCTAGTGCCTAAAATCCCGAGGCCCGCAGTCAAATCATCGTCATCATCATCACAAGTCTTTCCTGCTTCTTCCCCGAACACAAGCGGCGATCAGTCTCCAACAGCTAGTCATCCCCGCGACCCGATAGGAACGAAGCCTAAAACTGTGAACGCAAATTTCGAATCCCGAAACTAGTCTCAAATCTTAAATCCCGGTAGGTCAAATAGGTACTGCTACTGCAAGACGGGTCCGGGGTCAGAACTGCATCGATCGGAATCTTCTATCAGCGAGGGAACACCGTCGGAGGAAGAAGTTGCAGTCACCGGCAAAGTCGCTACACGACTACACGCCCCCTGACTGGAACTTCTTCTTCGTTTTCGTCTTGAACCCCGACGTTATTTTTTCAGACGCAAACATACCGACATCAAATCGAACACCATCTAAAGCTACATCTTAAATTCCACAGATACGCATTACAAATCCATAGTCCCAAGTCTAGTTTTTCCAGTTTCTCATGCTAAATCCGTATTCCTAAACAGCCCGCAGTGACCGTAGCCATGGCTCACCTCCTTGAAAGTAGTAAGAAAGCCAGTTTTTCATGCGGATTCAGCGTAAATCAGAGTTAATTTCTTTGCTTTCCTCTTCCTCTCTTTTCCTATTTTCTTCGTCTTTCGATCGTAGCAAGAATTTGCTTGCTTTTCTTCGGTTTTCTGGCCCTTTTCTTGCTCGATCGATTTCTTTTCCTCTTTCTTATCATCCTGTTCATTTTCTGCATTTCCTAACTTTTGATCTATGAGAAACAGCGTTCAAAACTAGTTTTCAAATACACACCTTTCCAGACGAAGACACTTTTTTGCAGTAGATACTCGAATATCAAATGTAAAAGTGTCTGGGTCTGGAAGAATGCAACTTGTGATGCTATTTTTGGAATCCAAAAAAATCTGTATTGCATGAGCAACAAGAGGCGTCCAGTTTTTGCTCCGCGGAGAGGGGATTTCTCATGCGGGATAGGCATCAAGATGCCCGCAAAAAAATTGTGATGCTGGTGCATACATCACAGACATCACGGGTCATGCAAAATGAGCACGACAAGCCTTGCAATCTTCCAGACCCAGACATTTTTACAGTTGATATCGAAGGAAAAGGCGGTTTTGTTGGAAAAGAGGAAGGGGTACTGGCGAATATTCTCTTCGTCGTGCGCAGTGAGGAGGAGTGAACCTTTCCCGGTTATCCTCAGTAGAAACGTCCGCACGACCCCAGAGTTGTCATGCAAAAGGGCAAAAAACGCACGTGTTTCTTATGCGCGGCACCATCAGGAGCACGACTCTCTAATGCTGTTTGAAATTTGTCATGCTAGAATCAGGATACGCTTATCGATTTCTAATGCGTTTCTACTAGCTGAACAGGATTAAACGTACACTACAAGAAACGTGAATTTGTCGTGCGCAACAGTCACAACCTGTCGACTTGACTCTGGGACGGGGACACTTTTACGAAGGATAACGGTGTGCTGGATTTCTCCGTTCTTGATCGCGTTGGCCCGGTGTGCTAGCTTCGCCAACACCGCGCGGGGGCTGTTTGTGGACGGCGAATGCACCGCAAGTATGTCTGAGTCTGGATCTGTGATGCAGCAAAACTTGAAAAATCATAGTGAAATCTGTATTGTGCACGAATGCGACTGACCACTTTTTTTGTCGTGCTCCTGCCAGCCAGCGCGTTATGCAAAACACGTCAGTAGAAGAACATTCAATGAGTATATACCAACCAAAGAATTTGTCATGCGTCATTCGGAAGGCGTGCAAACCATCGCTCGATCATGCCAGAAGACTCAGCAACACAAATAAGTATGAGGCATCTTTGTCCAGACACAGAAATATTTGATGCATGTGATACGGCAGGAGCTTGGTCAACTCTGCTTGGTCGTACTGCGTGATGGACCGATTCGTGTTTTTGACAATACCGGCAGCATATCAAATGCAAATATGTCTGGGTCTGGAAACTTGTCATGCTGAGTTGTGAGAAGCAAGTGAATTCTTTGTAATGCACAGCCACGCATGACGAGATAAAATATCTTTATTTGCGCGGCTTAGTGTTGCGCTTTCCGCAGGACTAACTGCGTTTTGCATGACAAGAAAAAGGGTCTCTTCTTCGACACGCATCACAAACTCTTCAGGCATGCCAGACAAGCATGACAAACCTTGCATTCCTCCAGACCCAGATCGATATTTGCATTTGATACGGCACTCGAGTCTTCGATTTCCAGTTGGAACGTACTGCGCAGCAACGTCCGAAGCTTGACGTAGTCGTCGGCTTGGGCCACAGGTGTAGGAGGCGTGCGTGGCAGCTTCCTCTTCTTACCATTCCGTCGCGCAGTGTGATCCAGTTTCCGCAGGAAGCTCTCGGTTGCTCCCTCTGGCCAGTCGCCCGTCTCCCGCACCGTGTCCTGGACTTTTCTCCACAATCGCTCGTCATCCCGCATGAAGCGGCGGAAGTAGACACCACGAGGGTCACTTGCAGCGGGATCGCTGTCCATTTGCGGAGGCCGGTCCTCCAGCACGCTCGGCCCTGGGCCCCCATCGTCCCTGTGGAATTGCTCATACAAGCGAGTCCAATTCCACTCGGCGCCCACGACGGCAGGCACGCCCCGAAAGAAGAATTCCGGTCTTCGTTCTTTCCACGGAATGTAGTTCAGCCGCATCTGCATTTCGTATGACCGGTGCCACCCAGCCAGAAAGTTCTGCACTGTTGGAAGCTGCAGCGCCGTGTCAGAGGCGGTGAACGGAAAGATTGACCGCGTCCACGACATATGCACTGCAAATATGTCTGGGTGGTGCGGAAACCTGTGATGCTGAGTGGAGCATGATTGAAGCGCTTGCAATATTGGCAGCCAAGCATGACAAGTTTTTGAGACAGTTCTGCTGATGCCTAGCACGCATCACAAATTGCATTTATTTTTGCACCATGACAAAGTAAGCTCCTCTTTTGCTGCTCATGCAACACAGATTTTCAAGGAATGCAAGACACGTATCTTCACAAGTTCCACCTCTCCAGATGCAGACACTTTTGCATTTAGTACGACATAATTGGTAGCTCGAATGAAGGTCGTGCATTTATTTCCGCGCGGTTTTCGTTTTCATCCACCATGGTACTGGTAGTTTTACCCGTTGCCAGGTCCAAACTTTCCTGGATCATGCTGTGGAAAAGTTACAAAGAAGAAAATGCGTCCGGCTAGTAGCTCCAATCAGTTCTTACAAGTTCTGGTGCTTTCATCATGATACATGTAATTGTATCCACCACCGGCACCGAGCTTGTTTTGATATTATTGCTCGAAAAGAACAGGACTAAAGATGGGTAGCTCGAGAAAAATACAGATGAGACGATATTGCCCACTTACTGACAAAAAAATCACATCCTGCAACAGACTGATCGCTTAACGGGACGCAAAGAAATTTCCTTTCATATTAAAACCGCACGCCGAGGTGTCCTTGGGCAGAACTCCGTGGCCGTCCTGCAGCAGCCTCGGAGGCCTTTCGTGCGAAGTGCTCACAGTCGTAGGCCGGCATGTGCCTCGCAACGAGGAACCACGCCTGCAGCAATTTCGCGGCCTGCCAGCTTTCCGAGTGACGGACCTGCCAGCTGTAAAATTTGCCCGGGTATCGAACGGAAGCATGTCTGGGTCTGGAAATAAGTTCTTGTCATGCTAAAAATAGTACATGAGTGAAGAACTAGCTGCAAAAGTACGAAGCCAATCATAACAATTTTTTCAGCGGTTCTGTAGTGCGTCACACGAATAATTGCCGCAACACTTATCACTATTACAGCCAGAACGTATGAATAATAATTTCAATTTGTGTTCAGCATTACAACTTTCAGACCCAGATCGATCAATTTGCAATGCATACTTGAGCTGCGGGCGCGCAGCTACGCCCGAGGATTTTTTGCGGACAGAACTGCACGAACAGCTCGCACTGCTCCGGGTGATCCGAGTCGAGTATTCTGTGAATAACTTTTCCAACCAAGAGCTGTTATGCAAATTTGCATGCCCAGTTTGTGTCGCATGTGCACCGCCTTGAGGTGAGCAACACCTCATGATGTCTGGAATCTTGTGATGCTGTAATCTGGATACTCAATGCGCTAGGTCTGTGATGTAACATCAATACGCAATAAACAGGACGACACTACAGACGCAAATTTGTCATGCGCTACACACAGAGCTTGTTGGAGTGCGTAGCAATTTCTCTTACCTTGTTATTTTTTTTACACCCGTGGAAAAAACATGTGTCTGGCCGTGCAAAACTGACCCATGTGTCTGGCCGTGCCGGGAAGGGAAAAAACCAAAAATGCGACAAAAAATCGCGGCATCAGCCTAAATCTAAAACCCTGCGCCATAGGATCTTCTTCTCCGGGGCGGGGTAAAAACAAAATTTAAAAAAAGCGCTTCTCTTCCCGGCAGGGTGGACAAGAGCTCCCGCCCCCGTGTTGCTTCCAGAGTGGCCGGCTATCCTCCACTGAAACGGCGGCACCAGAGGGAAGGCGCAGAGAGGCAAAGGAAGAAAAAACGCAGCGGGGGCGGAATCGAAGCCCTGGGCTTCATCGCGTTCCGCAGGTAGCCGCGCTCGAGCACCAACCCGGCTCGCCACTGCCTCGAGGACGTCCACATTGGGAAGAGAAAGTGCAGGACCTGGAAGGTCACCCGAAAATATCGCTGCTAAAGATACCATACTCGGGAAAAAAGTCGCCCGCAGATGCAGTTTTTTCGCGATATGCTACTGAAATACGCTGGTCTTTCGGCACAAGGAAATAAGCAGTTGCCGTTTTCACTCAAACCCGAGGGTACTGCGAGAACCGTTACCAATGCACGTCCACCACAGCATGCGGTTTGACTTTTTAACGGCCGGGTCTATAGACAAGTAAAGTCCTCCATACCATGCTGATTGAGAAACCACTGTTAGTCATGGATTTCATCATGCCATGCGTATACAATGTCTTTGTAAGGAAATTACATCATGCCGTGCTGTTTCAAAAAAGGACTTCGAAGCCAGACACAAGCATAACATGCATATTCGCGCTTCAGGGAATAAATCAAATCGATTATACTATGCGGATCAAAAAAAATTGTTTACACTTCTCGATTTGTGCGTGTCATCCTTGCGCAGGGGCCATGCTAATCTTCTCTGTATCGTTCCAATTTTAACGGATGACTCCCGAAGGAGATCCAAACACTAGGAAAAATGGAAAACAGGGTAGCCAGAATACGGGGTGCTAAATACTCTAATTCGGGCAAAAAACATTATTTTTTTGGCATTTTGACCATTTAAAGGGAAAAACACTCGCGATTTCTGTGTCCGCGTAAAAAATGTATATTTTTCCCGTGAAAACCAGTCCGAGAAATACTCGCATCTCATCGTGTTGTTACTCCCAGATGCTACTTGATTAATATACGGCCTAAAAATCGTCGGCTTCCGCCGCCCTAAGGAAGAAAGCTGCTTTGAAGCGAAAAAAGGTTGTAATTCTTGCACAGGCTCTCCCACCTGCGGAAAGTAAGAGAAACTCTCTCGTTAGTTTGTCTACAGGACATCCTCACCCCTTGTGGAAAGAGCAATCGCCACGTGTGGAAAGCGCAAAACTCCTTGGTTGGTGTAGCAGAGCAGTCCCCATCTGGGGACTGCTTGGGTGGGAAAGCCGTTTTCACTCAGGATATCGATGACGCTGTAGTCACGACCACCGTAGTGCTGCAGCGGGTGGACTAGATGTTCTTTTTGGCTGGCGCCACGTGGATTTGTCGCGGCCTGCTGCTCGTCAGGATTCTGCAGACCTTCTCGTTGTCGATCTGGGCTCCGCTCTGCAGGAACATCTTCTGTGTCGAAGAACTGCAATTCGGCTTCTGCCGCATCGTCTGCTGCTATCTGAGCGCCGACGGAGGCTGCACTCTTGCCGGTACTGTCGTCCCGCAGGTTCTTGGGTCTCGCATCGCTGTAGTACCGCTTCCAAAACCGCAGATCCTCGTCTACGCCCTTCAGCATCCACTGGGGCCGGTCCTTCAGCGGCGTGCGCAACATCTTTTTCAGTTGCGGGAAGCAGCCATCTATGCACTATTGAAAAGGTATTGCACTAGCATGAATTTATTTTGTATGACAAGCTTTATTCTACTCAGAAAGAAAAGTGGAACTAGTCATGCAGATTCAAGTTGTACTAGGAATAAACAACTTGTTTTTGTCATGCGTGACTGGCATAATTCTTGCGAGTACGAGAGTTTTGGGCGGGATACAATCTGCGTGCTTCAGCGCCATCTTCAATTTGTTCGCCGTGCTCGCATTGCTGGTCCTGGCCACGTATCAATCGCAAATAAATGTGTCTGGGTCGGCCTTGTGATGCAAACATCCAGAGCAGGCAGAAATCTGTATCTGGTATGCACGGGGAGCAAAATAAAAAAAAGTTGTCTATCTCTTGTCACCGGCGACGGTGACGCGTCATGCGGGGGAGGTCACGAGAAAAATGTGGAAGATGCTGTGTGATGCAGCTAGGGCTTGAGTGCGGGACCGGGTCGAGAGAAAAATGCATCACAAATAAAATCTGCACACATGGAAACCCAGATCGAGGCTTGTAATCCATACCGCATCCACATTGAGCGGCCAGTTCCAGCCGAAGAGGGAACCATTGTCGGTGTTTTTGTCGTATGCATTGGAAATGTGTCTGGGTTGGGATTTTTGATGCGAGATCTGAAGGAGAAGGACAACAAGATTCGTAATGGTTCTTGCATGAACAAGATTAGCGAATTTTTTCGTCGTGCTGAACGGCTACGGTGGGATGTGGGAGTATCAGCAACACGAGTTTCCAGACCCAGACATATTTCGAGTTGATATTTCGTCCGCACTCATGTTGTCGGTCACAGCGTCAAAGTGGAAGCAGATGTTCGGATTGTGTGGCGCGGCACAGCTATGCATTGCAAATATAATGCCGGGGTCCTCCGGAAAGTTGCGATGCAACTCAGCGACGTGGAGCAAGCACATTGTAATGCTCGGCCAACACGTATGACAGATTTTTTCTTCGCTCTTGATGTTGCGCCTTACTTCTTCATGAGAAATTGCGTTTTATTTGCATGAGAGACAACAAGCAAAGCTCCTCTGCTTCGATACGCAATAAGTTTAAGTACCGAGCTCAGGTTTAACATGCCTCACTAGCATCACAAGAAATCTTGCAATTTTCCAGACCCAGACATATCTTCGGTGGATCATAACAGCAAAACTTCATAAGCTGCACGTCGTCCAGGAGGTCCGGGGAACCGCCGAGGCGATGGTACATCTGTCGCAGGTTGACCGCCGTTTCCGGATGGATTTTCTGCTGCTGCAAGGAGTCCAGCATGTTCTCAATCATGTCTTCGTGGGTGTCAAACGAAGCCGCCTGCACTGCGAGCTTGCGGATGGGCGCCCAGCAGTACTCGGAATCCGAAAGCTGGTCGTTTTCCGCCGCCGCCGCCGGGTCTCCTCGAGCTGGGCCGTGTAGTCGTCCTTCAGGTCGGGGATGGTTCTTATCAGGCAGAGCTTCTTTTTCTTGCCCAGGAGGCTCCAGCACAGCCCGACTGTTCGGAACCGCCGTGGATTCGTAGCGAGTGACTGGCGACTGGCCGGTCCACCGCTTTGTAAAAATGTCGTTAATGTCAGGTTCTTGTTTCTCAAGAATTCGGGGCGCGGCTGTAGTGCTACCACGCGTTTCATCGCCACTTGCAGAAAAGGACCCAGTAGAGGATCGACCGTCCGCGAACTCCACAGGATGAAGAAGAAGCAGTGCGTATTGTGAGGAAAAATCTCCCCTCCCCGTATCGCAAAGGAAATTTGTGATGCTGATTTGTGACCACATACCACCTTTGTCGTGCATACAAGGCAAACGGCACTCATATGGCGCATTGTGCAGCCAGTCTGTCACGCGTTTTTGCCTATGTCAGACTTGTTGCTCATGCGCAGCTGCCAGCCGGATGCGTACCCAAATGGGCTATAGAATATGCCCACGAGCTCTTGCTGCACTACAAAGCTCATCAACGTACACAAACCCAGCAACACAAATTGTCTTTTGGGTACGGGTTGGCGGGTTTTTTCGCTTTGATAGTGCGTCGTCGATGCGGCCATCCTGCTTGTGCAGCGGAAAAAGCCCTGCCTGTTCGTCTTCCCGGTGACGCGATTCAACATCTCGGTCGGCCGGGTCTTGCGCTACCGTTCCAGAGGACGTTGTTGCAGCTTCGTCCTCTGCTTCTCTGCGCTCCACTATCTCGACAACGGGGCGGCAACACTGCTCGTATGAGTACGTTGCGTCCCAGCAGGCGTTTTCCTTGTCGTGCTTGTGGCGTTCGCCGTACATTTCCTGGCAGCAGTAGTAGTACAGACTCTCCTGTTCTGGGTGCGTGTTGCGGAAACAAAAGTTGTCCTCGCCATTGCCGTATTCCCGGACACGAACTTTCGCTACACCACTGCGCGGAATCCGAAGCTCTTCTGCAACTTCCGCCGGGATCCATGACTCTTCCGCCCGGCAAGCGAGCCGCAGGAGCAAGTGCAAGGCAAGAAGCCTAGAAGAAATAAGCATGTTGGAAAATAACGATAGACGCGGAGTACGTATTGCTTTATTCACGTAGCCCCCAGGTGGCTCTTCAACCAGAATCAGTAGTCAAGGAAACCGTGGTTACACATGCTGACAGTATGTTTTTACTTTTGAAATAAACCACTTACAACTCGAGAACGCGAACAGTTCGCTCAGACAGAATACTTGCATGTGCTACGGATCAAACATATAACGGGAGAGTACAAGTCCCGGAAATTGAGATTTTTCATCTTTTTGGAAAATTTGTCACGCAAAGTTAAAATCTCGAGGTCTAATCACCGATTTCTGCGAACAAAAAATACTATGAACTTGCCACCCGCAAGCTTTCGTTCCTGTTCCTGCCCTACTAAGCCTCCTAGTAGTGTTGCCGTCTTTGCCGAGGATCAGCATAAGATAGACTATTTCAGTTCAGCTTCAATCTCGACTTGAAGTCTTCGCGTGATTTTCTGTGGCTATTTGTGACACATATAGGACAGTGTTAGGATCGCAGCGAATCATTGGACGTCGATTTTTGAATCCCGAACAACGCCGCAAATAGAAGAAAAGATGCATATGCAGCTGAAAGAAGGAAGGGCTTGCTTTTTCCGGTTTTGGTTTTCCTGGTTGTGCTGCTGTGAAGACGTTGAGAGCTTTCGCAACGGTTCAATCTACATCGTTATTCTTTGACGTACTGCCCTCCCGTGAGCTTCTTTTAAGCGGCAGATCTTGCTGCAGCTTCATCGCACTTGCAAAACATCAAAACCCTAGTGTTTCATGCGATGTTGATACTTTTTGTTTTTCGCACAGACATCAGAGTTATTTGTTTTAGCAAGCGTGCATAAGAAAGTCGTTGTGAAAGTGAAAAACAAAATAAAATAATAGAGACGTAAAAACGACGAGAAATTGAAATTGTAGATTTTTTATAACATCAAACTATGATCTTTTTTCATGGATCCAGTGGTTGCAGCGAACAACAATACTAGAATTTCTTTCCGTCTCTAAAACTCGACGCACTTTGGCATCTTTGCATCATCTGTACTCACCACCTTCTGCTCCGCTTCTTTTACTTCCAGGTTTTTTCGAAGACGTTCTACAGAAAGAACGGCGTGCGACGAATGGAGGCTTTGAAAATAAAACCGCGCTGCAACGGATTTGCTGCGTTCCCATGACTCACCTCCTTGAAGATAGTAAAAAACGCGCTGTAGTTCAGACCTAACTCCGTTGCCGTTCTCATCTTCTCTTTACCCCTTGCCCAGAAGGACGAGGTCGTAGATCGTCGTCACGCGGCGGCGCCCGCTTTGCAGTGCCGCGATGCGTGCGAGGCGCCTTTTCTTCCGCAGTCGCTGCTGCTTCTCGGTTTTACTGATGTCCACCTCCAAAAAGCACTGCACGGAGGACCTGATCTCATTTTCGACAAAGTCGCGGACCAGCTGCGCCAGCTGCTGGTCATCTGGGTGCCGACCGTAGCCGGGAATGAACTCGGTCACGAGCTCCGACAGCGCGCGCGCGACGACGCCAGCAGCCCGAAGCCCGGCAGCTTTCTCAGCATCTGCGATCTTTTTGGCCGCGGGGGTCCTGTACTTCGCGCAGCACTTCAGCAGGTAAACCAGGCCCGCGCGACTCCAGTCGGGTGGGGGTCGCTGCTGCAGGAGGTTCGCGGCGGCGGTCTTGTACTGCCTCATGCCCATCTTCACCACGAACCCGCCCGCCCTTGCGGGCTCATGGAGCTTGCGGCTGCGAAAATTGCGCGCAAGTGTTTCCGCCTCGCGTGGCGCGACAACGTCAAATCCCCCACCATTCCACCGTAGCCCGCGCGGCGGCACGTTGTACTCCCGCAAAAGCTCCATCTTTCGCCGCGTCATCTGCATCATCAAACGCAAATGCGTCTGGGTCTGGAAGAATACAGCATTTGTGTTGCGCAGATTTTTGCATGCCAGTGTTATTATAGTCTCTCATGCATACTCTAGCATCACAAATCTACTTGTAGAAAAAACTACAGGTCGTGCTCGTGATCCCTGAATTGCATGAGAAATGCCTCGTCCGCGTAGCAAAAACTGGACTCATCTTGCTGCTCACACAATACAGGCTTTTGCAGGATCATCCAAAGGCGGCATTCGAAGTTTCACACTTCGGCCAGACCCAGACATATTTGCAATGCATATTCACAGCCCTTTGAACCTCCGTTTCCGCGAGGGGCTTGTGCGCGAGGACTTTGTCCCAAACTCCGCCCCGCTATGGGAGTACATAACCTGTTCCTTCCTGCCTCTATGAGAGTACACAACGGTTTGCGTTTGCCTGTTAGCACTGTTTGCATGCCAGGTCCTAGAAGCCCAAATAGCTCTACATTCCTGCGCAAATTTTTCACGCAAGCACTGCACTCGTCTAGCTGACTCTTGTATTGCTGCTCCTGCAATGCAAATGAGGAGGAGGGGAGGATGTGCACTTTCATACCCGCGCAATCCTCCGTAGCGGCTCCATGGTCGGCAAGCTCTGCGGTGTCGTTGCCTTTTCTGGTCGCTTATGCATTGCAAATATTTCTGGGTCTGGAAGAGAGCAAGATTTGCCATGCATTTTTTTTTGCATGATCCGTGATGCCCATAATGCATGACCCAGCATTACACATTCCTAGAGGTCTCCCTGACACCTATTCCGCATGACAAATGCCCTTTCCGCGTAGGAAAAATTAGAATCCTTTAGCTGCTCATGCAATACAGATTTTTTTAGAATCGAAACGCAGCATCACAAGTTCCATGCTACCAGACCCAGACATTTTTGCATTTGATATCGCTGTGGTCGTAGCCGTATGAAATGCAAAAGCATCGTACTAGTATAAATCGCATGACAAATTTCGTCAGCACGAGCAAGAAAATTTGTAATGCGGATTTGTATTGCATGAATGCGATTAGTACGAAAAGAAAGAAATTTGTATTGCATGAATGCGATTAGTACGAGTGCGATACTTTTGCAGTGCATAACCCGTACCCGTTCAGCCATTTGCCGCACGACTTTCGCTTGCCGTTCCGACTCCCCGGTGCCTTTCCCATCGTTCTTGCCTTTGTTTTTTCCCTTCTCCCACCCGTCTTTCTTGCCCTTGCCGTTTACGCCGATCTTGCCTTTGTTTCCCTTGTCCCAGCCGTCTTTCTTGCCCTTCTTGCCTTTTACGTCGTTCTTGCCTTTGTTTCCCTTGTCCCAGCCGTCTTTCTTGCCCTTGCCTTTTAGGTGACTCTTGCCTGGTTTTCCCTTCCACGAGGCGTCCATCTTGCCGTCCCCTTTGGTACTTTTTGATTTCCCGTGCTGCAGGCCTTTTTTCCCGAAAAATTGGTGGCAGGATTGAGCGCGCATGCGGCCCTTCTGTGGGTCGTCACCTTTACCCGCACCCCACCACGAGCAAGAGGAAATAAACCGCGGTCGGCCATTTTTGCTCTGGTGATCACAACCACTACTGTTATCCTCGTAGCTGTGCCCCGCCGACCCTTTTTGTGCTTGCCACTGTCCTCGAGACCCCTTGTTGTGCTCCGGGGGGCACTGTTGGTAGCTGTCGCGACGCTCGGTCGAAAGTGATGCGCTTCGCAGTCGAAGCTATCGAAATGAAAGCATTTTTCCCCCCAAATTTTCACATCCTCGTCCTGTAAAGCATCCTGCAAGTACAAATCAGGCCTAAAATAAGATGCGGAAAACTTCAAAGATACAGTGCTTAACTTCTTGAGATTGATCATCGTGAGTCTTCCCATTCTTGGTTTCAATGCGGAGGAGCAGCGGGAAATTATCCTCCACAAACTCGACGATTCATATGTCAACATGGGACCTGTGATCTATAGCCGAACTAGATGGAACAACCACACTCACATGCAGGAAGATCCCGTTTTATATAGAAGGAGGACAGCAGCGGGAGGGAAATGTCTTTCATCACCATATCGCCTCCTTCTCCCGCTGTTCTTCCACTCGTCGTTCCTCCTCCCGCTGTTCTTGCAGGCGTCGCTCCTCCTCCGCCTTCATCTGCTGCTCAAGCAGTTTTACTTGCTCAGCTTTCTTATGCATTGCAAATATCCCTGGATGCCTGGAAGGATGCAAGTTGTCTGGCATGACTGAAGAGTTTGTGATGCGTGTCCAAGATGAGACCCTTGTGTTTGTCATGCAAGAATACAGTTTACCATGCGGAAAGCGCAGCACTAGTTAACGCAGATATAATTTCTCATGCTTTGCTGTGCATTACAGAGCATTCACTATTCCCAGCGCAGCATTGCAAGTTTCCAGACCCGGACATATTTGCATTTGATATTTCTCCCGCTCCTTCTTTTTTTCATCAAGATCGCCGAAGAACCAATCCTCGTCTTTTTCGCTTTCGCCCCACAAGCATGCACTGCAAACACATCTGGGTCGTGTGGAACTTTGAGATGCTACATCATGTGTGGCTGGTAGCTTCTTTGGAGTTACGAATGAAAAATTTCTAGGCTGCGATGTCTTGTTCCGTAAACCGCATGAATTTATCGCATCTTCATAGCATGCCAAAGTGAGAGGGCTGTATCGCTTTCGCTAGTGTCGCCAAATAAGCATGACAAACCTTGTTGTTCTCTTCCAGACCAAGACATATTATCGCATGTGCATAAGATGCTGCGCCAGACTTCAGCGTAACCCTGCTTCAGCTCCACGGAAGCGTAGATGCCGTCGGCGCCTGCTTATGCCACAAAAAAAACTAGCAGCAGCAAATATCATATTTGAATTGCGAGCATGGAAGATCTACTACGAAAAAATCAACGATTGTATTTCCTAAACAGCAGCCTGCTACGGGCTCGCCAATGACAGATCTGTTTACTAGTTTGTGACTTTTGCAGTTTACAGATGTGCAGCTATTCTAGCTTTCTAGTTTTTCTCTGGCATACCGTTCCGCAGGTGTTTACCTGTCGCTTCTTGCTGGGTTTTTCTTCACAGTCTCCGACGGTTGATTTTTGGTCCTCAACTTCTAGTAGTTCGCCAAGCGGAAGCAGGTTCTCGTCGTCACCAACCGTCATCTTCGGGAGTAGTAGACCACTGGAGTCGACACGACCACCAGACTGTGCAAGAACACTGTGTTCGCAAGTAGGCTGCGTTGGTGTCGTTCTACAAGAACTCAGGGGATGCTGAACTACGGGAATCGCCACCGCGTCGCGGGCACTAAGAGCCTGGGTTCTCGCAGCGGGTTGGGGGGCCGGGCCGAAGCGCGTTTCGTGCGAAGATTCGCAGAAGCCTTTTAGGAATGCTGGAACCAAGTAGTTGTTCATCGTCTTCTTGTCCTGGACACAGCCTTTTCCCGCTTGCTCGGAGTCGTTGTATCTCTGCGCAGAGGTGTAATAATTTTCACCCATGTTGACCGACCAGTTGTTGTAGTTGAAATGGGCTGCTGCACTCGACGTTGCAGTGTAGTGTGGCCTGCTCGAGGAGATGATGTCGCTGTAGAAATTTGTTGATCTAAATGAATTGCAAAAGTATCGTATTCGTATAAATGCATATACAGATTTCCTCTGCATGAGCAAGAAAATTTGTATATGCGGATTTACGTACTTAAGAAAAAGATTTGTAAATGCATGACTGCAATTACTACGAGTGCGATACTTTTGCAGTTCATAATCTAGATGAAGCGGTCATCGACCACTGCTGGTTGTATGATCCACTGCTGCTACAACTCGTGCTCGATGCAGATGTGCTGCTCGTCGTCCCTACAGTTATACACATATTCGCGGCCTTGCTGACAGCAAACTGCGACACGCTCACGGAGGGGGGTGTTGCACGCGCAAACGCTGGCTTGGCCGCAGCAGCAACTGCGCTAACTGAGCTGCTGGCTTCTTTACTCTCTGCTGGTTCAGCGGGTGGCTTTGCAAACCCACGGAAGCCATCATCATCAGTCGCATTTGCTACCTCTGGCGGAGGTTCTCGTTTCGGCCCGTCGCTGGACTTAGTTGCGTCCTCTTTGCTATCGACGAGCGCTGCTTGTTGTACAGCACCCTCAAGCGCAAGGTCCTGTGTGCGGCCAAAGCTGCTTCCTTTTGAACTGGCAATGGTGTCGAAACCTGTAGATTCCGGAGGAAGTGAAGGTTTTTCCACTACTGCACCCGTTTCGTCCTCCGTCGCGTCCTTGCTCGCCGGTGAGGCTTCATCCTCTATGATAGCTGCCGTTCCGAACTCGCCAAAGTCATCTTTCCCTTCTTCCGCCCCTGTTTCTGGGGCCACCGGCGCTGCAAAACTGCCGAAAGCATCGCTATCCGAGACCGCATTTGATGCTGGTGTCGCAGCGCCAAACTCCCCAAAGCTCGTGGGCTGCAGCTCTGCGGATTGTTTCGAGGGCGGTTTTGCGAAATCGCCGAATGGATCCTCATTTTGTGCTGCGATCTTACTCGTTTCTTTCGACACGGAAGAACTTTCACCGAAGAAATCGTTTTTCTGCGCAGGAGCTGCACCGGGTGGTGGTAGTTGCGGGACCACTGCCGCAGCGAAAATATCATCCTCGACCTTGTTTTTCGCGGCGGTGACTGGGTCTTTTGGCAGTGGACCACCTGTGGCAAAAGTTGTATCTGGTGCGCTACTTTCATCCGTTTCCACTTTCTTAAAACCATCGTCGTCGCCTGAAGACGAGGCGCCTGCGGAAACTGGCAGTTCTGCAGGCACTGTAGATGGGGCCTCAAAGTCTACAAAGACGTCGCGCCCGGTGTAGTTGTCTGCGGGCTCTTCTGCGGTCTCTGTTCTTGTCCCAACCGCGCCGCCTTTGGCGCTAGTAATGGCGGACTGTTCGAAGAAATAGTCATCTTCTACTTTCACATAGCTAGCGGAAGTTCCTTGTGACCCAGACTCCTTCCCGCTGCCTTTCCCGCTGCCCTTCGGTGAGTCTTCCGTGTGATGATGCCCGAGCAGATTCTCTCGCTGCAACGGCGAATTCAGGTTTGCGTTCTCGATCTTTGCGAGGAGAGAACCGAAATCCGCTTTCTTGCTGTCGTCTACCGTTATTGGATCGTCATCGGTGGAGGGGCCGGGGGTGAACAACGGCTTTGACGCTTTCCTGCTGCTGCCCGAATCGCCGGCGAGAAAGGAGAAATCCGGCTCTTGCGTCGTTTGCGTGCTTGTCGCAGTGCCGGGGGGTCCAGGATCTTGCAAAAACGATGGGCCGGACGAATCCACCGAGATGGTTGCTTGGAGCAAAGTTGCCGCCGTTGATGCAGTTGACATCTGATTGGTGCCTATGCCGCCGGGATCGATTTTATGCGGATGCTGGTGCATTAACTCCAAGTTCTCGCTACGTGGCGAAGGTAACGGGGCTTGTACGTTGACTGCGGAACTTGAACTACTGGAGCTCGATGCAGGTCCCGTCCCTGTTTCTACTATTGGCGTCAGATCGGTCGAGCCCTGGTCACCCTGGCTGGACGATCTCGGAGGAAAGTCGTACTCCAGTGATGCGTGGGACTGGAACTGCTCGACGCGGGCGGCATGCTGGGTTTCAATCAGCAGATCGATTGACGAGCTACTCGACGTACTGGAGTTGAGCATGTTGTTCAACATCGAAACGGAGGGGGGCGTTGCACGCACAAACGCTGGCTTGGCCGCAGCAGACCATTGTGCGTTCTCGTTTCGATGCTGCGCTACTGCTACACCAACCCCCGCTCCCGGATCAAAGCCTCTTTTCCACCACGGCGCTTCATGGTGGCTGTTGTAACCGACATGATTCCGCTGGTGCTTCCACAGTTGTTCCTTGACGCTTTGGCTGGACGAAGTTCTGTACTGGTCCCGATACTGTTGATTGTTGTAGTACACTGTCGTCGCGCTTTTCTTTCTCGTTTGTGCATCTGGCGCCGTGGTTCTTGTGGCTTCTGGAATAGCGACCTGAGATCGAGGCTCCAAGCTTGCTTGCTCTTTTTTTCGATCCTCGCTGCAGGGCGGTGTCGGTTGCGTGGAAGCAGTTCCTCGATGTTGATGTCCCTGCTGCAGCGCAGAGCTGGAAAAAAGATGATGAGATGGTTTTGGAATGCGATCTGGCAAGAAGCTTGGCAACGCCGCCGCTTCGTTCGGGCAAGACCGGTACCCAATATAAGAGCAGTCTCCGCGCTGCACGGTCAGGCGGTATTCGCTTCTGTCCTGCTGGAGCTGGAGCGAACAAGCTGCATCTACTCCGTGGCCGGCAATGGTTACTTTGTCATTTATTTTCCGCCAGTCGCCATCGTGTATTTTTCTGCGCTATTATCGTACAAAAAAACTACACCAGAGCTATACCAGAAAAAAGTATATCAATGTGCGGACTTTTACTTTTTTATTTTCTTCTAGCATGAAAATTTCCACTGAAGAGTGTTGTCCCTGCATCACAGAGTTTTCTGTGGCGCGAATTTTGCAACACATCAGGCGTGCCTATGCTTTTGTGGTATAAACGTAGGTGTGGTCGTCATTTTCTGCAGGATATCAGCTTCTGCGTGCCGGTGGTTGTGCTAGACAGGTGATCAGAGGATGCGGACCGCGGTCGTTTCGCACCGGTTTTCAAGGGATGCGGAATGCTCAGGACGTCTGGCCTGGTAGAACAAACTGCTCCCATACAATAATCCCGTGGTAGCTCCTCCTGCTGCACTCCCGAAGCAGAACTCGGCTCCTGCACACCCACACCAGGCAGCTGACACATTATTGCACTCGCTTTTGGCGTCGCACCGGGGAAGATTCCATTCCTGATCGTCTTGTTCATGGCAACGGCGCTCGTCTCTCCAACCTCGTGCTGTACCCGGCCTTGTTGTTGTTGGTCCGCAGCTGCACCCACAGATGAGCCCGCGCCCGACCTGCGTCCCGCTGGAAACCGCGCCCCGGCGCCACTGGTTCCCGCCGATCTCATCTTCGCAAGCGGCGGCAGAGGGAGCAACCCAGGAACGGTCCGCTGCGGTGCGGCTTGTGCACTTGAATGTGTGATGTCATTGAACAACGCACACTTCCCGGCGGCAAAATCCACAACCGGAGATTGGGACTTTGCAACGGTTGCGGCAAAGAGAAGTAAGCCGGTCATATCGGAACTTGCACTGCTGGTGGTGGAAGACGCGGTGGGACGAATGGGGCCTGTCGTGCTCGATAACGGCTGTCCACCTCCCTGTTCTTGTTCGCAGGGCCGGCGTTGGTCGTCGATCCTCTCTTCTTCTCTGGGAACATGGTCAAAAAGTTAAAATATGGACAGAAAAATTAATGCCACTTTGACGCACATGTACCATCGATCATCCTGAAGCTGTAAATTGGACGAGCATGACTTTCACCAATTTGTATACGAAGAGGTTGTACTATTAAACGCAAAGCGCTTAGTACTAGGATATCATGATTACACATTAGAAGAGACGAAATCACATTGCGGCGCAAGTGGTGCCATCTTTTAGCAGCTTTGCCCATTCGACATTTTCTTTTTTTTGGACTTTTGCCCTATCAGTGCCCTGCTACCTGCGATTGTAGGAGAGTCGGACGAAAACATCGCTCTCGCCAACGACGCACGATAGACTGGCAAAGAAGCATTCGACTGTTGACAAGGACAGACGGAAATGACAAAACACGGACGTTTAGGCCCAAAGAAAACGAGCTGAGACCAGAAGAGCTGCTGCCCTTGGTCATCTAACTCAGCTCTATACAACAAGAGAAACTTCTCGATTAGTTTACGACATGCGCCCGGCAAAATTGTCAGCAGAGCACATCTAAAGCCAATCTACCAGTGGAGTCCCCACATGAACAAGATGCTGCTGACCGACGTTCTACCCGGAGGCTTAGACAAAGGTGGGCAAGACGACGAAAGACGAGGCGTCGGCGGGATTTGCACGAAACGAAAGGGCAGCCGAAACCCCGCACAGAAGAAAATGCTCCCTTGGCTGCTGTGGCGCTGCTCCGAGAACATCTTGCAAAGAGGCGGGGCGCACAGATCGACGCTTTGTTGCTAGCTGAGCGCCATAGATAGCTTACTTATTGGGCGGCTGTTCAGTGGCCTGCGTTGGTATTCATGTTGCGCGGATGCAACGTGCAAAAGTAGCGAAGCTAAGAAGATGCTAAGTTTTCTCTTGATGCATCACGAAAGTCGGCTTTCCTCTTCATAGCGACGAGGAAGCTGCTTGTAATATGTAGCGTTCGGGACGTCCTCTTGGATTTAAAAGGCGGCAAAGTGGTTTAGGTCGTTAGTCTTCCATATTTGAATGTGCATCAGCAGTGGCGTCAGAGGGTCCAGGAGCTGCGTTTTCCTCGTGGTCCGCGATTTTTGCCCTCTTCGTAGCCGGAAGGAGTTCTTGTTCCTCTGGAATACCGCGTGCAGCTGAAGACTTCTTTTTATTCTCTTCGTCGTCCTCGTCCTGCGTCACAACATCGGCGATAGCCGCGGTCGACGAGGATGATCCACCGATTTGCTCGAACTTGAGTTCCTGTTTTCTCGGATCGTTCGCGGAAATCACTGAAAATGGCGACCCGGCCAAGTCTGATACTACTGCGGGTGGCCCACCTTTCTTCGTGTCGATGTTGGGCGACGCTCTCTTAGCGGTGCCAGTATTCGGAACGAGCTGCATGACATTGGTGCATTCAGGAGACTCCGCCGGCGCGTGAACCTCGTCGTGGCCTTCGCCGAAGGAACTACTGCTGTTGGGAAGCAGATTTTGCTCCGATAACCTTGGCTCCTTGGGCATATTAATCTGGGTCAGCAGCTGGATCTGCTTCTCATCCGTATTTGCTATTGTAGTTGCGGCCGGAGCTCCTGCTGCTCCGCTAGAAGATGTTGACGCTGCCGGAGGTGGTGGCGACCGACCCTGGTTATCCGGATTCAGGCGCAGCTCACTCAAGTTCATCATCCTCTCTTGCAGCGACTCATCGTCGAGGCTTTCGTTCTCCATGTCCAGCATAGGTCCGAAGTGCGGGGTGTTCTGTGTGACTACCGCATTGTCAATCGGCCCAGCCCGACTTGCGGAGGAGCCGCAGGCGGCGGAGCCTGCTGCTGCTGCTCCAGCTCGTGGCGCTTTACTTGTTTCAACCACCGCCGCGAACAGACCGGTTGTGCCAGCAATTTGTGGTGGTTGGTCAGGGGTGACCCCAATGAGAGACAGCGCTGAAGGGAGTTGCTGGCTCGCAAGCTGCTCAGCGTCCGTCCCTTCCACGTGGTAAGCAACGGAAGAGTCGCTGCTGCCGGCGCAGGCAGATTTTATCCCTTCGTTCTCTTCGTCTTCTGGTGGCGGCGAGAGAGCTGGTGCTGTAGTAGTTGTAGATCAGAGGCGGTTTATTTTGAGTTTGCGCTTGCCGACTACGTCGTCGTGTGAGGTTGAGCTATAAAAATTCTTAGTATGCTGATATCGTGTAGGGCATTTTGCACGATGACACAGATAATACGACAATATACGCGTCCAACGTGACAGCCTCATACAGAATATTATTTACGAGGGCATCAAAGCGACTGTTTCCACAAAATGAAGATTTATCATACTCATTAGCAAGCGAAAAACAAAGACGTGGCAGCAGTGCTTGAAATGTACTGAAAGAGTCTGCAGATGTAACAAGTACCTGCTCCGGACATAATATCGCCGAGGACATTGGCATCTGCTCCCGTGGGTGTACTGGGGCCAACCACATTGCCCGAAGACGACGACGACAAGGAGGCGGAAAAGGAGGATCGCCGCGGCATTGGACTCAGGAAGTGGCACCGGTCATAGACACTGCGCCAAGGCACGGGCGGCGGCGCGCGAAAAGTTGTCTCTGCTACTGCTGCTGCTGCGTCAACTGCTGCAAGCAGCTGCGGACTCTGTTCCGGACCATGCACTGATCGCAACTGTTCCGCAACCACCTCGGTCGGGTTTGGAGGTGTGTTTGGATTCAAAGTCTGCGTGGGGCCCTGAAGACAGGAAGACGAGCAAGCAGCTGCGTGCTGCTGCACTGTCTCGGCCGCCCCTGTGCCAGTTTCCTTCGCGGAATCTTCTCCCAAAGCCGTCTCCGCCGCAGCCTCCACCCTGCCGGTTGTGCTAGAAAAACCCGCGGCGGCTATCCGGAGCGAAAACACCCCCGCCCTAGAGTCAAGATGGGGATCTCGCAACACAAGTCGAGCACTTTTGGGAGTCAAGCATCACAAGGTCGTCTCTGTATTGTAGTGCAGCTTAGCTAGTACAGCCGCAACACAAGTCCATCTTCCAATTCTGTTTACAACATTACACATCAGTCCAAAGTGCGACTGGGAATGCCGCTCATGGGGATGCGCATTACAAATTCTCCTGTAACGGCAAATCTGCATGACAGCTGGGGGGTGGCGGGGACGTTTTTACTTGGGATAGTGGCTGTGCTAGAACAAGTAGCCGCGTTGTTCATGTTCTGCAGGTGCAGTAGTTGTTGCCCACCAGCATCTTGCTTTTGGCCGCCGATTTGCTGTTGCGACAACACACCCCTGAGTAAACTTGGGTTCTTTTCTTGGGCGATCTCATGCATTGCAAAAATATCGTGCTAGTACAAACTGCATCACATCAAATAATTTCTTCACGACCAAAAGGGACACTTTTCATACTATATCAGCTAGAAAGTATAGATTTATAAATCATGCACGATCATGACTACCATCAGTAAGAGTGCGATATTTTTGGAATGCATAGGAGACCAGATCGGACAACTCGTTCTTCTTTTTCTTTTTCTCCTTCTCACTGCTAGAGGAATCCAACGGGGATCTGTTGGGCTTTTCATTTGTTGAATTCTTGGATGTTGAATTCCTGGGTGTTTGATGGTCCCCCGGAGCGGGTTCATGTTTGGCAGGATTTTTGTGGGGTGAATATTCTTGGTTGAAAACTGCCAGCGTTGGCTCGTCCCGCCGCCCTTCCGGCCCGCCTTTCCCATTTCCAGCGGAAAGAGATGCAGCCGCTTGTTGCCCAGCGTTAGTATGCATTGCAAATATGCCTGGGTCTGGAAGATTGGAACTTGTAATGCTGGTCTTACATTCATGTGAAAGCTGTAATATTGCATGTCCGATATCAAAACCGGAGTGTGTATGAGAATGGAGAAAGCGTTCCGCAAATTTGTCATGCTTTCCTGCGTCAAAGGAGGCGCTTTCATCGTGCACATTTTAGCATCACAAATTTGCAGACAGAGACATATTTGCACTTGATAGTTAGAACCACCTGGAAATTCTTGTTGAACAGCCGAAGATGAGGAACTTGAAGCTATCCTGGAGAAAAACGGGGCCCACACCCCATAGTTTTGTCATGCAAATCTGCGTTCCTAAAACGTTTCTCATGCGGTGGAACCCCATGAGCAGCTTTCTCTAGTCGTGTTTTGGAATTGGTGCTGTTGCTACAAACATGTAGAATAAATGAAATATGTCTGTGACGCTGCTGAACTAGTGAAGCTGGCCGGCGTTACTACGAGGTCAAACTTGTCATGCGTAACTGCCACAGCTGGTTGAATTATTTAGGAGATTTTCCATCTCGACTCTGGGGTAGGGACGTTTTCGCTCGAGATAGAAACAGGAGCACCACTCGGCCAACTAAGATTACTGGTGTTCAACATCCTCCTGTCCGCTTCCTCCTGCAATTCCCCAAGCGGTTGCTGCAGCGGCTTCTTATGTGCGTTCCTTTGCTCTACTTGCGGCGACGCCTCGCCTGCGGCCAGTTGGTTTTGCACCTTGTCCGCCTTGCGGTCACGGTCTTGCAAGATTTTCAGTTGGTCCTGCGCCTCCTTCAGTTGTTTCTCTAATGCCATGATCTTCCTGTCCTTTTGGATGCTAATATCCGCAGGGCCGCCCTGCGGAACCGGCTCTCCGTCTGCGCCAGTAGTAGAACCCTTCTGTTGCGAAGCGGCCTGTTGAAGATGGTGACCTGCGGTCGTTTTGCCTCCTGCGGTTCCGCCCTGGGCGCTCCTTCTGGCAGCGGTAGACGAGGAGGAGGAAGAAGATGCTGCTGCGCCTTTGCTCGCAGCTCCGCCCTTGGTCGTACTACCCGTGGCATGATTCGCTGCAGCGGTACTACTAGCGTGCTGCTGTAACAGCAGCACGCTGTTGCAACAGTGTTGCAGCAGCGCGAGTTTCGCGTTGTTCTCCGGTCGCAATTTCAAAAACTGCAGGCTCTCTTTCTCCTTCTGTTGCAGATCTTTTTCCAATTTCACGCCCTTCTCCGCAAACACTTGGCGCAGTATTTCCATATAACAATTGGGGCCTATGGCATCATACGGGAGCGTGCACATTTGACCCATGTTGCGCCTGTAATGCGTCAGCCTTGTTTTTTGCAAAGTTTCGGAGTTTTGCTGTAGAAGCCGTCTCTGCGTAGGTGCCTCTGTCAACTTTGCAGGTCTCCTTTTCAGCTTCCTTTTCGTCTCCTTCAGCGGATTCAACTCTTTTTCCACCTCGGCATCATCCAGCAGAGATGAACCAGGACCAGCTATCGCGCTTTTCTTGTTGTCCCTTGTAATCGGCAACTTCCCAGCTCCAGCACCCCTGCTAGCGCCGGCAGTTGTCGCTACTTGCTCCTTCACTTTCGCCAACTCCTTTTCCACCGATTCCAAATGCGCCCGAAGCCTTTCGTTTACCGCCTTCGCTGCGTCCACTTCTTTTCCCATATTGCTTTTCTGTGCCTGCAGTTCGGATATCTCTCTTTTCTTCTTCCGGTCCTGCCGAATCTGCTCCTCCTGTTTGCGGTGGTAGAGTTGCATCAAGTCCTCCTTATCCTCCATCTGCTTCGCCTGGAGGGAAAGCTCCTTTCTCCACTTATCGTTCGTGTTCTGTAACTCCGCTTGAAGCAAAGTGATCTGCTCTTCTTTTTCAATCACTTCTTGATTCGCTTTTTTCTTGTGCTTCTGCAACTCCTCTTCCCTCTTCAGTTCTCGCCTCTGAAATCTCGTCACTTCCATTTGCAACGCCCGGATCTTTTCCTGCGTGCTCGTCATATCGTTCCGCGAAGAGAGAATTTCCGCCTGTTTCTGTGCCACTTTTTGGTCAAGGGCTTCTACCTTCGGACGGAGTTGTAAGTGTAAATTCTCGGATGCCAACTTTTTCTTCTCGGAAGTGATTTTATCGCTTTTTGTTTGGATCAACTGGTAGTCGGCTTTGAACTGCTCCGCTTCCAGCTGGGTTTTGCTCACTGGGGTCAGAAGATTTTCGATCTCGGTGTCTTTCTGCCGCCGTGCTTTGAAGGCTTTGGCAATCACCCCGTCCTGCTGCCGGGAGGTCAAGTGCAGGGAACCGCCTGTAGGTAGGGATGGTGTGATGTTTAGTTGTTGTTTAACCAAGGAAGAAGATGCTGCTGCGCCCTTGCTCGCAGCTCCGCCCTTGCTCGTACTATTACCTTTCGCACCGGCATGATTCGCTGCGGCGGCAGTGTCGTGCGGCCGCTTGACTTTCGTGCGCTTCTTTTTTTGCACTTTCGAAACCTCTTGGCGCTCGTTGTCCTTCTCTTGCATATCAAATGCAAATACGTCTGGTTCTGGAGCCTTGTGATGTTAGTTGGCGAACCCTAAGGACGCCACCGTCGTCTTTTCATCTGTGCATCGCAAGTTTCCAGACCCAGACATATTTGCAGTTGATATCCCTTGCTAGTGATGGATGCGCTGTTGTTGAAAACCATTGAGGAGGACAAAAGGTTATCGGCCCCGACGGAACAAGAGGACGAACATGAGGGGGCAGGACCCGCGGGAGCAGCGCGAGAAAGACCTCGGGACCGCGGCCTTCCCCGGGGAATATCCGTTGGCAGTTGACCTGTTTTAGATGATATACAGAAGTAGGGAAGCAGAGAAGTCGTGCAACAAGTGCTTCACTACTTCCAATTGCATCGTAAAACTAGAGCACGGGAGTGAAGTATTGCTGTGCGTCTGTTTCTCGTTATTATATGAGTATGGATATGCAAGCGCGACAAAAGAAAAATCTTCAAGAAGAGGACGATCTAGATCGACTTCACTAACAGAGTGGGACTAGGCACAATAAGACCTTTCTCTTTCCCCGTCGCTGCAGTACCCTCAGCGGCTCGATCCGCGTCATTCTTGTTCCTTTTATCCTTCTTCTTCTGCTGCTTACGGGGCCGCGGCTTCTGCATGCGCTGTAACTGCTGGCGCCTCCTGGCCATGCGTCCGAGTGGGATGCGTTGCCTTCTGCGCGCCGTCTTCTCTTTTTTCTTTTTTTTTTGTTGTGTCTGCCTTTTGAGTCCGGCGCCATCTTCTCTGCTTTCTTCGTCTTCCGACGAAAGAAAAAAATGGTGAACCATATTGGAAGGCGAGTGAGGAATACTGTCGTATCTGTAAAAACGCAAAACCTAAACTTACACTTGCCAACTACTTTATGTATATTGCAATGTAAAACTAAAATGAAGTTTTTAGTAGATCACTGTAGCCGGTGCGAACCGCGAAGTTGTGTATCTCTGGCCTGTCGTTTTGGTTTCGGGATGAAGAGAAGAAGAAGCGAAAATAGACCCTAACCAGAGCGGGCGCGGGGCGCGAGTGGATACTTCTGCCCACGGGGTCCCATATATATACTGCAATGTAAAATCAAAATGGAGTTTTAGTAGATCACTGTAGCCGGTGCGAACTGCGAGGCTTAGTATATATATAAGAAGCTTACTTGATGAAGAATGACGAAGAGGCTTGGTTGAATTACTTATGAAAGACGGATCTTGCATAGTCGCAGTCTAAAACCCTTCAGCCTCGGGGTGGAGATCTTAATGTCGATATGACCCAGCGAACATGAAAAAGAAAAAGAATCGATTTCAATGCATCAGTGCGGGCTTCAATCTTATGTATTTACGACGATTAGAGAGTCTGAGATCTGCTGTGTTACCCCGGAGGAAAAAAGGATGTGTTGCAGCAGGCTATGAACACCAATAGAACTCGTGGGGCAAGAACGAAAAACTTCTTGCCACTGAAAAATATCGCATTGCTAAGTAACAAAGCACACGCGTGAAATCTCTGGACACTTCATAGCGGGTCTGAAAATACAACTCCGGCTTCGTACAGAAAAAATACAACCTATTCCTCCGGACTCGTACAGATCCAATTCCGGTTTCTCAATTCACAAATGGACATCTTGAGGTCTTCTGCTCTGCGGTAATGCAATTCGCCTTGGTGCGCTTTTGTTTTTTCGGTTCGGTCGGGGCCGCCGTTTTCCTGATGTTTTAGTGGTTGTCTTCTGCGAGGAACGTGCCACTGACACGGTCCTTCCTTATCCTGGTACCTGCAACAAGTTTGTTTTTCCGCTACCCGCTGGAGGTGGACGAGGAGGCCCGGGACCCCGGCGGAAAAGAGGAGGAGGAAGACGACGTGCCGGCAGTAGAGCGACCGCCTTGGTCCGCAGCGCGCTTCATCGCTCGCACCTGCCGGCGGAACTCACGCTCGGACTTCGGCGACCGCTGTCCACTCGGAAACACGGCCCTGTAGCCCAACTGTTCCACCCCGAAGGACATCTGGGACTCGGTCAGATCCTCATTTCGCGGGGACGGGGAGCGCGGCTCGGCAGGTTGCGTAGCGACCCGTGGGGAAGAAAGCTCTTGGTCCCCTGCGCCGGCAGCAGGTTCGCGAGCACGATCTTCCAATATGAAAGTGCACAACCGGCCCCCCTCCTCACTTGTGCTGCATGAACAGCAACAGAAGCTACAACACTCCAAATGTAGCGTCCGCACGACAAACCCAGACAAGGAATGGAGTCCGGTTTCCTGGAGTGTTGCAGGGATACGCATCACAAACTTTTTGGTCATAGTACCAGACCAGCATGCCAGACCTCGCTGTCTTCCAGACCCAGACATAGTTGCACTTGATAAGTCAAAGTCACTTCCTGCAACTTTGCATGACATATGAGGTTGGGAAACACGAATTGTGCACTCTCATAACACCCTCGCCAGCAAAAATCGGCTGCGTCTCTGATGCACCACTTCGATCTTGCTGGTGCTGCGGTGTCATCCTGTGCAAAAGTATCGTGCTCGTACTAATCCAGTTTATTCATTTATACAATAATTTCTCTCAAGGCGAATCCGCGTTACAAATTCAATTTGTATTGCTACTTATCTCAATTTGTAAAATGCTATTTTTACTAGTGCGATACTTTTGCAATGCATAGGTTGGTTGGTCGCGTCTTCCTCCTCGTCGCTATCGTCAAACAAGAGCCAATCGAGTATCAAAAGGAAAAATCCCTTCTCCTTATATCGAAACGCACGCAGATCCGAAGCCTAGGTAAGGGCCTTTTGGTGTAGGTGCCTAGCATGGTAGACGGCTACCCTGTAGGCGTCACAGCATTACAAATCGCCTGCATAACGTGGCGGACAGCCTGAGCGTGTCTCCTTGAAAGACAGACCCGATTTATGTTCACAAATCTGCATCACAAATTCTCAGGAGGATGCGCGTTCAATATGGGGAGGGGGGATTTTTCCTTGCAATATGGTAATATGCGCGTTTGTGTGTCCTGCAGAAAAGGTCGTGACAACCCAACCATGACAAAAAAAATACGTTAGGACGTTGCTGCATTCGAACTGGTTTCTCGAAATAAAATTATGTGCTGCGCGGCGACCACAGCCAGAGAGGTAAAATAATACTTCCTCTCGTTCAACATGAGGCTGCGGCCTGCGCCCTCCATTTCGAAGTGGAGAGGTGCCATTGACCTCCCGACTTCTAGCGAGTTGGTCCTCGAACAGATTTATTAGCCTCTGCCAATATTGATATTCACCTCTGGTAAATACGTACGAAAACATACAACCCTATATATTAGAAATAAAAACATAAAAAGACTTGTGACCGTGGTGTAAGTGCTAGAAGTACTTTCTTTGTGGGGCAGCGCAAATGCTTTTGAAAATGGTATTGGCCTCGTCACTTTTCTGCAAGATATCCTCCTCGTTTCGGAAGATCCGCGGTGGGCTCGTGTCTGCAGCTGTATGTAGTGCAAACATGTCTGGTCTCCTGCAGAATTAAGTACAAGATTTCTCATGCCCTTCCTGACATGAGCCTGCGCAGCTCCGCGATGCAAAGAAAAGGGAACTAAATCCGTTATTTCCCTGTGGTGCGAAATAAACGCAGACTGCCATGATCCGGAATTATACGCAGTCAAAAGCGGGGTCAAGCTCGGCTGCATATCGCAGCGCAACTACTTATGAGTTCTTGTCACAAAGAACCAGTTCAAATACGAGTTTCCAGCACACCAGATAGATACTTGCACTGGATAAGCTGCAGCAGCGGCTTGCGGCACGCGCGGCGGGGGCGATGCTTCTGGTGTCGCCGCTCTGTTGCTGCTGGAAGGGTTTGCTGCACCGGCGCGGTCTGCCAAGCGGGCACTAGAGGAAGAAGATGCTACCTGTGCCGCGTTGTTGTTGAGGTCATCTCGGCCTGCACCCAGAAGCGGGCTCTCCTGCGCGTCGGTGTCCATTTTTTCTGCAGCGTTGTTATTAGCGTCAACATCTAGCCCTTGAACTACAGCCGGGCTGTTCTCTTGCACTTCGGTGTCCATTTCTTCTCGTGCAGCACTGTGCGCGTCGACCTCCCGCTGGTCGGCATGATCTTCGCGATTTCCCCGAGCGACCTCGCGCTGGTTTCCTCCGACAGACTGCCTAGTGTCCCCCGCGCGCGGGGTCGAGCGCTCGCGCACACGGGCTGCTGGTGCCTGCCCTGGTTGCTTCGCCTGTTGGTCTTTCTGTTTCTCGACTCTGTTCTGCCATTTCTCCCGGACGCTTTTGACGCGGTCTTTTTGCGACGTCGTCAAAGCATCTGTGGTGCGACGCATTGTAAAAGACGGGAGGCTTAATATAAAAATACGCGTGCAGCTGTCGTACTGAACGGAGTTGCAGCTGACACAGTCACAGAGCAGATGCAATAAACTCGAGAATGAGGCTTAGTTTACTGCGTTTTGCGTTCCTTCCAGTACTGTTTAAAAAAGCTGACTTTCTAATCGAGACCGCGGGATGGACAACATCCCGAAAGCCAAATTTTTTCTCCTGTTAATAATGTGGGAAAAATAAACCGGAAAATTCAAAAAAAGCACTATGCTATGGCTGTCACGGGAAACAAGGACAAAAAGTTGCTGCCGGTCTGACACTGATGTAAGAAGCAGCAAGCAGGTGGCGAGTAGAATTGGAAATGAAGGAGTCTGCTGCTAGCAGTGCCAGGAGCGTTGCTTGGACACCCACAAAAAGAACCGGATCATGTAAAATATGTGTCCACTATTGACAAAATTCGATACTGGTGTTAGTATCCAAGCCGACGCTTAGGTATGACTCAGGCAGATCTTCTACGCTGCGTGTGATCCTCAATGGACGAAAACAAACCAAGACCCAGATCTCAATGCGCACTGCCACTGGGCGTCTTTTTGCTCGATTGCTCCTACCGACGGATTGCAAAATTGTTTCTACTTGCGATCAAGTCGATTCAAAAAGGGATCCTGAACAAAAGAGTGAAAGAGAAAATGATCTCAGAACTGCACGGGCAAAAAAACTTCTGCGTGTCTTATGAGTACTTTTCTCCACTATATGTACAGTTATCTTTGCAGCACGTGCTGTGACACACACCATTGAGTTTTCATCCGAAAAATGCATATTGCAGACGAGTTGATCCTGATATTACCATATTGTCATGATCGACTATGAATTATAATTTCATTCTTCATCAACATCGACGTTAAGATCATGTCCATCTTCCTGATCGTCCAATTTCAAGTCTTGGCCTTTTCGGAATTTGTAGAGAGTCTTCTCCACCGCGTCGTCAACAATAAAGTCATCCTCGTCCTCTGTCGTGTCCATCCTGCATGGACAACGGATCTTCCTCTCCGGAGCCCACGCGAGAATCCGCTCCCAGTTTTTCTGGTCGTCGGAACTGTGTACGCCGACAGTCGTAGTGAACTGGGATTTATTTCGTCGATCTACCGCCTTCGACGTGCTCCTGGACGCAGATACAAGGACTCCTACGTCACCTAGTGGTGCAGCTACTAGCAAGGGTCGCTCGATATTGTTCTCGCCACTTATACTTTGCTCCTTTTCATCGCCCATCGAGACGAGATGGTGACCGGGAGCTACTCCTCCTCCCCGTCCGACCTCCTCCATTCGCAAGCGAACGCCCGCCTTCCCGGCCGAGCATTTTCCCAGGTAGACGTGCGCGATCGGGTCTTCACAAAGTGCGCACAGCAGGATGCACAGCTCGCGCTCGGCGGTTCTCGAGGAACTGCTGGCGTTCTTCTCCAACACGGCGTTTGCAGGTGCAACGGGAGCCGCGGCGGGGAGCTGCTTGTAGTTCGAAGACTTCTTGTTCTCCGCTTCTTTTATTGCAACAACGCTCTCTGCCGACGGGGGTGAGTTTTTTCCTGCGGACGCCGTATCGCGTTCCTGCAACAACTTCGTAGCCCGTTTCAACATCATCTGCGGGCGTTGTACTACCGGTCCTTGTTCTACTGGCAAGAGGGATATTGAGGACGTCGATCCCCGAGCTGTAGACCGCGCTGCCTGAGTGCGGTGGTATGCTGTGCAAAAGTAATACTTCTTAATATCCCGGTACTCCTCGTAATAATCGCAATGATCACCAATGAAAAATATCGTTTTTCAGGTACATCAGCATCACAAATTCCGTTTTTTATGGTCTCAAGCTAATTTTTTGTATGTGAACGCAATGTGGTGCCATCAGTATCGGATAAGTAGAAGTACAACTTCATTTGCTGCAATTCTTAACCGAGTAGGCACTGCCGCAGCTTTGGACTTGATCTTCAGCGCCGGCTGCAACGCCGATGAAGCGGAAGTACTAAACGATGCAGCTACTGAAACAGGTTTTGACAGCGCTCTGTTCTTGTCGGCTTTCTTTATGACGGCAGAAGAAGAGGAGGACGAGGGCACTAGCTTCAAGGTTGCTTTCGGTGCGGCAAGGACGGCGTCTTTCCAGTCTTGGTCATTTTTTTTGGATTTGCGAAACTTGCACAGAATCCATTCCACGGTGTGTGCGAGCCAGCACAAAGGTTTCCCGTACTGCTGAAAAAGCTCCGTAAGGTCCGCCCGCATCAAATCGCACAGTACCAGCAGGCGCGCATCGTCCAGGTCCCGCTCCGCAACCGATCTCGACTTTTTGGCTACCGCCGTGCCATCTTGTTCTTTGCTAATGGGCCAATTTTCACCGGAAACGGCCCACGCCAACGGAACTACTGTGTATGAACTGCAAATGTCTCTGGGTCTGCAACAAGAATACAGAAATTTGTCGTGCTGGAAGGCTAAGGGCAGGGCGTGCGAATGCAGAGATTCGCCATGCAATTTTCGGACCTGCTCCTGCAATACGGTCTGGTCTTCATCCAGCGCATGCCTAGCCCGCATGAGAGATGCCCTTTCCAGGAGGCAAAAAGCGCACGCTTGATTGTTGCTGACTATGCAATACAGATTTTCGTCTACTCCAGGATCAGTATGACAATTTCCTATGTTCGAGACCCAGACGTATTTGTAATGCATACTGCGCCCAGCCCGACTACTGCTTTGACGTCTTCTAGGACCTCGAAAAAAGGTATGAGAGTGCACAACCCCCCTCCGCTCCCCCCCCATTTGCATGGCACAAACATCAATACAAACGCCAACACGACAAGTGGAGGTTGTGCGTGACCAGTGCATGAGCGTTTCGGCTTCCGGAAGAAGCACCTGTCACGCAAACAGGCACGCAAGACAGCATGAGGGATTTTGCATGACAAAAATGCAAGGGGAGGATAGCGGGAGCAGGCGGCGAACTCTCATAAAAGCATCGAAAAGCTCGCAGAGGTCGATGAAGAACTCGTACAAGTAAAAAGGCATGTCGCGCAACAACTTTCGACCGTCCTTCGGTTTCGTCGTACTGCCGCTTCCCGCCGTCCACAACGCCCGAAAGAGTTCTGCAGCCGCGTGCAGTCTCGCATCAAGTGACTCCGTTACCGAGGGCGGCTCCCAATGCCGCAGTTCGTTCCAGAATTTTTGCAGGGTGGCTTCGCTTGCGAGCACCTGCATGCCGCGCTTGTCTCGTTTCCTTTTCTGTTCCAGGAATTGCAGCTCGTCCTCGGTGAAGGGGGGCACCAAGCCTAGAGGCAGAGGCTCGGACACCCAACTGCCATGGAAACTTGATTTCGTTCCCGGCTGCAAAATTCGCTGGAGAAGCGCTCGGTAGGCCACCTTCCCCGGCGACCCCTTTCCCCCTGGCGTGGTTTGCGGCAACTTCTGGTGCAAAAATCCGCTTCGGCCGGCGTCCCGCCGAAGCGCCGTAGCGTCCTCGTCCGAGCCACTCGTGAGCGCGCCCTTGTTCGACTCTGCCTCGCATGATCCACTGCGAATCTATCCGGTTCATCTGGAAAATCTTTACCTGGCTTGTTGTCATGTGTCGACGAGGACATTAAGAACACCAACAGGAAGGAAAGAATTGTATAAATAAACGAAAGTTCTTGAGCTACAGTTGCATCGGTTTGCTAAGCAGAAACGCAGTCTGTCATGCGATTTACACAATACCTGGGCGTGGGCACTGAAAACTTTGTCACGCGGCATTAAAAATATTTCCCAATAATTATAACATTGCAGCCTGCTTATGATCCACGCATTTTTAGCGTTACGACTTTCCAGACACGGAAATATTTGCATTGGATACCGCAATCAGCAGCTCTTTGGTGAACTGGAGGAGCAGCCCACACCGTTCGTGCTGCACGTTTCGCAGCTGCATCTCCAGAAATTCGCCCCAGCCATCGCTGACGCTTGTTTCAAACTGCTCGCCGAGGTAGTGAGAGACGACTAGCTCCTTGGCTTGGCGCAGCGCCGGGTCTTGCGGAGTGTTGTGAGCGGCGTAGACCAGTGCCATCGCCCAGGAGGCCCTTGTTCACACTACTAGATCGTGGGTCGGGAGGCGCTGTCTTGCATCCGTCATTTAATGTTGCTTGCTGTTCAGAAGTACCGGTAATTTTTGCGCGGAGACAACGCTAATGACGAACAAATAAAAATAAGTACATAAAGTCGGAAGTCGTCCAATTCCTAGATCTAGACCAAGGCGCTGAGGGAAAAAAACTAATTGGCAAATGGTTCTACTACAGCGGTAAAGGACGACCCAAGGGCTCTCGAAGCTTGGCTGTGGCTGGTTGCTGTTTGAAAAAAGCGACAACAATAGAGAAATTCATTGCACACAAAGATGGCGATCGGATCGATGTTCTTGGTAAATTCTTTTTAGGCCGTGACAGATGCGCTACTGAAGAGATAACGGAACACAAGGCGGCCCGTTAGCTACTGGCGCCGCCCGAGATATCGAGCAACCGCCAAACGGGTGAAAGATAATATAGACAAACTGCCTGCTCGGCCGCGGGCTTGCCCATCCGCCTCCTCGTCTTGCTGGCTGCCTCATTGCTGCCAGCCTAGCTAGCTTAGCAAGCTACCAGGCGGCGGTGGCCAATCTGCACATATGGGCAACCACCCCGCGCCACAACGAGCGCGCCAACCTACCACGCTCGGACGGCCGGCCGCCCCACGCGCGCTTTAGGCGGCCGTGCACGCGCGCGGGCGCGCGCCCCCCGTACATTCGGCGGGGGCACAGACGGCAGGACTACGCGGCCGGCGGGGAAGGGGGGCAAGGGCCTGGCCGGCTACGCGGCGCGCTGGTAAGTTAGAGAGGACAAGGCCGCGCCGGCCCCTCCCATGCGATTGCCCAGCGGCATCGCCCGCGCCCCGGCGGGCCGAGCGAGGGGGCCGGCGACCGGCGCCCCGGCAGACATTGGCTGCGTTCGGTGCTCGCTTTTTACTTCCAGCTTGGGCGGAAGACGAAGATGGCAATCCCGCGCCTATATCTGTTCCGTGGCCAGTCAAGAGTCAGCCCGCCCGCGGGCGGCAGGTGGCGGGCGGCGCCCCCCCAACAAGTAAAAAACGGGCCGACTAGGCGCGACGGCGCGCGCCGGTGCTCAACTTGCCCGCCGGGCTTCTGCTGTGGGTGGCCCCCGGGAAAAGGCGCGAAGCTGCGGGCCGCCGAGGTTCCTCGCGATGGATAACTCTCGGCCATGGCCAACGCAAACACCTTCCGGTGGTCGCCGTTTATCAGCCCGGCGCGGCTGCCCGCCTTCGGGGGGAGGTATTTGCAGCCGCGGCCAGGGCCGCGCCGGCGGGGCTGCGTCTTCGTAAATTCCGGCCGGCGCCCTTCCTTCGACCGTGGCAACGGTCCACAGCTTCAGATGCTTGCCCCAAGTCCCTCTCCCTTGCTTGGGCTTTTGTGCTGCGTAATGTAATTCCATGCGGGGGCGCTGACTCGTAGCACCCACGGCGGGGCGCGGACACACAGAGTGGCGGGCCCCTCGCTCCCAGATAATGCGCCAGGCGCGCGACCCTCTGGGCCATTTTTGAAAGCCGCTACGTGTTGTCCCCCCCCCGCTATCGCCCCGACGCAACCCGCTCCGGGCTCATATGCGGGCGGGGTCTTTGGGGCGACACCTTCGGGCATCCGGCCCCATGGTCCGATAGCTGCACGCGCCCGGCCGCCACCCTTCTCGCCCCGGCCCTCTGGTTCTCGTCCCGCTTGCTTTCATACTTCACCACAGGGGCGGGCCAACCAAAATTCACCCAGGCAGGGGCGGGGCGCGCGCCCGCGCCAGCCCAGCGCGGCCGCCGGCTTTAGTCATGACGCGCGACCTGAAATTCTTCACGAGGGCACGTCGTTGCGACTACCGAAAACGGACGCGCTTTTGATCTTCCCGACTACGGGCGGGCGCGCTGCCGCACTGGTTCCAGTTGCGGGGCGATCCATCGACAAGGGGCAGGGCGGCAACACGCCGGGCCGCGTTCGTTTGCCGCACCAAACTGGGCACCTGCGGCAGGCCAGTGCCGGCGCACCACGCAGGGCGCTTGACTCGGGCCACCGGACGCCAATCGCGCCGGCGGTTTTCCTGTCAATGGATGCGGGGTCTCCTTCGCGTTGTGAGTGGCTTCTTGATCCAAGACCCTTGTTGGTGCTCCAGGTCGTCGCGTCGAAGCGATTTACTCAGAACACAAAACAATCTGACTATGCTTCTACAGCTTCTGAAATCCAAATTCTGTGGGTTAATTTCACCTTCGCAACGAAGGGCGTTTCTTCATGAGCACGTGATAGTAGATACGAAACGCTTGTGCTTCGCTATTCAAACTGTAGCGCAAGACATCTCGCATTTTCAAAATATTTGCTCAAGTTTTTCCCCTGAACGCACACGGCGCTGGTGCGTCATTCGAATATCATTCCTCGTCTTAGTAGTTCAACATCTCTTACGACAGATTTGGAACCGCCCACGCTAGATGGAGCCAGGCTTCGTTCTCAACCACCTCCTCTCCTATAAAACAACTCGCCTGCTTCTCAATAGCGCAGACGCTCGATCCGGCTTTGCAAGGCGAAACCTTCTCTACTAACTCGTTTTCATCTTCTCCGAAACAACTTTGAGCCGGTAGTTTCTTTCCCCTCTCGTGAAGATGTCGTGGCTCCGATATTTTTTGCGCTAGCACGGAAGGCTTCGCAGCAGATTGTTTCTCCTCGCGTTGTTCCTACTCGTTGGCGTGACGCGCCGTTGATTACTTAGACGTTGCGTTGCTCGCGCCGAAAAAAACTTGTTCATCGTCGATCGTGTGTATAATCTTCACGGCGACAAAAAATGATGTAAATATCGTCCCAATCGTAGTCATCTCACCAGCCTGATCTTCTTCTCAGTCGCGTGAAGGCAGCTGCTAATGGAAGATCTTAGTACGCGGCTCCCGTTGTTGATTGTGGTTTTGGTTCAACGAAATGGTATCTCGGGCCTGGTACCATGAAGACCACGGGTAATAAGCAGCCGATCATGTAGGTGTAGTGGCAGAAATCAAAATCCTGTAGTTCCCTGGTTGTGCCCTCATGACGGTTCCTCGGTCTCGGTAGCTAAGTATTGTCGTGATGCAAGAAAAGAGTAGAGGAGCCGGTGTTGACACATGGAGGTTGTGCTTCGTACTGCGTGCTGTTGTTCACGACCTGTCATCGCCAATCTTGATGGTCCCGATGTACAAAACAAACATCTCCTCCTGACTTTCGTTGCCAAACGCGAAGTAGTTGAAAACTAATAAATAAGGCGTGGCGAAACTGCGATACCGATATTAATCTCTCGTAAGTGGTGCTGGCTGCAGGAGCTGCCACGTCGTCATCTCCTAAACCACGTCAACTACTACAACTTCCAACGGGCATTTTTCCCTCGCGTTATTTTCCCTCGGTTAACATCCTTTTGAAGCAGCGTGGAGTTGTATTTTGCGGTCAGTGCCAGTAGTGTCGGAGCGATACTGGGTAGGCCGCCTGGGGTCGATTCTGTGTTTGAGTTCGAATTGAAAAATCAGCGCCTTGTTGTTCCTAAACATTAATCAACAAGACCTCATCAAGTATGCATTTCACAACTTTTGAAACCACAACAGGAAACAAAAGTCAGTACCTGGCATGATCCACATTGCGTAGCTCATGGAACCTCTTGTAGCCGGTTGCTGACGTTTATTTTCGTAAGTGATGCAGCCTTTCATAGCCAGTATTTCCAACATGTCGTCTTTAATCGTGGGTGTAATTTAGTTGAAATTGAAGAATTTTTCGTAGCAATGTTTTTTCCCCTCGCGGTCGTATCTTTTTGGATGTTGTTGCGGTTAGAAGTAGAAGTCGCAAAGGTGCAGCTCAAATGTAGTCGCAAGAACATGGCACCCGTCGCCCGCTGTGGTGTAGCTCGCGTGGAGCCGAATCCTCGTTTTGATTGATACGTCGTTGGTGTTGTTGCTGATTTCCGTTCGAAAAAAAAAATGGGATGACGTGCATTCGAAGAGACGGGACGAGAAGAAGAACTCACCCGTAGCTGTCGCTTCGTAGAGTAAGAGTGCTGGCTTAAATAAAATTGTCGGCATTTTTCGGTGGAGGTAATAAGTACTAGCTTTTGCCACCGCTCCTCTTTTCGTCGCAAAACTCTAAATTTAGCTGCCTGGTGGTTTCGCTGTTGATGTTGTAACGGGTCGTTGTATAAAAATAAATGTAAAAGAAGGTTGTTGAACAATATAGAGTCGTGCCGGATAGAGCGCGAAGGCGTAGAACTGGTGTTGACGTGGCAAGATTGTTCTCCGTCCTGGTGAATCTACTACGACGTCCACTGCTATTTATTGTTAAGTCATCATCGCCCACCTCCACAAAAATCCTCTGATGTGCATTACTAACATTTACCGATGTGGAGAGTGAGCTTCTCCTGCTGATCCTGCTTAGCTCCCGGGTAGCTGTAGTTTAGGCATTTGTTTACTGGAACAGGGCCTTCTTCGTCTTACCGTCTTCCAAGTTAGTGGGAATCGCTCTGCAACCGCTCGTATCGAACGCAAATGTGACTAGGTCAGGAAAAGTGCAATGTTTGTCATGCATTTCTTTAAAATGACCTATAAGTAAGAGCAACTTCATCTTCAACTTCTGTGATGTATGCTCTAGCATCACAGATTTTCTGTGTATTTCTTGATGCCTTTCCAGCAAAAGACATAAAATGCCTCCTCCGCGGAGGAAAAAAATGCGCGGCTCTTGCTGCTGAGGCAAGACAAATTTTTTCAGACTCCAAAACCAGCATCACAAGCTGCAATCTCGCCGACTCAGACAAATTTGCATCCGATAGCCCTCTTCTTGCTCGTGCTGTTGCTCCCTGGACGATCCTATGCATTGCTAACATGTCTGGGTCTGGACGATCGAAACTTCTGGTGCGCGTTTTGGATCAGACAAAAATCTGTCATGCATGGAAAGCAAAAGTCGCCCAGTTGTTGTCACCAAATCCTCGAACTCCTCATGCGGGGTAGGCATTGAGAAAGCTGCCAGAGCTTCTTGGTCATGCAAAAACAGCATGACAAAGTCCACCGCACATCATTTCCGGACCCAGACACGTTTGCAATGCATAGATCCGGTGACAGGTGAGTCGTTCCGGTCACACCGCGGGCGGGAGCAAGAAGTGCTTGTTGCACGGCAGCGCGGCGAACTCGCAGTCTTCGCTCGCTTGTGTTCATCGTCGCAAGAACTTTTGGACGTCGATTTCTTTCGCCTTTTCTGCCCCCCGCTGGCGTCGCCGCTATCGCATTCGTTCTCGTTACCACCTATAATTGCGCAGGGTAGACACAATTTCTTCGACGTCGTGCTCATTGTTACTATCTCTGTTCTTGTGCATGTAGTGGTCCCAGAACACGTCGTGCTCTTCGGCGGAGGAAAAGTCTGATTTCTAACATGCTGGCCGTGGTGAAGCAAATCCTTCAGCGATGAACGTCCCATGTAGTTCTCTTCGTCCACAAACTCCAGCTCAACATCCGACGTGCTGTCAGCTACCGTGACTGCAGCTGGATGTTGTTTTTGTTTTACTTTTTTGTTTTTGCTCCTCCCTGGTCCTCGTGCTCGTGCTCCTTGTTGCTGCTCCGCACTCTGTGGTGTACTACAGGAGGAGATCATCTCCCTCGACTCGTGCGCGACAAGCGCAGGTGGAAAATGTTCCTTGTGGTGGTTGCTGCTGTGGTTGTCGGGACTTCCACAGCTACTTGAGATGATCCGTGGCTCGCGCGAAAGCGGATGTTGACCACGGTAGTTGTACGACCCAGGAACAACTTCTGCACAGGAAGTTGCACTACTTCCGAAATTTTTATCGTCCATAATGGACGACGGCCACACGTCTGCCCGCTCGGTCGAACGTGGTCGGACGTTGATATTTGATGTTGCGGGAGGCCCGTCTAGCATTGAAGGTTCGCGTTTGTTAATGCAAGAACCTCCTCCCCCTGTGGACGACGAGAGTACACTTTGCCGATTTTGTGCTGGTCTAGGAGAGCGGCTGCTGGTGCACACTTTTCGATCCGGACCGCCATGCTTATCGGACGAGGAAGAACTAGTTTTCATCACTTTGGAGGAGGTAGTAGAAACGAGACCGATGTTTATTTCTGCACCGCTGTCCGTTGCAGTTGTAGCAGTACGACAAGAAGAACCCGTGCTGGAAATAAGTCGCATCAGTTGTGAAGATTCTTTCGTCTTGTCCTCTGTAGTTGTACTTTTTGTTATCTGGGCGGATGGTCCTCCCGAGTAAGAAGTTGTTGTAGGTTGTGGCGTATCCAGTGCAAATATGTCTGGGCCTGGAATATTTTTCAGGGATTTGTCATGCTACTTTGGTACGCTTACATCAATTCACTGACATGCATCGCAACTTTCCAGACCCAGACATATTTGCAATGCATATAGCATCTTCTTGAGCCCGTTGTTCCACCTTCCCGTGCGAATAAGCTCCTCGTTCCTCCTGCTGTTAGCCAGTTCGGACATCACGCGCTTCGGGTAGTTCATGTAGCTGCTATCGATTGTCACAGGCTTCTCCTTTATGCATCGCAAAAGTTGTTGTACTATCCTCCTACTAGTATGAATTGCATTTACAAATTTGTTCACACGGAAAATTAGAATTTGTGATGCTGGTTTAGCTGGTATAGAAAAAAGATTTGTCATATATCATTGAATTTTGCAATAAGTACAACGACGATACTTATTTTGCAGCCCATATCCTTCACCTGTTGACAACGAGTGCGACGTCGTGGTTCTGTATGCGGTTTTGAGGTTGTAGCTGCTGCTGTGGTAACTTTAATATAATCCGCTGTAGTTGCAGTTGCTGTCGGTTTTGAGGTTGTAGCTGCTGTAGTGGTGATTTTAATACTCGCTGTAGTTGCACTTGCGGTCGGTTTTGAGGTTGTGGGTGCTGCTCTGGTAATTTTAATATCCGCTGTTGATGCAGTCTCTGTCGGTTTTGAGGTTGTAGCTGCTGTACTTGTGGTACGTTTGATATCCGCTGTAGTTGCAGTTGCTGTCGGTTTTGAGGTTGTAGTTCCTTTAGTCGTTATTTGCAGTTGCTGTGTTGTAGTTGCAGTTGCTGCGCCGACGCCTTTATTATTTCCCAAGTCCATGTTGATCCGTGGCGTCAAGGTTACGTGGGTCTTGGCTCGCGGAGTAATACTAACATTCATGGCCGGGGTCGGCGAGGGAGCTGCACTGGTGCGGCTACGTGGCTTTAGCAGCACTACCCGGTGGACGCCGGATTATACCAACTGAAAACCTGCTCTTTCCGTACAGTTCTTGTTATAGTATTTCTGTCAAACATTTCGTTTCTAAGTACCACGGACAAAAAATCAAGAATACATGTTGATTTTTTCACAACATAGAACCTCCACTCCTACTTCTTAGAAATAGGATACCATGCACGTGTCGCTCCCTCGCAAAATCTTACCGCGGACACCTTCTCCTCTGCATCATGTTCAAAACAACCGTTGTATTTATCACAATAAGCCGAGACATCGTTAAACCGAGACGAGTATAGAATCGTTCACAGATGAGACGAGGTAAAAATAAAACCAGCTACTGAAGAACTGTCGGAAGAACTCGAAAACCGTTCCCTTTCCGTAGTTGATTCGGGTGGCTTGGTCAAGGTGACGGTGGTCTGGTGCGGGGTGTCGTTGGCAAAGTCCATTTGCACGGCTGCATTCCGCTTCAGATGTACCAGCTTGCCGTCCTTCGGGTCATCGCTGCTCGCGCCAGGGTCTTGATTGGAGTCCGTCTCGCGGCCGCCAGAGGTATTGAAACCACCACGTGGCGCCCCAGAACCAGAAGACCGCCCTGTAGAAGTTGCTCGCGGCACTAGAACCACAGGCTTGTTAAGTCCCTCCACTTCAGACGGCCGCTTGAGACTGACGCGAACCTTTTCGGCACGGCACTGGTCCTCGCGCAGGAGTTTGGTCTCGTAGTTGGGCACGAGGCGGACGGTTTCAGTTTCTGTTGGCCCGCTGGAGGAAATGATCATCATTCCCTGGTCGCCCCTGTGCGGCTGCTCGACCACACGTTGTGCCCGTATCTGCGAGGACGGGGTGGAAGTCGTTCTTGTGCTCGACGACAGTTGCATCTCCATCGCTGCTGGGCGGAATGCGGCTCTCCGTGTTAGCAAAACCTGAGATGAGTTGTTGAATTAATCGTAAAACTAAAACCAAATGGTGCAACATCAACTATCACGGAAATAATATTCTCACACCTCGATTATAAAGTTTTTTTTCGGGTTCTCCACTTGGAACAGAAATCTCGAAAGATGAAAAGGCGAAGAACTACTGTTCTCTAACCATTGAACATTTGCAGAAATACGCCGTCGGTCTTTTCTTCCTGTAAATTTCGTGCTGTAAATAAAGTACTTGTGGGCTGCTCCGGCTGCTGCTACGTAGATCGTGTGGCTTCAAATGCCGCCCTGCGGAAATGAAAGCCATCGCTGCACGGCACCGGCCGTTTTACGGGAAATTTTCTGTGACCGATGTCGACGCAGGTGGAAGTGAACGAGAAAAGCGACCGGTATGAAGCGGTTTGTGGCGCGGGATATCAGTGATCCCCGGTAGTTCCTGAGCTGCACGACGGAAGCGGGTAGTACCTCGTCTTGAGATTTTATGCGTCAAAAAAAACAAACTCCCGGATCCAAAGTGAATTTATGGATGGCGACGGCTAGTAGTAACAAAGCTGAATAGGGTGAAATTTTGGTAAAGTAGCTTGCGATCAGACTACTTGACACTGGAATTGTCCCAGCATTTTCTTTTTCTCAGAAGGTCAGGCTAAAGAAGTACACTACGCTCACTTATGTCTGGTGCCGAGCAAGCGTGTATAGTTTACGTTCACGAAAAACACAAAAATTTTTGCATAGCAAAAAAAGGCAGCAAAGAGGAAACGGTTGCTTGACTAAACAGACGAGCCGGTCGCGCGCTCTTTCAGCCTACGCAGCTCATGAGCTTCTTCCTGTATTGTTCTTCAGCAAGCTGTTGGCAAGTCGAACGATTACTATATCACCACAATTTGCAGTAGAGCTTGAGCTGTCAGATTTTGATTGAAACCTCTGGAGCCTGTGCTGCAAGCATACTACTTTCAAGTCGACGGCATCAGTCATCTACAGCCGCGCCTAGCACTACTCGGAGCCGCAGACATCACTCGCTTCGTGAGATCATGCGCAAAATAAAACTACACATGCCGTAACGCTGCAGGACGCGGATCCATTACAAGAAATGTCAGATCGCTTTGGCCTTAAGATCTGCCATGTTGATTGACCCAGGGTAATTGTGCTTGAAGCGCGAAAGAACTAGCAGAAAGAGAAAAATAATGACCTCGCCTGGATCGACTTCGAAATCGATATGGATCTTTGTGTCTTATTTTAGTAGAGTAGTCTTTGTGCGATGTAGTTGATGACACTTTGTGCGAGCCCTTAGGTCGCTGTAGGTACTAGTTGCTGTTCTAGTGCCTGTGGCTTCGATCTTGATGTGGCGCGGCACGAAGGTGGCGCGCAAAAAAAAACTGAGGGGTGTGTCGTGCGTGCTCCTCATTATAGCCATGCTCGTAGCTTGAGCTTGTTCGGTTCTTGTTTTGATAAAAGTACAACTTCGTTGGTGTTTCACAATTCTGTTGTTCCCTCGGCGTTATTCTTTGGCTTGGTGGCAAAGGTTCTGCTCTTTTGACGGCCCTGCCAGGCACCAGCAAATTCTTGCTTGAAAATATGCATATTTCAGTCAATCAGATCTAGAACCACTAAAATTGTATCGAGTCTCGTGGTTATCGGATTTCGACTTGATGATGCTGTTATCTTCAAAGATAGTTGGCTACGACCACACTGCTACTCCACCGCCAAATGTAAAGAAACAGATGCAGCCACTGAACTTGTGAATAACTACGCTCATTCGAATCTGCTGTCAAAGCTGCTAGCATCTTGGTCACTGCCTCCTCAACGACTGAGGAAGACGTCGCTGTGAGAACAAGAACAAATCATGATGCTATTTTAATAAACTAACCAGTTGCCACCTTATTCTGCCAGTAGATACGCCATCTCTATTTTGTGTATAGCTGTGCTTCTTGTATATTATTTTCGTTAACAGATAACATATGTAGAATCGAATTTTATTGTTGGGCGGTTTTCATGCAATCGCTTTCCGCGATGAGAGCACTACTCCTCCATTCATGTGTGTTGCTATGTAAAATAGAAGTGATATTATTAATGCGCCCGGGCGGCGCGCAGCCGGCTTTTTTCATGTTTTTACCATGTTCTTTTTTCAATGCGCCTGTATGTTGTAAAGGCGAGTATTAAAGAGTACGGGCAGGTGGAGTTTTTTTCCGTACAAATGAGTCCTTTAAAAGAAGAACCAAGCATGACAAAAGAAAGCGTTTCTATTGATGTGAGAGTAAGTAAACGCAAATACATTCTTTTTCTTAAAGATTCAAAGTTTCAGAGCGATTTTCTATTGGGCTCGCTCATAAGGAGCGGCAGGAGTTTTCCGTGGGATAAAATTTGCAAAACTTCTCATCCCTGAAAGAGTCTGCTGCATCTGATGCTGAACTTCAAACAACCTTTATAGACATCAATGCCAGCGTAAGAATAAATATGTATTAACTTGATAAAATTATTGCCTGACGTCCTGCCATTATAGGCAAGCATTAGCGGAAAAATACAACCACGAAAAGTAAAAAACACGCTTTGCTCGAAAGCAAGGACTATTAAATCACTTGAGGATGCAACACGGGATTTTGTGCGGAAGGTCCTCTGTGATGTTGTGGCCGCCCACCTAGCTGTAGTATTATGCACGTGTCCAGCTGGTTTCTTGCTCTTTGTACTGTGCCGCTTGGTACTAACTTGGAAGGCACATAAAAACGTTCAGAGCTGCACGATGACCATGAGAAGGCTAAATCGGATCTACTTCTCAGTGCTCGTAAAAAATGGTTTGGTTTTTGCGCGACTTACCCCAGGGGGCGCGTTGATGACGCACATAAATACACTTCAACACGATCGTCGAAATGAATGAAATTGCAAAGTCTAACTACATTCGACGCTTTTGCTTTTTTATTATCAAGATTCTGCGTTCACACATCTACACACTTCGAAACCTAGTTCCCAGCAAGTGCACAACAGTTGTCTTGGAAACTTCTTCGTCAAAGTTCGCCGGCCACTTCGATTGCAAGTCGGAGGTGAGTGTTGAGCGGTTCACAGATCATGAATAGGTCTTGCGTAGGTGCGGTACCACGTCAGGGAAGACGTTCGGAGAAATCTCAATCATCGGTGCAGCAGCTGCGTCGGTGCTGTACTGGAAAGGAGAGAAAAGTAGTTCGCGGTTGCTGTACTTGCCGAGAGGCGGATCCTCATCTTCTTCTTTACCTCCGCCACCACCACAGTCTCCGCACTGCCCCGCCGTCGAACAACCGGCATATTTGTCAACATCTTGCGCTTGAGTCGACATTTTCTGTTCCTGCGAAGATGTTGTCGCCGCGAAGAAAAGCATGTTCTGCACACGAACACCCGTAGATGATACGGCGTTTATTAATGCGTTGTAACACCCCAGCACTAAGTACGCGTCTAGTGCCGCGTAGCGCTGGTAAAGCTCGGGCAAAGGGCGTGGTAGAAAGGCCCAAGGACTGCACTCCAGTTGCCTGTTCAGCTGGAACCCTTTGTAAACAACTTCACACAGCTCGGTCATGGAGGTCCAGCACGACGCGGAGTGGTCCTCTTCCTTCGTGGTGGGTGTGAACATCTTCAAAGCGGGCTCTTCATTTGGTTGGGTGGAGGAAGCGAACTCGAGCTTTTGGGTGCTGGCACTGGGGACGCAAAATTTTTTTGCGTTTGTGCTGCAATCCGAGTAGTCCGATTCGGCATCACCTGGGTTGTAGTTCTGGGGCGCCGGGACGGTTTGCAAATTGATCAACTCCGCAAGGTATGGATTGCAAATACGTCTGGGTCTGGAAGATTGCAACTCGTCATGCTAAATCTGAAGCATGCAGAAAGAGAAATCTGTGTTGCATGAGTGCCAAAAGCTGTCCACTTTCGATCAAGTTGGAAGAAAATTTCTGCCGCAGGATGCTTAGGCATGGCAGAGAACAACTCACAGAGTCTGTCATGCTCGGTCCCGCATTTGAGACCTCATAGCTCATGAAAACCCTGCATGACAAGTTTACATTCTTCCAGGCATCCCGGGATTGTATTTGGATTTGATACAAGGTGGTAGGACTTGGATTTCTTCGTTTTGCGGCTCTTGTTCTCCAGTTCATCACCTGGTGTCAAATTCCGTCGCAGACCACCTCCGACCGGGTTTATTTTTCCTGCTTCATCTCTACAACTCAATTCTACTTGTTCTTCAGCATCTCCACCATGATGATCATCCACGGAAAGACCCAGCCTGGAAAACTCCTCCGTTCCGAAGGCCACAATTTTCTCGGCATACTTTTCCGAAATACTGCGCACCAAATCCAGGGCGTAGTTGCTGAAGGCGCGGTCGAGGCGGCGAGCCTGTTATGCATGTGGAAATATGTCTGGGTCTGGAAGATTTTAACTTGTGATGCTGTCTTCGGATTCGAAAAAAATCTGTATTGCATGACCAGCAAGGGGAGTTGTCCAGTTTTTTCTACACGAAAAGGGCATTTTTGACGCAGAATTGGCATCAAGCGAAGTCCTCTAAAAATCTGTGGCGCTAGGCCATGCGTTACAGGCATCACGGGTCATGCAAAATATGCATGACAAATCTGGCATCAATCTTCCAGACCCAGATTGATATTTGCAGTTGATACCTGTTCTTTGTAATCAATTACTGTTTCGCCCGGCTCTTTCGCGGTCACATAACAGCTTCTCGTAAGGTACCGGGCCCTCAGTGGAACAAGGTCGATTAAAAACACCTTCTCGGCCACCGCAAGGAGGACCAAAGAGCCGGCGGGAAGATGGTGCTCGCAATCGTGTCTGTGGTCGTCGGGCGGGGGGGCAGAGGTTGTTGTACTTGCGCCCCCTTTACCGGAGGTCCTCGCAGCCTGAGAGGAGCAGGAACTACAAGGAGAAAAACCCACCTGTTCATTACTGCATTCGGAAAACTTCTGCCACTTACACTTCAGACCGAACGTGTAACGTTGACCTTCTTGCAGGTGCTTGTCCACGTCCTGCAGGCCAAACACCGGGATGACCGGGACTTCGGGCGGTAGTATCCAATGCAAATTTGTCTGGGTTTGGACGGATGCAACGTGTCATGCTGCATCTGCTTTCTCCAAAAACCTGTATTGCCGGAACAGCAAAAGAGGTCCAGTTTTGGCCACGGCGAGAGGGCATTTCTCATGCGGTATAGGCATTGGGAAGCCCACCTCACAGAATCTGTGATGCTAGGGCATGCATCACAGACATCAAAAGTCATGCAAAATGTGCATGACAAACCTTGCATCCTTCCAGACCCAGACATATTTGCATTTGGTAGGTAGTCGCAAAAACCTACTGGTCGCAGGCGGGAGTGGCCCTCGTCCCGGCCATTCGGCGCTCTGCGTTTCCAGAGGACCCACTTCCGCTGCTTCGGTACATGTAGTTGTACGGGTGGAACAAGATCTCGAGATGAGAGGATGCGCGCAGCCGCAGTCTTCTTGTTCTTCGTCGGAAATAAATGAAGTGGTTGTACCGGAAAAACGTTGAAAAGTGCTTTCCAGCTGCTCTTGCTCGCCCGAGATGTTGCTCTGTAGCCCCGAGCTGGTCCTCTGTACTCCCCGCGACGGAAAGTGGTTGGTTCTGTGGCTGCAATTCCAATTCTTCTCTTCACCATGCGAAGGCGCCAACTCTTGCTCTTCACGGGTGAGCGCCAATTCAGCGTCTGCAAACGCCTTCTGTAGTCTTTCGCGCTCTACTTGCAGGAAAAATTCAGCTCCACCTGATTTTGACAATTGGTCTCTTTCGCACGATGTACGTGCACTGGGACGACTCGTGGTCCAACTAAATGATAAAACATGGATGATGGTCAGAACGGTATACTAGATTGTGATGTGAAGAAAGCGAGAAAGAAATGAATTTAGATTTACTCACCGTGACGTGAAAAGGAAAAAGCTTTCGCCTTCTGTCGTCTTTTCTGTTCTTTCAGGAAATATCAAATGCAACCATGTCTGGGTCTGGAAAAATACCACAGTATCTGCTCAAGCAGTTTTTCCAAGCTGTGAGGAAGTAGCTCCGTTATGCAACACAGATTCAGGTAGTACTTGCGTTAGCCGCAAACCACGCATAACAAGTTTATGCTTTTTTCCCGACTGCGACATTATGTTTGCAGAATGCATAGGAAAACCTGTTCCCGCAGTTGTTCGAAGTCGCAGAGAAACTCGTGGTATCCTGTGCAAAAGTATCGCACTCGTACAAATGCATTACAAATTTCCTCAGCATGAAAAATAAAATTTGTAATGCTGATTTACCTTGAAAAAAAGATTTGTAATGCATGATTGCAATACAAGTGCAATACTTTTGCACAGGATAAGTGGGAAAAAGTGTTGTACAAAAAGGCCTCGCTGAGTTCGTCGGCCGCGCACTGTCTGCGTAGTTCCTGATCAAGTTGATATTGGTTCGACGCAGCTCCGAGTAATAAATCCTCGTCATGATGAAGAAGATGTTGCTCTTCATCCAGCACCGTAACAAGTGCAACACCATGATCGCGTTCATCATTTCCCCGCGTCGCTCTTGTCGTAGAGGGAGCAACCGTGCGAGGACTACTACCAAGTGGACTGGTGGAACGAAATTCCGATTCATCATGCTCCTGCTCCGTTTCAACATCTTGCATTAGACACAGCTGCTGCGCCGCTTGCTGAAGTTCCTCACGGACTAAATCCAAGAGCTCCAGTGCCCGCTTGGCCGGCAGACGCAAAACCGCCTCTTCCCACGCGGTCGCCAGGTCAGACAGCAGAAACTGATCGTCTTGCGAGACCATCTGCGACAAAACGTGGGGAAGAGGGTAGATCTTGAGCATGACCAAGGCCACGGCGACACTCGCATTCCGGTCCACCGCTTCCGTCAACTGCTCGATCCAGTAAGCGTAGTCTACGTCGTTGCGTCGAATGATCGCGTCGATGATCGTGTACTCGTTTTTCAACCGGTTGTCGTGGTGCTTCTCCGCACTACCGCCCATAAATTCCTCCGCAAAGGGGCTTAGTGCTTGGTAGGCCTCGGCGAGCAAGGAAGCGTCCAATTTGCAGTCTTTCTCCTCGGGAATTTCGACCAACGCGTGCCGAATCCAGGAGACGCAGGTGGGAATTTCATTTTTTGCGTGTGATTTGCTGCAGTCTACTGGTGTGCTGTGGTGGTCGTGGTGGTGCGCCGGGTCGTCGTGGTGCAGTATTGTCTTTTGTCGGTCCTCGCACTGGAGGTGTGGTGCTGCTGGTGTGGTTTTTTCACGCTGGTGTGGACCAACGACGAAGCTTGTAGAATCTTCCCCGCTGATCATGCGAGTCGCAGTTTCGGCAAGCGGTGCGCTGCCGCGCGACGTGCGAAGTTCTTTCGGTACTACAGTTTGTTCTGGCGTTCTTGCGACTACGTTGTTCTTCTCACCAGCAGCAGCCTGCTGTGGCGCATCAGCAGGAGCTATAGCTGCGCCAGTTATTATTTCTTGTGTGAAAAAGATTCCAGTTTCACCGAAAAAAGAGAAAGAAGAAGAAGATTCGAAAATTTCAAATTTTTGAATTTGTAGTCGCGGTTGATCACGTGATTATTGTTTATTGTTTGTTCTACAGAAGTTCTTTCTCTTCTAATTTCAAAATAGTCTTAAGTACCTGTCGTGCCGGCGCTCTTGGTAACATTCTGCCGAAATTCGTGAAGCGCGTGGTACCAACGGACTCGTAAGGAGGAACTAGTAATCGTGTCGGAAAGACGAGGCTGCTTCGAAGTGGACGCTGAGCCCCCAGATAGCGCCTCCTCCTGCTCCTTCATTTCACTCTCACATGTTTGTTCACCTCCAACCGCCAATTGCCAAATTTGCCGCAGCCGAAAATTGCACTTTCCATGTGGCGTGGCCCTTTCGGCAAGAATTCTCGGGCAAATCATTGCGGGCCGTTTCTTGTTCGTTTTTACCACTGAAAAACTATTTCGTACTTGTACTTACTTTCTTTGTAAAAATCCACTCAAAAAGAAAAATGCTTACTTGTCACAATTAAAATGATTTGTTCTTCGTGCTTTATGTGTATTTTTCGACCTCAAGACTTACTGGCACTTTTGTATATTCATCTTGTTTTGGATAAGTTCCTCTTCTGATACACCGAGTTGATCCAAACGAAGTTGCTTTTGAGTACTTGCTGCTTTGAATTTAAGTAACCGAGCTCTCTCTTTACTCTTTAGATGACAGAATAATCGATATTACAAACGCCCTTAGCTGCGGCCTCAGAAAAGGTCCATGCCCTGAAGGTTGTCTTTATCAAGAGATCTTAGATAAACAAGAGTGAGAAGGATAAAAGTACATGAGCGATGAAAATGGCTACTGTCGCATCGAAATGAGATGTGAATACGTACTAGATTGTCGCTGTGGGTTTGGATGGTAAAGGACAACCGAGATTCAGACTATCTATCCAAATAAAGTTGGCTTTCTGGAGTATGAGGACGACAGAAGTCGCGTTCATTGGTAAAGATGTAGTGCATGATACGTTTGCTGTGACGGATCCTCTTTTTCGTAGACGAAAGCACGCTGAGTGTACTGTACGCATGACTGCAAACTCAGACCCGACAAAAAATCAGGTCACACGATTAACATGTCACTCCGAAATTAGGAATTTCCGCGGTACACTGTCAGAGAGCCAAGTTTTGTGATACACGAAGAAGAGAAAAGCAATCGCTTCGCAAATTGTGAGCATGTTTTTGCAGCGCAAAGTGGTCGATCAGATCTAGTGTGTCATGTGTCGTAAATCTACACAAGATCAATCTGTTGAACCACTTACGGAGGTTCTTTGTCATGCATTTTCGATAAGCTTGAACTTTTTGTTTTTCTGAGATGGAGTCTCTGCTGCTCCCATGTGGAAGTGGAACAAGAAAAGCATAACTTCTCGTTGCAAAGACAAGAACTCATGTTCGTGTCCTCCGACACAGGCTTCGAGATGAGCAACATTGTCAGAGAGAATACAGGAAAAGGTCTTGTATTGAGTAGAGCAATCAACTTCACGACTCGCCCGGCGTGGAGTACTTGCTGACACTGAACCTATTCTAGAAGTGAATGCAACACAATCGATTCTCATGTATAGGACTTTTTCGACGCAAGATCGCTTTCTTTTTGGTCTGTGGTTTGTTGAAAATAATAGAGCGCAGGAACGCTGCCTGATCTTGCGAAGGTACTCACACGGCAAGACTGAGCGCGACCAAAGTCGCGGAGGGTCCGCCTTGCATCTGTCTAGTTGTCTTGTATGTCCCTTCGCAGCTCTCGCAGATCAAGTGGCGCCGTCAAAGTTTCACTTTGTTCACCGCTTTTCACACTACCGCGAAAGCAGACCACTTCTTGGTAGCAGTGCGTTGCGAAACTCCGGCCACTGCTTCACCTACTATTTTCAATCGAATGTGCCTCCTGTGAAGGGAAAAACATATCGAAAAGAGTCTTCATGTGCGGAGAGCAGCAACATGTCCGACCTCAAGTGAATTTTTTCCGGTTGAAGTTCCTTTTTTCCGTTCCTACGTCAAAACGTTGCAGAATGTCCAGAACCACTTAGTCGATCTCCAATCTTGATTGATGTTGAACCTCTCGAAAGTCAAAAATAAAAAAGAACGAACTAAAAAAAACTACGCGCGGGCGCTAGCTCCTTTATTTGTCTTTGTTCAGTGGCATTCGAAACAGGGGCTTTGCTTGAAGTAGCGCTACAGGAAAAGGGTGTGTAAACGCGTTCCCACCTTCACGCACAAACACAAACAAACAACAAAAAAATGATCGGTATGCCTGGTACTTCTTGTGAAGTAAAATAATTTCATACCCCTATCATCTGAAAAAATGAAAATCTATTTCTACGGAAAAAGTAAGTAGGTACGGTCTTGAAGAAGAGCAGCATACAGTTCGAAATTCTTTCTCGGTGTGAAATTTTTGTGTGCTTATCAGTTCGAAATTTTTTCTCGGTGTGAATGTTTCGTGTGCTTATCGGTTCGAAATTCTTTCTCGGTGTGACATTTTCGTATGCTTATCAGTGGTAATCTCTAATGTGTTTTGTACGTCGTACGACGAAAGGAAATAAATGTTGGAAATAATACAAGACTCTAAAGGGTGAGTTTTTTTATTGCTTGCGAAGTCTAAAGTTTCTACAAGAAGATGTCCTTTTTCCGTCTCTGTTGCTGGAGGTAGGACGAGCTTGGGAAAGCTATTGCTTTTTCAGCCTGAGGGAAAATAAAACGCTAAACGAAAGTTGAAAGTTCTACTGGTCCTGCCGTCTTACTGCGAAGTGCTTTATTCCCGTAGAGTTCCTTGCTCTTTCGTGGTACGATTACGAGAAACTATAGAGAAACTATAGAAGTTTTTCAACATCGAGCACACTCATCTGCGACCCGAAATATCACAGAAGTAGCAACTTGTACATTTTTTCAAAGTCATTTTTGCCACGACCAAGCTGGTAGGTTTAAAATCGCCTCGTGCATGTTGCGCAATCCATCCAGCAGGTAGTCGCGTTGCATCTTTTCGCCTCGGTGCATCTCGAAGTGTTTCTGTGCCTCCTCGATGGTCTTGAAGTGCCCGTACCGGAGGAGATACGCGATCACAAAAAAACCAGTGCGGTTCACGCCATGTGTGCAGTGGATCGCGATCTTCTTGTCGGGATACCGTGTCACATAGTCACGCAGATGAATTGCAAAAGTATCGCACTCGTAGTAATTGCAGTCACGCATAATTTTTACAAATCTTTTCCTTAAGGTAAATCCGCATACACAAACTTTATTTTTCAAAATGAGCAAATTTGCAATGCATTTGTATGAGTGCGATACTTTTGCAATCCATAATGCATCCACCAGGTGACGTCGTCTACGTCTCCGAGCGTTGGCACTGGCTATGCTGAGGAAAAATCTCCCCCACACATCAAAAAGGCAATTTTTGATGCTGATAGTCTTGCGCACAAGGCAAACGGCACCCATGTGGCGCATTGCGCAGCCAGTCTGTCGCGTGCTTTCGCCTATATCAGACCTGTTTCACATGCGCAGCTGCTAGCCGGATGCGTACCAAAATGAGCTTCGAATATGCCGGCAAGATCTTGATCTTGCTGCAAATACAATACAAATTTCATTTGTGCACACAAATCCAGCAACACAAATCGTCTTTTGAGAATGGGGTGGGGGCTTTTTTCACTTTGATACTTTCCGTCCTGCCACCTTCTTCTGCCACACATATATGGAGTCGAAGCCTTCCAGATCTTTTATTTCTTCCTCCCAAGAGCAGTACCTGCAGTAGAGTTTGTCCAAGTCGGATGAGTGGATACTTATCGCAACGGCGAAAGTCATAGCCTTGTTTTTCATCGTAGCTGACAACCTGCTCGAAAAAACGAGAAACGCAAATAAAGGAATAAAGGAGCACGAATAATAATACTTGTCTGTGTTCGTCAGGTTCACGATAAGCGAGACCTCGTTCGGCCGCTCCCTCAGGAAATCTGCGCAACCGAACCGCTCCGCTTCGGGAATAGCCCAGTCCCACTTCCAAGAGCAGGGAGTTTTGAGCGGTATGATTTTATCTATCACGGGGTCGCCAAACTTCGTGCACTCGAGCCACTTCTGCACCCATTCTGGTTTATTCCGCGTGCCGTAATTGGTATTGCCCTGATATCCATGTTGATTTTGATTTCCGCCCCCAGCCCACGACGTTCTCACCTCGTATGCATATGCAAATGTGCTGTCTGGGTCTGAAGGATTGCAACTCGTAGAGCTGGTGCGTTTGCAGCATTTAGACGCAATAAATCTGTCGTTCACAGTCAGAACAAAGCCTACGGTTTTCGTTTCCCGCAAAGTTAACCATTTCCCATGCAGGGTGTACATGGAGAGGCCTCTACTGCGGGTCTTGTCATGCTCTGCGTCCAAAAATTAAAATTCACACGGGCTTGCCCAGGTCCACAGAACACATGACAAGTGTCTGCAGTCTCCCAGACCCAGACGAATCTACATTTGGTACCTCGTTTCCCCGTGCGGAAGATGCAGATGATTTCAACCGGTTTCCTTGCTGCGTGGACGTTCCTATCCTAAGTAAAAACGTCCCCACCCTAGAGTTGTCATGCAGATTAGCAAGCACAGGAGCATTTGTGAATTGTGACGCGCATTCCCAAGAGAGGCAATTCCAGTCGTGCTCTGGAACTTGTAATGCTGTAAACAGGATGAGCAGATGGATTTGTTATGCGGATTCCCTTGCTAAACTGAATTACACTACAGCCTGCAACTTGTCATGCGCGAACCACAAATCTTCCAGCTTTGTGTTGCAAAATCTCCATCTTGACTCTGCGGCGGGGACGTCTTTCCTGAGAATAGTTCCATGCTCCGCATTGTCGTGATAGTCGTTGCGAGCTTGCTGCTCCGTCGTTCCAGCAGCTGGTTGTTGATGTGTTACAATAGAATTGACGTGTGCCCAGCAACATAAAAAGCGGCGCAAATTATTCATCTGTTGTCAATAGTGTCTAGAGTATCACACTGAGGACGCATAATGTCCGCGGAACATTTCTGCAGAAAAAAGCTGCATAGTAGGCACCTTTTCCGTTCTTATTATCGACGTCTGCAGCCGCTGTAGGTGCCGGACGAGCGCGATTCAGCGCCTCGCTACCAGTCGCGCGCCCCCGGTCGGTGCCTTGCCTCCGGCTGCGGCTTCGATGAGAATCGCCGTGGAGGATTCTGTTCGCAGGCACTGGCGGAAAATTCCGGGTCCGGGGAACCTCTGGCGCAGAACGTGGAGCACCCGGCGCAGCTTTTGCCCCCGGGGCGGCTGCATTTGCCGATCCAGGTCGTTCTTGCTCAACTGCTCCATGGTTCTTGCCCGCGGTCGAAGATGACGCAGAACAAGAATGCAGCACTCCCGGCGTCGTGCCCGCCGACGGGCCCGGTGGCTTTGATGCGCAGCTAGCAGGTTGATCAGGAGCTGCACTTCCCGCGCTGCCCGACGAACCCGCGTGCGCCCCTTTTGTACATGGAATTGCATGACAGATAAAAAAGGTCAGGTTGCTTACGTTTTTCTTGTGTCTCTGCCACATTTTCTGGGCGGTGTGCATTCATAAGGATACCATTGTTATGCATCGTGTGTGCTGGAACTGAAAAATGAAAAGAATTCACCGTAAACGAAGTGAAAGTTGTAGTACCATTTTTTTCTCTCATACCCTCCTTCCCGGCCGTGGTTTTTGGCACAGCACTTGGCAGTTGACCTTTCCGCCCGTGGTTTTTGGCACAGCCCTTGGCAGTTGCAGCTTGTTCTTGTCCGCCCGCACGCAGTAATTCGCCACCGACCACTGCAGAAGAGCTGGTAGAAGTTGTACCTTGCACCGGCATATCAAATGCAAAAATGTCTGGGTCTGGAAACTTGTGATGCTAAAAGTGAATGGTAGACGGACTGCAATACGCAGCTGTGCATGACAAATTTTTTGGCTCCCATGTCTTACGTATTCCGCGTGACAAACTGCGTTTTTGCATGACAGGTAAGAAAGCCTTTTCGTGCCTATGCATGACAGATTCGCGAGTTATGCCAGACAAGCATGACAGACTTGCATTCTTCCAGACCCAGACACTTTTACAATTGATACGGCAAGGGTCCACGGCCTGGCGGCTTGGCGACCGCAGCAGAAGTGCTCCTCCTGCCGGTTGTAACGGTTTCATCCCACGACTCGCCTTCGTCTGCCTTTTGATACTTCTTGGGCTGGTATCAAAGGTGCACAAGAGCTACTCTCCGTTCCCCTCATCATGTGATGTCATGCAAAATATCAAATCCACTTCTTGCGCTACTTAGGGACTGGTAGCATGACAAGTTCTCTGTTCCTCGAGTACTAGGAATTCCTCGAGTACTAGAGAAAAAAACAGTACTAGAATTGTTATCCTTCTTGTTCGGATTTTACATGCGGGAGATGACCCACTTCTGTGCCACTAAAACTTGTCGTGGGGCTTCTAAATAAATATGCGTTTGTTCAAATGAAGTTGATGGGGGGCGTTGAGCACAACTACAACTCTGACTCTCGTAGCTGGTCGCCGTGCCGTTTGCTCGCGCTCCTCGGGCGTTTGTTGGTGTGTTCCTTTACCTTGCTGGAGTACCGCGACGGGCCTGGGCCGCCCAGAATGTCGCGCGAGGAGCGGTCGTTCTTGGCGCGAGGAGAACTTGTTTCACCTCGTTCATCTCCCCACGGAGACACCGGTCTTTTCGGATTCTTGGCGAGGCCGTCATTGTGGTTTTTAGCAACTTCATTGCCTCCGCCCACAGAAGTAGTGTTGCAGTTCGTCTCGAAAGAAGTTGTGTCCTTCTGTTTGCTCTGGCCTCCACCTCTCGGTTTATTATTGTCCTTCACCTTGCTTTGCCCACCTCTCGGTTCCCGGGGCAGGCTACGTTGCTTCACCTTACTTTGCTTGCCACCATCTTCGCGAACGTTATTCGAAGTGCTGTCGACGCGCTCCTTGCTACTTCGGCCGCCACGGAGATGTACGGGTGTGGTCTTCTTATCTTTCACTTTGCTCTCGCCCCGTCCATTTGGTCGGTTTATCACGGCAGGTATGGAGTGCAAACGCATCGCTCTAGCAGTAAGTAATTATTGCTCAGCATGAGTAGAAATGGAATTTGTAATGCGGATTTCCCTTGAAAAAAAAATAGCAATGCATGACTGCAATAACAACTGAGAGCGCGATACTTTTGCACAGGATAGAAGGAGGTCGGTTTATCTTGGCGACCGCAGCAGAAGTGCTCCTCCCGCCGGTTGTACAGCTACGCTGCTGCTGCAGTTGCATATGCATTGCAAATATGTCTCGGTCTGGAAGAGTGCAACTTGTCATGCTGCATCTGGATCAGGGAAAAATTTGTCTTGCATATATTACCAAAAGATGCCCACTGTTGAACAAGTTTAGAGGCAGTTTCTCATGCAGCAAAGGCATGATAGAGATCTCACATAACCTGTCATGCTAGGCCGCGCATGCCAAACCGTGCGCGTCATGGAAAACCTGCATGACAAGCCTAGCAATCTTCCAGACCCAGACATATTTGCAATGCATAGTGCACCAGCAAAGGTCCACGGCCTGGCGACTTGGCGACCGCAGCAGAAGTGCTCCTCTCGCCGGTTTTACAGCTAGGCTACTTATCAAATGTAAAAATGTCTGGGTGTGGAAGATTGCCAGGTTTGTCATGCATATTTCTCATGATCCATGATGCCTGTAATGCATGACCTAGCATTACAGACTTTTAGAGGGCTTCCTGATGCACCTTTCGCATGAGAAGTGCGCTGTCCGGCAAGCACAAACCGGACCCCTCGTTCTGGTCATACAATACAATTTTTTTTAGTGTCCAAATTCAGCATGACAAGTTGCGCTCTTCCAGACCCAGACATTTTTAGATTTTGCATTTGATACTGCTCCTGCAGTTGCTTGCCCCGGGGGGCCCTGCTTGCGCCCCGCTCCGGTTCTGTTGAATGAAATGATTTCTTATTATCTTTATTGTTTTCCGCGACTCTATCCATCTTTGTCTCCGCGTCTGCAGCAGGACTTGTTCCCATTTCCTTGCATACAACACATGAGTGACATGCTCTACATCTTTATATCCTTATAAGAAACGGCGATAAAAATCTTCAGGAGGGCGATCTAGATAATCTTCATTAGCAGAATAGGACCTTCGTATACCTTTCTTTTCCCCCGTCGCTGCAGTACCATCAGCAGTCGTTCCCAGAGCAGCAGCAGGACCATCGCGCGCTGCCGTAATCTTGGCCACAATGTCGGCACTTGGGAAATCAGACATTTGTTTCAGCAGGCCTGGCCCTCGTTGGTCCGAGCTACAACTCACAGATTGCGTCCGACGAGTTGGGGCACCTTCTGCCAGGGTCTATCCTGTATCGAAACGTCCCCACACCAGAGTCAAGATGGGAAATCTGCTAGACAAATCAGCCAGCATTGGCTGCTTCGCGTGACAAGTTCTTTGTCCTCGCAGTGTAATCCTGTAGTTTAGCTACTTCATCAGCATCACAGATCTAGCATATCAAGCTGATCTTAGCATCAAAAATTCCAAAACACAACCAAAAAATGCTTTTCATGGGGCTCCGCATCAGAAACTTTTTTGGCATGCAAATTGGCATGACAACTATCGGGTGGGTACGTTTTTGCTCAGGGTAGGACGCCCTCGTTGCTCGTCGTTATTTTTTGTCGTAGTTGATGTGCTCCAGCTCTTTCGCCGAATGAAGAGGATGGGCCAGAAGCGGCACTCGTACGACCTCTGCGAGGCGCGATGGCGCTTCCAAGGTTCACTTGCTTCTTGTTCGCAGATGAAGATGTAGAAAGTGCAGCGGAAGATGCACACACGGACGAACTACTCCCCGATGGGATAGGAGCCACTGCTCCTGTAGAAAGTGGCGGATCCAGTGCTGCTGCTTCTTGCGCTGGTTCTTTCAGCGGTGCCTTGGTTTGTTGATGACTCGCCGACTGTTTCATATTTCCTGATACTGCTCTATGCTGCTGGTCTTGCTTTTGGTCTTCCCCAGCGTCATCTGTGATCTTAATTGCTCTACTTACCGACGCGGTACGGTTGATCTTGGTAGCATTGGCCGGCATGGGAGGCAGGTCCTGTTTGCAGACGCACCCTGATGTGGTTCCTCGGGCCCGCGACTTACTCAGACCGGGCGCGGGGCAGCGCCTCACACTACGAATACGATACGTCTCCTCCTGCTTCTTGCCGTTAAAGGTTCTTTGGTCGGGGACTGGCGGCGCAAAATGACCGCCCAAAGATGAAGATATAGCCGCGTCGTGACTCTTGTTGTCTTTACTGCCACGACCTCCTGTTGCGCTCCTACCTCTACTTCTGCTCCGGAGCCGAGGTGGAGACACAGCAAGGCTGGGCTGCCCGACATGCTGCACCACCGCAGAACGAGCAGAAGGGTCCACCAAATTCGATTCTTCCTTGTTGTTTTGCTTGCTAGTGGTGGAGGCCGCTGCTGGTGCACGACTGCAACTCGTGGCGTTGCGAAAAACGCTGGGCCTTTGCTTTTTTGATCGTGGAGGCATTGGCGACTCCTCCTTTTTTTTTTCCTTCTTCATGGTCCTCTTCTTCCTTCTAATTGGAGCTTCGTTTTCATCCGGGCCGAGGACAGCTGTCTCCCACTCGTCAGAGGACGACTTCTCGCTTATTACAATGAAAAATGTCACCATCCCAGAAATTGGCACCGTTTGTATTGCAAACCCTATTTTTTCCATTGATTGGGAGCATTCCCCGTCTACTTCTTGCATATCTACTCAGCATCACACATGATAATTTTCATGCTGAATATTAGCTCAAGTTTGTGTTGCAATGGAGCCCAGCAGCAGCCGGATCTGTATATACAAAAAGGATACCTTCTTGCGCACCTACATTTTTCTACATCAGAAAGACGCGTAGCTCTTTCATGCAAAACAAAAAGTTTTCATCCGGATGAAACCTTGCATCAGGAGAAACTTTTGAGAATTTTGGGGGTGGGGGCACTTTTCATTCTAATATTGCTGGAACACGAAGATGCCACCGAAGCTCGACGAGGCGCCAGCGAATACCTAATGCTCCCACCTGGAGAACGGCTGCAAGCGGTTTCGTAGCCTCTTGCGCGCTTCAAGTGACTCGGAACCCACGGACGCTGCGATCCCGGGTTGGTGCGGCGTTCTGGTGCTGTTTCATTTTGTACTTCTAGGCACCTCTCGTCAGGAACTGGTGGTGATTGCCTTATGCGGAGCGCCAGCCCTCCTGCTACTTCCGCTGCATTTTTCTTCGGCCCGGGTTCTACAGTGGCGGGAAATAGATGACCGGTTTGCGTGTTCGTGCGAAGTACATCTGTTTGATCTTGTTCTTCCACGACTGGCGAAGGTCCACGGCCTTGTTGTGGGTCCGCGACCGCAACGGAGATTCCCCCAACTAAACTCCCGCTTGAACTCGCGCTCGGAGGTTGTTCTTGCCCGCCAGCAACTTGAAATACTTCTCCACCGTCCATTTTTGCAGAAGAGCTGCCAGTACAACTCCCTATGCCTCCTCCTTCCGGGCTTGTCTTCCCGGCTGTTGCGACGTTCTGTGAAGAAGACGCCTTTGTAGGAACGCCAGTTGCAGCTGACGCTGTCCCCCCATCTTCGCGGCTGTTCTTGTCGGTAGTTCCAAGAACGCCTTCTGTTTGTGCCTGTTCTTCCGGAGGTCGTTGTACAACAGCAGGGGCTCCTGCTCGCTGGGCGCCAGCAGACGCAGCGGCACTATTACCCCCTCCACGACGATGCTGCGCACTGGCGGTTCGAAGGTTTACTGCCGTCATCTTATCCTGCGCAGAGGAAGACGATGAAGATGCAGATGCAGCCGATGAGGACGATTGCGGTGGCGCAGCTGCCGCGATAGAAAGTGGCCTGCCTTCAACTGCAGGCTTTTGTTCACCGCGTCGATGCCCAGGAACATCTGCGTCGGCAGAGTCGTCTGGTGGGTCGCGTTGTGGCTCCGACGACGGGCAGCTGTTTCCTAGAGCCGCTTTCCCTGCTCCCGTCGTGCTGGTTGTACCCGTTGTCTCTGTGATTCTTGCTCGCGCTCCGTGGTTCTTGCCCACGGGTGATGCTACTGCTGATGTTGAAGATGTTGCGGAAGAAGGTGCCAGCACACCCGTACCCGCTGACGAACCCAGTGGCGCAGTAGCTTTCGCTGCGTTCTTATCCGCCAGCTTTTTCGACGAAGCGACTCTGTGGCCATCACCGACATTATGTCTGCTCTTTTTGTTTTCATCGTTTCTCGGCGGTCCTTTCGCAGCACTACCTCCAGCGGCCACAGGCTGAATCCTACTAGAAGTTGTTCCCACTGGTGCGGCCACCTCACCGAGGTTCGGACGAGCAGCAGTGGTCGGTGCAGTAGAGGTTGCAGTAGCAGGTGGACCTTGAGGGCCAGGGCCGGGACCCCCCTTCGCTAGCGGAGCGGGAGCTCCACCTGGGGTCGGACGAAAAAACTGCTCCACTTTTTCCAAATGTTTCTTTTCCAGCAGTTTGCTGTACTCTTCGAGCCCGACGCGGCACGAGGCGCTTTTCGCCTGGTTGCCAATCTTCATGAAGAGCAGCTTCGCCGCCTTGTGGTTGCCGTCGTCATACAACCGGTCGCCAATCATCTGGCAGTCCACTTCTGTGTTCGTTCCGGACCTCCACACGGAGTCCATTAAATCGTCCAGCTTGTCAATTTTCGCGTAGCTGTATGCTAGTTCCGACTCCAAATGTTGGTCTTTCCACGACTTGCGCGCCATTTCCAAAAACGGGACCAGCTCCCCAAACTTGTTCTCCTTCTTGGCCACGGAGATCACCTCCGTGTAGTTTGAACCGTCGTTCGCCTTAAGGTAACTGGCGATGGCATCCGCGACGGAACCTGATTGTTCGAGATACGCCTTTCCCAATTTGGTCCAGACAACCGGCTCGTTCACCCTTGCAGCATACGTGGCCGCGCGATCCATTCTCTTGGCCGTGTTCTTGATGCAGTCAAGCAAAACGGACATGGCCTCCGGGTGCATCTCCAGTTTGACGTAGCACGACGCCAGCTTCGCGTTGTTGCCAATCGACTGGAAGAGCAGCTTGGCCGCCTTGTAGTTGCCCTCGTCGTACAACCGGTCGCCGATCATCTGGCAGTTGGCGGTGCTTATCAAATGCAAAAATGTGGTCTGGGTCTAGAATGCAAACTTGGCAAGCGTACTTTGCATGCCCCACGAGGTCTGCTATGCAGGACCTAGCATGACAGGTTCTGCGAAGTCTCTATCATGTCTATCCTGCATGACAAACTGCCGCTAAAGTTGTTCAAACGTGGACGCCTTTCGGTAATCATGCAACACAAATTTCTGCACTATCCAGACTCAGCATGACAAGTTGCATCCTTCCAGACCCAGACATTTTTGCAATGCATAGTGTTGGTGCCAGACACGAACTCCTCCAAGTCCGCCAAATTGTCGATTTTCGCGTAGCTGTACACCAGTTCCTATGCACTGCAACAGTAGCGCGCTCGTAGTAAAACTAAAAATTAAAATTATCGCAGTCATGGTCCATTACAAATTTAGTTATCAAGGTCAGTCCGCATCACAAATTAATGCACTTGTAATGCTGAGCCAATTTGTAATGCAATTCCTACTAGTACGGTACTTTTGCAATGCATAGTTCCGAGTCCAGGTGCTGGTCCTTCTGCGACTTCCGCGCCATTTTCAGAAACGTCACCAGTTCCTCGAATTTGTTCTGCCTCTCCGCCACGGAAATCACCTCCATGTAGTCCGAAGCGTCGTTCGCCTTAATGTAACTGTCGATAGCCTCGGCCACGATACCTGATAATTTCATTTTGCGTATATATCATGCAGGACAAACCTCCTTCGCGCAGTAGATCAATCAGCATGACAAATTATTTTTGTCATTCTGAGCTCAATTTGAAAATTATGCACGTCACAATACCTGATTCCAAGTACGCCTTTCCCAATTTGCTCCACACGACCGGCTCGTTCACCCGTGCGGCGTATTCCGCGGCCCGTTATCAAATGCAAATATGGTTGGGTCTGGAAGAGGGCATTTGTCATGCGGAATAGGCACCAAGAAGCTCTCAAAAAATCTGTGATGCTAGGGCATGCATCACAGACATCAGGGCTCATGCAAAACGTGCATGACAAGTGTCACAATCTTCCAGCGCCAGACATTTTTACAGTTGATACCCGTTCTATGCTGTCAATGTTCAAAAGCAAAACGGACATGGCCTCCGGGTGCATCTTATCAAATTGAAAAATGTCTGGGTCTGGAAACTTGTGATGCTGGGTGGCGTCTCATGATGAGGCCACAAATGCTGGCTCAGCATGACAAGTTTCTAAGCTTCTAGGTGTTGCCTATTCTGCATGACAAACTGCGTTCCTGCAGCACAGAAAAGTGGAGCTCTTGCGTAACGTGCATGACAGATTTAAGAGTCATGCCAGACAAGCATGACAAACCTGGCATTTTTCCAGACCCAGACACTTTTACATTTGATACATCTCGGCTTTCTCGAAGATCACCGACGCCACCTCGTGATACTCGTACTGCAGGGCGATCTGCGCGAGCTCTGGGCCGTTGGAAGTGAGATTTGTGACCAACAACCGGTTGATAAGATACATGACGAACTTTGGGTTCTCTTTGTCAACAACGATGGCCTCTCGAATCTCGTTTGTGTGCCAGTCCGCTCCGTAACAATCGGGCTGGATGGAAACGATCTCTTCTATCAAGTCACGGCGCTCCGCGATCAGTCCGGCATCTCCAAAAGCGGTCATATGGATTGTAAAAATGTCTGGGTCTGGAAGAATTCACGTTTGTCATGCTTGTCCGGCAGGACCCTTCCATCTGTCTATGCACGTTACCCAAGAGCTCCACTCTTCCGTGATGCAGAGCCGCAGTTTGTCATGCAGAATAGGCAACACCTAGGAGCTCGGAAACTTGTCATGCTGAGCCAGTATTCGTAGCCTCATCATGAGACGCCACCCAGCATCACAAGTTTCCAGACCCAGACATTTTTACTTTTGATAGGTCAGGGCGGTTGACAAAGTGCATTTCTTCTCCGAGTCCTCCATAGTCGAGTTCTTTAACAGTGCAGGCACAGCGACGGTTATGCAAGAAAAAAACTACGTGAGTGTAAGTCTGTGATGCAGAAAGTGCAAAACTGTTTACACTTGTCATGCTGGGTCTGCGTCATAGGCTACTTTCACACGTGTTTCCACGTGCTAGCTGCGCATCACAGGAGTTCCCTGCAATGCAAAGCGAGTCTGTGATGCTATTCTCGCTACAGAGTTACACTTACACAGTTTTTTTCCTGGATAACGGTAATGGTCGCATCGACGAGTCTCTTTCGGTTTTCTCTGTTCGCCGTGTTCATCCCGATCAACGTTCCCCATAGCTCCGAAGATTTCCTTCCCAGCAAGTACGTGGCTTGTTCGGAGAACATTTCGTGTTTGGTTGTCACCGCCACTACTTCCTCGTCGCACCAGCCAGGCGCGCGACTGTAACAGATGTAAGCGAGGTGTGGTTTGTCTTTCTTTTCGCAGTACTTGCCGATCACTTTGAAGTCGCACAGAAAGTGGTCATCCGTCAAGCGGGCCTCGGCCGCGCTAGGTTTCATCATCCTCGTCGAGTCGCAGTCGGCCTCGACGTAGGTCATCGCCAGCAGGTTCAGCAGTGAGCGGGTCATGTTCTCCATTGTTGCGACGACGTCCGGCGAGAGGACCGGGCCCGTCGTTGATGTTGTCTCTACTGCGTGCTGGGTGCGACGTGGAGGTGCAACGTCTTCGGAGGACCCTGTATCGTCACTGCATGTTGACCTTTTCCCTTTTTCTGTGACCGGTGCGTCGTCAAGCAGTTGCAGTCTGTTGACCCGTTCCTGCATGGAAGATTTGGAAAATAGCTGCTCGAGCCACTGTTGCAGTGGGAGAAGGCGGTTCCGGCTTTTGTACTCCGCCACAAACTATGAAATGCAAAAAATATGTCTGGGTCTCCTGGAAGATTTCGAGATTTGTCTCATGCAGTTTTTATTCCCAGCTTCCTGAAATCAGGAATGCGCATCCTAGCATCACAGGTTCTACTGCAGCCCCTTTGTGATGCCTATTCTGCATGAGAAACACCTTCTCAGCAACATGGCCAGAAGTGAGCACCTGTTGCCAGTCATGCAAGACAAATCTTTGTACGATCCGCACTTCGCATCACAAGTTCGGTTCCTTCCATTTCCAGACATATTTGCACTGGATACAATCGGCTCGACCGGGCACTGGAGTCGGACCGCTAGGAGGACACAGGAGTGGAGAAAGTCTTCCGCCGGACAATAGACCTTACAGTCAAGCAGGCTACCCAAAACGGTTGGACCGTGGAAAGGGTGTGCTCGCAAATACCTTCTTATCACGGATTGCCACTCTACAACCGGTGGGCGAAAATTATTATTACCTGTAACCAGTTTCTCCAGTTCCTTCACGAAGCCGTGCTTGCCGCAGACGTAGCACAAACACAAAGGGAAGTCCGCGTGTTCTTTCAGGAACTTATCTCGTTTCGCTACCGGGTCGTACTTGCCGGGATTGTTCATGAGCCATAGGAACGTCACCCCGTCGCCGTCCTCTTTACTTTTTGCTGCCTTATCGTGGTTCTCGGCCCCACTAGGTTGACCTGAACTACTAGCCGACGCAGAGGCAGGGTCGGGGCCGCGAACGGTCAGCAACGCCGTGTGCAAAGCGGAGGGGGCACTGCCTACAGGTGCGGGAGATGAAGAAGGCGCATCTCCTCCGGTCGTGCTGGCTGTACCTGTTGTCTCTGTGATCTCCCTTGGCTCGTCGCCAGGGCCAGACCTCGTCTTGAATGCCCAAATCGCCTCCAGCAGATCGAAGAGTCTTTTCGTACACAATCGCTGTCCATCCTCGGTTTGGTAAACAACACGCCTCTGAAACCGTCCGCTTTTGTCCATGAAGGGAATCCGTGTCACCGTCCAGGAGGGCGGTATGTCTTTTGTAAGCGATATGCATTGCAAATTTTTCTGGTTCTGGAAGAATCCAAATTTTCTACGCTACAACGATCGGCCAGCATGACTGTCAAGTCTGTCATGCACGTGACCGAAGCACCTCGTTTTTCTGTCAACATGCAGAAACGCAGTTTGCTATGCAGAATTATAGGGCTTACCGATCAGCTAGAAAATTCGCCATGCACATGCTCGGCCCTCAATTGTTGATATGTCCTCATGATTTTCCTAAGTACCTGCATCACAAGTTAATTCCAGACCCAAAACTATTTGCAGTGGATAACATGGCAGGTCCTGCCATCTCCTGTGTGGATAAACAGCAGGCGATCGTGTTTATCGGGAACCCACGACATCTTGAGGATGCGGTTATTTCTAGTTGCCGGCTCAATCCAGTTCAAAAAAAGGGAAATTTTTTTCGTTATTTGGTTTTTCAGTGCTGTTGCTGTTACTTCTTATACGCTGACTTTTTGGGGTGTATCTTTACAAAAATTCGCTCCACCTCGTATAGTAATTACCTGAAGCCAAAGCGCAAGAAGCCTGCACAGCGGTGCTACACTTTCTACTTTTAATATCTAAAAATCTTTGAACGAGAGCAATGAAGTTAAGCAAACACCTGAAGAACGAAACAAAAAACAGTGTTGAGTTTACACATGGGCGAAACCATCAATACTATTTTTGAGTGGGGTAACAAATTCACAACAAAAGGAAAATGTACTATTTTTGCGCAGCTAGAACTTGAGGAGCTAAAAGAAAAATAACCGATAAAAAATACTCGATCGCCTAAAAGTAAAATCAATTTGCGGAAGAAGTCGCGAGCTCAACTTTCTCATGCTAATCGTCGCTGTGGTCATGTTTTCATTCAACAGTCATCTGATGATTACAACACTTCATGGCAACCGGTTTTTCGTGGCTCTTCTACGTTCAAGCTTTGTCGAAAAAAAACGTTCTCTTAGATGATCAAATTGATGAAAGAAAACGGAGCTAGCCTGGCACCAGAAAGGAGTTAGCGTGCCACTGTCATTTTTAACATGATCAGCGGCACAACTCTTGTGCGGCAACTTTCTTTTTGACCACGCCGGCTGCCGAGGATCACAAGATTACTCCTTTCTACCAGAATCAACTACTAAAGCACGAAAAAAATCTCGCTGTCCTCCCATGAGTCTCTTGGTGCAACCCGTGTTCTTTTCAGTTTTACGAATGCATCTAGATCTTTTACCATCCTTCCAATGCAACTGAAAATGATTACATTTCATCCCGGAATGGAAAGTATGACGGCCGAGATGGAAATGCCGAGCACTTCTATGCCATATTTTTATGATCAGCTGCGCCACCAAACTGTTGAAGTGAAACTACAGAAGTGAACAAACCGAGGGCCGCGAAATAGCCACGTGATGCCGCTCTCCCGCTTTTGTTCGATGAAGATTCTTCATCGCGACGCAAAGATGATTTTCAATCGTGAAGATGAAAAAAAAGAAGAATGAGTTTCAGAATTTTTCGTCCTTGTGGGCTCATCCGTAGATGTAGAAACTTCTGTGTTATTCCGCGTTACTTTCTTTGAATGGGTCCTTGCTCGTGATATCGACGGTTCTATGCCGACCGAAAATTACGTCTTCTTTACCTCTGCTATATGGTATTCTATGAGCAGCTCCTCAGCTGCGTAGATCACTTGTGGTATCGGGATTTGTCTATCGAGTACAGTCTTGGACTCCAACATTTTCTTCCTTGACAAAAATCTAAAAAAAAAATCGAACAAGAAAATGAGTATGTTACTATACGACGTGGTCGTTTCATCTGCATAGGTCTCATCTACGAAGGTCTCATCCGCGGAGGCGTCTACGGTGTGGAAGACGATATAAGTCTGTTCTAAAATTTTTCGTGATAGTATCAAACTTGCGTAGGTGACACTGCGACAAAGAGATTTTGTTTCCCTTGCCTCAAAAAAGTTCGGAAAATTGACGCAGACCGAGGTTCCTGGGAAGCACAGCTATGGGTCGAGATGTGCTGAAGCGACTCCGTTAGACAGCTTAGGAAGAGAACCATGCACAAATCGACAGTTGTTGCTCCAGTTGCTTCTGACTGTTCTGGTGTACCTGTTGAGATCATTTATTTTTGTGTCGACATGATGATGTTTTCTCGTGTGTCTACTAGCGCCTAATACCTACATGATGCAAGAAAAAATTGACCGGGTGACGTTCATTTTCCGTGTGCACAAAAGTTTTACGTAGATAAGATATTATGCTTTGAAAAAAAATTTTCTATACCAGCATGAAAGGTCTTGGGTGGAGATCGCTCGAGCACCAGCTGTGCATCAGCGATGTCGCGATTGAAAACGCACACGATTCTAGTACCGTCCGGTACTTCATCATTCCTTTGCAAGCTGGATAGTAGTTGTCTGTGAGCACGATGATGAGAGTGTTCATGGATGTCACCGGAAATTGCTGTTTTCATTTTGCTTATTCACTGTCACCGCAATCGGCCTTCGATCGTTGGCTAGTGTTCGGCACGCTTTGGTGAATATGAGAGTGCACATTTCCCCGCGCCATTCATCGGTGTAGCATGAACGGCAGCACAAGCAACGCGCAAAATGTAGTATCGGCCGCATCTTCACAAATGTTCTGCACTCGGAGTCTCGTCCTGGCTGAGGTTCGACAATCTGGCGTGCATTATCATAGAGAATTCTTGACTTCTCTGAACTTCGGATCCTTTAACCCGATAGAAGAGGACCTGAGAATGTTTCACAAGATTATTTGTTTTCAGTATTTCAACATTTTTACTTAGCGAGCGATGTTTTTCATTTATCAATTACTAGTCACGACTTCTTGTATAGTAGTTTCACTGTCGGCAGGTTAAATCATTGCAGCACATACGCTATGGTGATGCTTATTTTAAATACTATTTTTCCCCACGCATCATCTCCAGCGCTAGTTTTTCGACCCGCCGCTGGTGCTCCTCGCCCGTTTCATCTGGGCCCTTTTCCGCCATTTCTTCGATAGATGCGGTAATATCGGCATCGAACGGCTTCTTGGGGGTCGCGACCTCGTCATCTACTGTGGTCTTCAGCCCCGTTTTCGCGTTGGAAACATCTTGATTTTTCGCGCCAGCTCCGTATCGCACGAAAAGAGTGTTACAGTTACAGTCAATTCAGCGACACAAATTTCTATGCATGAGACGACAGAAAACTTGCAATGCAGAAATCCTAAGGGAAAACACCTATGAAGCGAAGCTCCTATGCATATGCGGCATGAAAGAGCTGGTCTGTGTTGCTTGGCCTGCAACACAATGTGTACTCAACTGTAGCACTTTTTTCTTGCGATATTCCGATCTTTGCTGCTACTGGCGTGACTTTCGGTCCCGCCCACACTGTATCCTGTGCAAAAGTATCGTATTCGTATAAATTTACTTGAATGCAAGTCTTGCATTACAAATCATTTTCTCAAGGCAGATCCGCATTACAAATTTGATTTCCCATGCTAAGAAAATTTGTAATGCATTTATAAGAGTACGGCACTTTTGCAGTTCATACGCTGGGTAAGTTTTTCCCCACTTCTTCTTCTTCGGGATGGTCGCGTCCTTCCGCAGCTCGTTCTTCTGCAGCTGCGGCTTTTTGTTTTGCGATTTCCAGTTCTCCTGCTTCTGGTTCTTCTCCGTCTTGCTATTTTTCTTGTTGTTCTTTTTCTTGAAGTGGGCAGCTTTCTTGTTCGCGTGGGTATTATTACGAAAAAAAGTGCTCGCACGGCTGTTGCTGTCTCCACTGCCGAGCTCCGAAAACTTCTCACGCATGCAGACAATTTGGCACCCGCAATGCCTCTGCTCCCACTGCGTCTGTAGTCTGATTGTCCCAAATTTCCGCAATTTTATCCCACAGTAGAAAACGAAAAAAGCTGACGCGCGAAATCTATAATATGCAAATACAACCGAAACGCCTATAATGCACGAGACAATCTGTCTTCCATAGCTGGCGACCTGAGACGCCGGGGGGCTCGCTCGCGCCAGGCTTTCTCTTTGGCGCCGTGGGCTCTCTGGCACTATTTATAAATATCACGTCGGCGGGCTTTTCTTGTGGGATAACCTTGTCGGGGTTCGCATACTCCACGGCAACCTCTGCGTAGGCCCTGCATCGTATGCACTGAAAGCGCGTCTCGGTCATTTGGAAGCTTGTGACGCTATCTCAAGCAACTATTTTCTCGCATGACAAAGAGGCTCGGGCATGTTTGGCCAGCCATGCAAGAAAGGCTCCACAGGATCAGGATTGCAATACACAAACAGCAGGCAACGCAGGCGCTAAATGCTCCAGATCGTGACCGTGACCGATTCGCATCGGATACGTCGCCGAGTATCCACGACGATCGCATTCTGGTCGTAACGAAAAGAGAGGAGCTATCCTGAGCAAAAACGTCCCCCATCCCACAGCCAAGTTTCTTTGTAAATGAATCTGCAACACAAAAAATCTTCAAGTTTAGGGACTTATGCATGACAGGTGTATGTCTACAGCGTAGCGCTGAGGAGCAAGAGCAGCCGCATCAGAAAGACGCCTGCTTGTCCTGTTTACACCATTACAAACCCCAGAGCGCGGCCTCGTGCCCCATGCGCATGCGCATTAACGCCGTTTCTGTAGACGCCAACCAGCACGACAACGCTGGGGCGAGAACGTCTTTGCTCCGGATAGGAGCTGCTGCCCTCTTTCGTTCGTCCACATGGCCCAGAAGTCCCCCGCAAGTATGCACTTTGCAAAACTACGTCTGCCTCTGGATTTCTCATGCGGGATCATTTCAAGCACAGTGCTCAAACTTGATGCATAAATGCGAGCGGCCACCTCGTTCGTCGTGCTGCAAGGTAGCTCGTGATGTAAGTGATTGATCGATTTGCAAAAAGCCGAGAGAGACTTGCCATGCTGTTATGCCCTCCAAATGCAATGCTCTTCATGCAAAAGCCTCGGCGTCAAAGACAAAACTTTGGTATCTTTCTAAGCCTACTTAGACATATTTGCATTTGGTACCAATCTCCTCCGGACCATAATACTCTTTCATGATGCCCCCCGATTCCCAGCAAAGCTTTGCCACCACCTTACCTTTGGAAAACCACTTGAAGGCAAACGCATAACCTATCCTGAGCAAAAACGTGTTCACTCCGTAGTCAACAAGTTTGGCACCGTGCAACACAAATCGAGAAGTTTTGGGCGCCACGCATGACAAATTATTCTCTGTATTGAGTTTCAGATTAGCAAGGACCGCCGCATGACGAAGCCATCTCATTGTCGTGTTTACAGCATGACAAATGCCGAAAAACGGCTGAAAATGGCTCTCATGGGGATGTTGCGCATTACAAGTCTTCCTGTCTCTGCAAATCTGCATGACAACTGTGGTGGAGTGAAAACGTTTTTACTCAGAATAACACCGTGCGCATTGCTGTCACCGTTCTCAAACGTCGGCGCGTCGGCGGCCTGTCGCACTGCTTGATCTTGCCGTCCCGCATCGCCGTTGTCGCCCATGATGTTGTCCTCGCTGACTTGTATCGGCGAGGAGCCTCGTCCGCTTTCCCATTCGCCACTTCCCTCATGTTTCTCGCCACTTTCAATCAAGTCCTTCTGAATTTGTTGGCCAGTCTCGTCGCAATGCGGCACCCGGTGCTCGTACCATTGCGCCGCCCGATGTAAGGTTGGGCCGAAAGCCGCTGGGTCGTCACGGTGCATGCACCCTATTCGATTCCAGCACTTTTCGTAGTCATCCAGGAACTCAGTGAAGGTCGCAGTGCAAAATTGTTTCCTTGGCGAAAAGGACTCCTTCGCATCCAGGGCAAATTCAGGCACCTTGATCTTTTTTGTTCTACCCAGCTTGACACCTTCATTTTCATTTCTGCGTCCTATGCCCAGGACATCCTCGTGCAGCTTCCACGATTCGCTGATGACGGTCGGGGGCAGGGGGTCGTCGCTCTTCGCGTTTGTTTTCTTCGAGCTACCATGATGCTTGCCGTCTTCTCTGTGCTGCGCGGAAGTGTGGTTTTGTGGCGTGTTGCCCTTCAGCTGCTCCTCCTTCATCATCGCCTCAAACCGTCGCTGTTCCCCAATGCTTCCGTCGGTAGACCAGTACAAATCTGAGTCGTAGTACGGTTCCTCTTCGTGCGGGTTTTCCTCGCCGTTCATCATCTCGACGTCCTCGTCCCTGCCAGCCTCGTTGTCCGCTGCCGAAATCTCCATGTGAGTGGTCCCCTGCTCTTTGCCTCGCTGATCCTGATTCTCACCCGCACCACCCCGTGGAGCGTCCGCGCTTTCCTCGTCGCTGTCAACCATCTTGTCCTTCCCCACGGGCTTTCGCGGAGAAAGCTGTAGTCCCTTCCACGGTTTTTTCGGATGCCGATCTGCATCCTGTCCACGCTGCTTGGCTTTAGACCCGTCGCTGTTGTCCGCATCGTAGATGACGTCGTCCATTGCCACGTCAGACGACGCTTGCGAGATGTCCGAGTCGGAAAGTAGATGGTTCTGCTCTACTTCGTGGTCCGTGGCGACACGGTGGTTCTGCAGGTCGTCTTTCTCGGCGAGCAAAGCCGCCTGCCGTTCTTTTTCTTCTTCTTCCACTTCGAGCTTGCGCTGCTCGTCCGAGTCTGCCGTCTTCAACGCACCGCGACGCAGAAAAACGAAATATTCCTTCATCAGTCTAAGTTTCCCGTACTCGTCAAAGTAGAGGATTGCCTGAAAAGCCGCCTCGGTTGGCCGTCCAGCAGGTTTTCCGCCCTCATCCATGGCTTCCCACTTCACCTGGAAATCGACCACCGCAGAGCGGCGCAACGTGTCCACGAGCGAGATGTTGACCTTCTTGTACACGAGGACCTGCGTTTTGCGGATTCTGGCCCAGTAGCTTTTCATGGCCGCAGGTCCCCGGTTTTTTTCCGTACTGGATGTTGAAGATGCTGGAACGAAGACGCTTGCTTCGTTCAGAAATTCACTCACAAACTCCTCCCGCTCTTGGCTGTCTCCGTTCCAGCACTTGAAGTATCCCTGCATGAATTTCTTTGGCGTCCGTGGGTGGAAGAGGTCACGTCGAGTCTTGTTGCCCACCGTCTGCCTGTTCGGATCCATCACCCGAAATCCAAGTGCGTACAATGCTTCCTCGCCCTCCGCATGGGTCTGTACGTAATCAGGCCGGCCGAGTTTGCTGGGCTGTAGCGGGACGTCGTCTTCGGACGATGAATCACCGCTACTTGAACTACCGTCGCTGCTGGCTTCCTCTCGTCGTGCATCATGCTGATGAATCTCGTCCTCATCACTGCTGCTGCTGCTGCCGTACTGGCTGTCTCCGTCGATCGCGAGCTCCGTGCGGGTACGCCGTAGGTCATATTCAGGGAGTTCTTCAAGTCCCTCTTCGTCGCTACAGTCGGAGTTCAGGCCGACAACGCGTGTCGTCCTCATTTTCCCCGTGAATTCATTGCTCTATCGCAGAGAAAAGTAGACGGATCCATACCACAAAAAATGTTTGTCTTTATGGTTCCTAGGGCTACAAGCAAACTCTCTTTCGTTGTTCAGCATGACAAAGCCTTTGCTACCCCTCTAACTGCTAAACCGCATCACACACAACTGCAGTCTGCACACCAGAAAACTGTCTCCATGGTGGTATCCGAAATTTCCCAGGTCGCTGTGACGCCAAATGAACAACACCAATTCGCTTTTTTCTAGTGTGGGTCTACTTTTCCGTGCCGTACATTTTTCCTCAGCTGCTCATCCGTGACTAGGTCTTCCCGGGGCTCTCTTTCGTCGCGCTTTGGGTCTTTGTGCTGGTGCTCAACCGGTTGCTTTCGTTTTTCCTGACCCACCGGCCCGAAGCCGCGGGAAGAATCGATCGTGTTACCAGCAGTCGCTGTGGTGCTGTATTCGTGCCTGTGCGAAGAGGTACCTGTGGGAGAGTCCCGTGGCGTGTCGTGCGAATTGCGGGTCGCCATGTCATCTCGCATCTCCCCTGCTGTGGTCTCGCGCTTGCGCCTCGAGGAGGACCATTTTCCACTGATGGTTTTCCGGGTGCTGTGGTCAACCCTGTCTTCCTCACGACGGGGGCTTCGACGCTCGTCCGGGCTGTAGTTGCTGCCACCTGCAGCTCCGCGGCGCCGGCCGCTTCCCCGATGTTGACTCCTTTTGCCCATTTGCGAGATTGGCTAGAGTACGTCGCTGGACGAGAGAAAACACCAAATTTGAAGTGCGATATAAGGATTTTGTTTTACGGTCCCTTATTCTAAGTACTTAATAGACCCGAACCCGACGGTACAACATGAAAATTGACTTTACACTTGATTTTACGTCGACATACGAGAATCAAAAAGTTTCTGTACTTACTTCCAATATACAAATATCAGAATGAGGTATCAACGTATAGAAAATTATCGAAGAAAATAGTTATGGGAGTCAAATAATACGGTTATCGGCGTTTTCCTCAATTCATGAAAAATACCGTGTACCTGCACAAAAATCTACTTTTCAGTCGCTAAAGTGTACAACTACAATTGGGATTACTCTCTATTGCTGAAAGAATATAGAAATTTAGATTTACTGGGCCACTTCTAGATTGTATTTTTGTATCATTGCGTCTTACTACTTTTTACCTGAGAAGCCGGTCTGAAAAACGAGTCGATATTAAAAACTTTGAATACAAATCACTGCAGATTTGTCCCGCAGCCTCTCACCGGGTGCATGCATACTGTGTGACAACAAGCGAAGAACTTTTACAAAAGCGATGCAACAAACATATCCGTATCCAAGCTCACTCGGGTCTCAATTGCATCGTACTGCTCATCAGCATCCCGATTCTCGAGATCAAGAAACTGGGATCATCAGATGATCGTCCAACACGGAATTACAAGCGTCAACGGTGGATCGACTACACACATCTCGATCACATGTGCCAAGCTCGCAGACGCAAATTCGCTTCGGCGGCAATCACATCGCGGATCCATCCCTAAAGCAAAGATCCTTTGTGCTTTGTGCCATCATAGGATCTTCTCAGCTTGCGCTACTTAGGGGGACCTCCACCAACGCTTCATCTGCATATGGAAACCGAGAAATATTGAGAAACAATGTGATCGACGCATGATTCCCATGCCACACGAATTCTGATTGCCGAAAGACAAGTTGTGAATCACTCGGGAAACAAAAATACGTATCACGTCGTGACCTCTTTTGTTCCGGTGTGACGTTCCTGTGGGGCTTTTTTCCTTTTCTTCCAAATCGTTAGCAGAAATAATGTTCTTACGAACTAGAATCAATACTCGGCGTTGCTGCTGCAGTGTTGCAGTGGCGGACCGAAAAAAATTTATGGCACCGAAAACCGCATGTGTCTAAGAAAATGCATGCACATGCGGCCTTTCAAGTTCATGATCTGGTAGCGCAGCACCAGCAGTTGCCCATGATATAAAAACAACAGAGAAAAGCAAATGTTTGACGATGATGATGTTGGCAGTGTGCCCCTCGGCGGACTGCTGCATTTAGTGTTTATCACGATATAAAAATGATGGTTTGGATTTGGTTAGAATTTAAAAAAGAGCAGCTCGATTAGTCGTTTATTCCTCTGACGTGAAGATAAAACAGAAGCGTACCGACTGGAACTCTTTCATGGATGATATAAATTAAACTTGCGAAGCCCCTCTCTATAACGCAATTACGTGGTTGACAGCAGGAAAAGAATATTTGCTCCTGCGGAATGATCTTCAGCTCTAACAGTTGGTTCTCGGCACCTGTATTTCTTGAAAGGGATTCGTCGCGAGCCGCTGGAGGGTCTCGAAAAAATGCATGGCAAGCGTGAAGCCGGGTGCGCAAACTCCCTCTCGCAACGCCATCTGCAGTGTCCACTCGCCCGAGCTCTGTTCGTCGACGAAGGCATCGAGCGGGGCTTCGCACCACTTCCGATTTTTGCGCGGGTTCGGTTTCGTGTGCGCCCAGTCCAGGACTTGAGTGACACCAGGGAACACTTCCTTCACCGCCGGCCGGATGTTCAGGCTGATTCTCTGGTGCAGCCACGGATCTGTGGCTGCGGGGGCCTTCCAACTGCGGTCCCGGAGGATTTGCGACAACTCGGAGATAGCACCTTCAGATATGTGAGATTGACATTGAGAAGATTGCATTACAAAACAAAGTTATAATTAGGTATCTTCATCGTCACAAGCAATAGCCCCAAATGTCGGCAATCTAAAACAACTTGAAGATATTGGGTGCCGATGGAACAGTGGCCCTTCACTACACGCAAATGAAAAACTTAAAGTGATCGAATACCATAGTAGGTCTTCGATCGGAGATTCAACTCGAAGGTCCTGTCAACGACCACGTTTGAATATGAAGTTGCACAACGGCTCATCTTCGCCCTCATTTGTCATGCAACATGGCAATCAGAATCAAATCAAATCATGATACAGTCTCTCTCCGCCTTGTTACGTTGTCTCCATGACAGATTGCTATTCCGCGGCGAGAACTGTGCACTGCGATGAAACTACATCATTTGCCGGCTCTTACAAATATGTTACTGCTCATGAACTGCATGAAATGACGGCGGGTGAGAGTCGTGCAATCTGATATTGCGACGAGCTCCTCCTCGTTCGCGCCGTCTCGGTTGGGAACCAGGATGCGGTACGGAAGAATGCCTTGTTTGAGAGTATCTGTAGCGGTGGGTGGCGAGGGCCACTGCGCATTTGAAAAGCTGCCCTGCCGCACCTGATCATTTACACTGCTGTTGTCGTGGCCCTTTAATATTTCCTCGCGGTCTTGCTCAGCTAGTTTCTGCTGGTTCTCAAGCATCTCCCGCCCGGCATAGTGCAGCGGCTTTAGCTTCTCGAAGTTATCGCTGCTGATCGAATAGGGAAGATACTCTTTTTCGTTGACGTAATACGCCAAGTGCGAACCCCACTGCTTGGGATGCACTGATTTCCACTCGTCGTAGCTGCTCCTCCGTGAAGAGGACCACCGCCAGTTTTGCTGCGGCTCCCAACTTCCTTGCGTCTTCTTGGTGTCAACAGCAGGTCCTGTGCTAGAGTTATTTCTTTGCCGAACATCAACATCTTGTTCACCGGGCCTTTTGCCGTCGTTTGATTTTTGTGCTTTCGTGCCAGCGTCGTCGTTTATTCCAGAGTGAGGCTGCATCGCATGGTTCGATGCGGTTTGCCCTCGTGGTTCTTGTGCAGGACTCGATTTATTTGTGAGTTCCTGCACGACCTGGTCCGCCTCAAGAATCGTTGGAAGCAAATGCTGTTGATCTACTATTTCCGCAGTTTGTTCCGGGTTCGATCCGACAAGGGAAGCAGCAGAACCCGCATCTTTAGCTTTACTGTCGGAAAGAAGTTTATTTGATGTGCATGTGCTACCCCATGATGGCTGCTCCGTTGTTCCGCCGACCTTTGGCTCCACCTCCGCGGGAGGCTGCTGTCTAGATGAAGGAATGGGGGCAGCTGGCTGGTAGATCCAGTTCTCTTTCCTCCGCATGTGGACGTTTTCGTAGTACCAGTGGGTCGCCAAGGTCGACTGGTAGTACGCGATGCCGATGACGGCACACAAAATGTGGTCGACCGGAATCTGGAAGGTTTTCGAGACGCGCTTCACCAGCACCATCGCCGTGCGCTCGATGTTGAGGAAGAACTGCATGCCCCACCCCTTCACCTGCAGGGGTCCTGCCCAGTAGGCGCAGGCAGCGTCGCTGAACAGAATGTGTTCCTGCTTCAGCTGGTACGGCGTCAACGACGAGGAACCGGCGGTGGCCAGCTGCATGGCTTGGGAGTTGCCCAGGCTGTGGTTCTGTACGTGATTCCAAAACAGGCCCTTCTTCAGCCGCTCCTCCAGGACATCGAACGTGGAGATCGTAGGCAGGGGCGGAACTGCAATGCGTACTCGTGATGGGTTCGTTATCTTTCGCACGACCGGCTTTCCGCTTTTTTCATCTTTTTGTTTCCACGAGCTGTCTGCCACGTCGTCGACTCCCGTGCTGTAGTCCGTCTTCGTGGCTCGCTCCAAGAACCCCGGAGACTGTTTTTCCAGTTCCAGTTTCAGCTCTCTTGTCGATAGCGTATCCACCTTTCTTCTCCAGGCCGCTGCCCTCTTGCTGGCCCGTGCCATGGAGTCGCGCGAAGACGATGTTGTTCCGGCAGCGGCGTTTGTGAACAGCAATTGAAAATCTGCGAGCCGATCAACGTCCGCATCAAGCTCCAAATCCGCCGTGACGAAGGGAACCAGGAACACATTGCTTTTTTGCTGTTCCTGCGATGACGTCGACGGGGAATGGTGCTCCTTTGCTCTTGCTGGTGCGAATGCAGCTTCGCTTTGCGGTTTTCCCTGCGCCTGCCCGTCCGGGTGGTCGTGAAGAGGGCTAGGAGACCAGTCGCATTTTTCCTGATTTCCAAACGCCTCTTCGTCTCGCCACTCGATGCGGTGTGGGAGGCGCAGCGCCATTTTGGCTCGCGGGGAGTCCGGCTCTTGCAGACGCCCAACAGCGACGAAGGACGCACAACTTCTTGTTTCGTTGCATGAGGTAGTTCTTGTACCATCCTTTTCTTCCACAACACCGCGCACATCATCGGGCTCAAGCGCGAAGTCGTAGATACCGCCAACGCGCACCGTTGCACCACCATCGCTCGATTTATTTTCACCCGGACGGGGAATTGTTTTCATCCTCACCGCGCAAGAATACAAGTTCGGTGAACTACAAACCGCCACTGGAGCTGCTTCTACGGCACCATCTACTGCCTGTTCCTCGGATAATGGTGGGGGTCCAACTGATCTACTACTTTTCAGTGTCTTGCCCTTCTTTGTTGGTCGTCTCTTGTTGTCACCAGAAGTAGAGATGAACTCGAAGCTGAGCAACATGTGCCGCTTTTCTACGCCGTCGTAAAAGACCCAGGGACCGTCATCTACCAGGCTTTCCACGTGTCTCCGCAAGGACCTGCGACTTTCCTGCGCAAAGAGTTCGAGGTCGTCTGGAGAGCAAGCAGCTGTGCCTGGAGGTCGGGGTGGTACTTGTCCTCCAACAGCAACAGGGGAGGAGCCCGAACTACATTCGCCGTGCGTCTGTTCCTGCACCACCGGCGGATAATGATCGAGTTTCTTATCACCCGTGAAAATCTTTGCCTCCCTACAACAAGCACGTCGCGCGAGTCGCTGCTGCCGCTGGCGCCGTTTTTTGCGCAATTTCCGTCTGCGCTTCTTCTTTTTTTGCTGCTGCCGCTTTTTTCGCCGGTTCTTCGGACGCTTCTTTTTCCGCGGCAGCTTCGGTTTCTTCCAGTGCGGCCTAGTTCTTTTGTTCTTTCGTTTTGCGGACGTGATGGGATGAAGCGACGCGGGCTCGTTTTGCGCAGAGGTTGGTCGAACCGGTACCGCAGAGGCGGTTACTTCTAGAGGCGGTCGTTCTCTGTCAACAGCACCTTCGCATCTCGCTGAAAAAATCTGACAGGTCCCCGCTTTAGAAGAACACGGATCTTGTTCGTGGCTCTCTCTGTTCGCTCCAGCAGAGGGATCATTCGGAAGTGGATCCTCCTTTCGAATTTTTGCGCGATTGCGCTCACACTCTTCTTCCTTGGCTCGTCTTTCGACTAAGGTGTTCTCCAACTTCTGCTTTAAACTGCGTACTTCCGTCGCAACCCTTTCTTTTTCCTGATCCATTGCGGAAATCCAGTTTTGGAAAAACTTGCTTAGTTGCAAGAACGTCTTCAACAGGGGCTGCAGCGCATTTGCGTCGCCGATCGCATGGTTGACGATCAGTAGCAGTCTGGCCGTCTGTCCGGGCACCGGTCGCGGATTTTGCGTACAGCCACTTGTTCCACCTGACGTGTTCTTTGTGCTGTCCACGAAACCCTGGTTATTATTGTTCGTCGACGCGGCAGCGTAGCCCCACGACTTGCCGCTCTGGCGGTTGTGATCCTGCTGCTTCGGATAGAAGAAGCTCTGCTTGATTAGGAAGGGCTTCCAGCTCTTCTCCCAGCGCTGCCGGATGGTATCGTTGTATTCCCTCGTAGTTCGGAACCAGGCGTTGTGATCAAACTGCGTTGGGTGGTAAGGCGTCCCTGAGCTTGTTCCCGAACATGATTCTCCGTCTGGAAGACCACCGGCAGTTCTTGGCGAGCAGGTGGAGGTCGCAGAATTGTTGGTGTCGACTTTTGCAGTTGATGCTCCCGAGGGTTTGTAGTTCTTTCCGCCACGGTGAACAGCGTCGTCCAGCAGTGGCCATTCGCTACCCTTCGTCCGGGTGCGCGACACGACAAACGTGCTCGCTGCAAAGGCCTGTTTTGCGGCTTGTTTTGCGGCCGCTGCAGTCCTCGGCGAAGAAGGTGGTTCAACATCGGTTGTGTCTTGGACTTTTTTTGACACCTCAGGAGGATGTCGATCTACGCTGCCCGCCGTGCCTGCTGACGGATTCTGCTCTACTGATGTCGGCTTGTTCCGCGTGCAGCGTTCGGGTAGAAGTCCAACTTCTGATGTGGTTCTAGTTCGTGTGGTTTCGTAATTTCGGCTCGCATTTCTCAAGAACTTAAAGAAGTGGCACTGCAGCTCCGGCCAGTAGTCAAACACCTGTTGTCCGAAGTCCGCAACGCCGATTTCCTGCAAAACCTTGTGCAGGCCCGAGGAGTCGACTTGCACCGCATGGCTCTTGTGCTCCTTCGCCGATTCCCCGAATGTGGACGAGTGCGGCTTCTTTTCGTTGGGCTGGAAATTTTCCGGCACCTGCGGCCGCAGCCCGGTCTGCTTCTTCAGGTCCACGAGCAGTTCGGGAAAGTAGTAGGGCAGCAAAAAGCACGAGGCGTAGAAAGCGTCTTCTGAAATCGGGTGCTGCAGCTCAAACTCCCACTTCACGGAGCCATTGAAATACCTCGGTGTGAAGTAGCCCTTCTTCCCTACAACGTGCCGCTGCAGGTGCTGGTACAGGTCCGGACTTCTACCGGTCGAAATAATGCGCACTGGCTTGTTCTTCGCTTCGTCGGGTGCTGCTGCACTGGAGGCGCTATGCTCCTGCTGCGCTCTTTTCCGACCCAGTGTCAAATAGTGTTGCAGCTCTTCCAACAGAAACCCGAGCATATCGAAGGCAAATCTGCCAGTCTCTGTTGTTCCTTCGGGGAAACATGCAACAGGAAGCGGGGACATTGACTGCAGGTGTGCAGCATGATGTAAGTATAAGCTGATATGAGAAACCATAGCTGATCCTGATGGCGATGGCCGCATCACAAACACAAAAAAATTACTTCTAGTAGATTCGTAATACGAAGGATGCAGTGCTTCAACTTGCTTTTACTCATGCCCGCATCACGAGAAGTCGAAGTTGTCGTAATCCTCATGATTTCCTTTACGCAGAGACCGCGGACAGTTTTGAGTACCGCTGATACGGTAATCGCAGCGAAGATTCCACTTCGAGGCTTCGACCGCGGAAGCACGAGGAAAAGTACCTTTCAACCGCCAACGTCGGATGAAGCAGCGCAGATTTTTTGCGCAAAAAATTAAGCCTGTAGCACCTCGCTCGGGCGATATGCTTCGATCCATATGGGCGACTTGTCGCTGGTCCTCTTCGGGCATCATGCCTCGTAGTAGGCTCGGAAAGTGCAGCAAGTCCGGCCAAATAGTGTGCCTGAATTCGCTTCCTCATTCTGGAACTGCTAGCCAGTTGCTGCGAGTAGTACTGCAAGAGCGCGCGTTCCAGCCACTTTTTCCGGGAGGGGAGTTTCACCGGCCGGGGAACATGCCGGTCTGGCACTACGTCGGGCGACACGAGAAGACAGTCTGCCTCTTCGGACGAAGAATCGGATTCCTCACCATCACTACCTCCTCCAGCAGCGGCCGTTACTTGCTTGTCCAAGACAAAGTTTACCAGATCCTGGACGATTTTGAAATCTGTGCGTAGCTGGAGGAAACTGACTCGTGCGAAGTCTCCGAAGTGGTGCAGCAGATTGCTCTGCAAAGAGATCATGGCTGTCGAATCGATGCCGTTGAGCTCCATGTCGGCAGTCCACACTGCGCCACCTGTCATATGCATTGCAAATCATATCTGGGTCTGGAATAAACTTGTGATGCTGTTGAGTGAGCTTTTTTTCTGATTCTGGATGACAGAAAAATGAGGCTCCTTTTGGGAAACGTGCATGAAAAACTTGAGACTCCTGCAACCCGAGCACGACACACCTCGCATTCTTCCCGGAGACCCCGACCCAACAACATATTTGCAGTTGATAAGTCACCCGTTGGAGCAATTCCAGTACTTTCGACTCCAACGCGCGGCTTCTCGTGCCTAAGGGGCAGGAACCGGTAACCACGACGCCACTTTGGTCCTTCTTGTCCGCCCCCGGAGTTGAATCTGACCCCTGCTTGGCGGCCCAGGACTGCCTGCCCCTTCGGTAGTACTCCCGCTCATCCTCCTTCAGGACGATGGACTCCAGTTCGGGAAAATGCAAATACGCGATGGCCTTGGGTGGCTCCGCCGGCTCGACGTAGTGGTAGCGCCATTTTGTCCACGGAGTGTAGTTGTTTTCAGCTGTTGTAGGTGAAGATGCCCTGTTTTTATTCCAGTCGCCGGCCTTGTTGGGAAATGACTGCCAGCCACTGGCACTACCCGCGTGCCCATCCTGCCTCTCGCTATAATTGGCCCAGCCCGAAGATGCCGACCACCGATTTTTGTCTTCGTGAGAAGTGTTTGTGACGGCTGCAGCTCCGTGGTTGACAGCTGTTTCGGAAGCTTTGGGCGTCGCAGCTAGCATGATTTGTTGTTGTTCCTGCTGGTTACCACCGTGGTCCGAGCGCCCACTGCGATCCATCCACGTATCGGACTTTCTGCTCCAACCGGACGACACGTTGTGGTGTCCTTCTAGCGCGCCGTCTTTAATATTCCAACTGTTCCTGCTTGAAGCGCTTTTGTTCTGTGCAGAAGTGCAGGAGCCACCAGACTTCCAATTTTGCCAACCAGTAGTACTTTTGCCGTCCTGGTTGTAGTAGGTCCAGCGAGAGGCGTTGCTCTGTAGATGATCTCCGGAACGACGCCAGTCCTTCTGCCAGCTGGTCTTCTTCTGGTCGTAGTTCCAGCGGGAATTTTCCCAGCTCCAAGTTTTCTCGCTATGTTGGTTCCAGTCTGTGTAATAGCCGTTCATCCAGGTCGTCGTGTTTACCACCCAGGCGTCGCCGTAGAAATAATAATATTCCTCCTCCTCGTACTCCTCCAGTTCGAAGGTGGGCAAGGGTAAAAGCTCCCGTAGCTTTCCTATCGCGTCCTCGAGATACTGTCGTCGACCGGGCCTGCCTTCCCAGACGTTGGCTTCCAGCCACTCGCTGTCGGAGGAGAGTTGTGAAAACACGGTTTGTGGGAGTTTTCTTTGCCAGAAGTCCTCGAGGAAGTCCCGGTTATTTGAAGAACTGCACATGCAGTTGTTGTGCTCCTTTTGCAGCCTGTTCTCCGTCCACGCCACGTCATTTGCAACGCGGTCCACGCGGTCGTGCAAATGCCGATTTTCATAGCGTCGAAAACCCAGGCTGAAGAACGTCTCGAGCTGCTCGCAATGTCGGCCGTCTTGGTCTTGATCAAGATCCTTGGATTTCGAAAAGCTCGGCAGTGCAGCGACCAGCAGCTGACGGAAGTTCCCGAACATGCCGCGAAGCAAGCACCGTAGCAGACCGTACACCCCGCCGGGAAAATGCTCGAAGAAATCTTTCGTCGAGGCTTGCCGCACCTCGTTTAACCGCAACAACATGTCAAACAGGATCCCTGCGTGATGGAGAAAGCGGTTTTTGTCGCAATCATTGTGCAGCTCCAGCAGTGGCGCAAGCTCGTATTCCACGCTGTCGACGATAAACTGGAAGTAGTGCTCGGCCTCCTGCACCTGCGAGTTGCAAAACGCTGTGTCCGGAAGCAGAGTTTGAACCAGCTCGTAGGTTGCTCCAAAGGTCGACGTTGTGGTTGCCGGCGTTTCCAGAGTGGCGTGCCTTGATGCTGTACACAAAAACTCCGATTCGGCCACCTGCCGGCAAAACGCAATCGCGGCGGGTGAGGGCACGCGGTACTGGGTCTTTTCAAAACTCGGCTGCATGGACGTTTCCAAATCGTCGCTACAGGACAGAAGCTGGGTGACCAGAGGCTCCATAACGATATTTTCATTATCTGAGTGGTAGTAGCCGCGATCATAGAAGTCACCGTACTCTTTATAGTACCCATGATCGGGGCCTTGTGAACCAGCCTCTCCGCTGTGAAATTCGGTCGGCTGGTGCGATCGGCTTCCTTCGCCGGACCAATTCGCACTTTGGTCGCCGGTCCAGCAGCCGCTTCCAGTCTCGCACCTCCAGCGAGATGAATCTGATTTGCTCCATCGACATTTTTCGCCTCCGTGTGTGATTTCTTGGTTCCAAAAAACTCCGTATGTCACACCAGACTGGTGGGCCGAGCGATCGTTACGATCGCGATGCTGACCTGGTTTTCGTGCAGCACTACCGCTGCCAAACTGCAACCAGTTCGTCGCGGAGGAGGCTGGGCCAAATTGCGACAGCTGCAGATCCTTTGTTTTGCCCATGCGCACATGATCCTCGACACCCTGCTCCACCGCCACTTCGTCTCGTCGCCGGGAAACAACGACAGCGTCGTCGAACATCAGGTTCCTCTCCAGTGGAAGCAGGATCCGTGCGTCATCAAAACTCCCATTGGAGGCACAGCACCCCCGTTGCCGGTTGTAAGCTACGTAGCTTTTGTAGGTAAACATGGGCAGCCACGTTTTTCTGTAAAACTGGATCGCCGCCTGGAGTGAGTGAAAAAATAGCATCCGACCCACGGCTTCGGGATTGATCCTGGTGAAAGTCGCTGCACCAGAACTACTACGCTGCGTCCCTCCACGTCGACATGAGTCCAGCCGAACGCCAGCGTACCGCCTGTTGTAGCCGGCCACGTTCATTCGCTTCCAGTACTTCCAGAGGAAGTAGAGTCGCGCGTAGTGAAAGACAACTCGGAACACGAGTGCAGATGTGGTGTAGTACGGCAAAACAAATCCGTCGCCCAGAGCTCGAAGATTCAGGTTCTGGGCCTCGCGGCTACGGACTTGCCGTCCCGCGGGTAGCTTCCTGGAGCTTCCACCGCCTATTGAAGTACCGCGGCTAGTACTGTAGGTCGCTTCTTCGACGACCCGCTGGAGGGAAACATCATTGCTAGTTGCAAGAGCTGAACGGGCCAGCGTCTGTGCGTTGCTTGACCCACGAACAAGACCTGTATCTAGATTTACGTGCTCGCCCCCCAGATACACACTGCAGACCTCGCGAAGCAGCCGTTTCCGATCCACTTTGCCCGTCACTGCGTGGCGGAAGAGCCTTCCGACGAAATGCAGCTTCGTGCCCTTTGCGGGAATGAGCCGTCGGACCTTTTGCACCCGGTCCGCGGCCGCAGAGAGCTCCGCGTCGGAAGCCGACGTCGCTGGGTCTTCGCCGGGAAAAGGGAGGTGTCTTGTTTGTTCGGGGTTTTGTGTAGTACCTGCTGCTGTTGAGCAGTTGCTCTCCATCACGACGAAGAAGTGCCGAATGCTGGTTTGCACATCCAGCACTGCGACCGCCTCATGTGCCAGACCCTCGATCTTGGTCACGATTTCCCGAATGTCCACCCATTTGCCGCCCACCTTCGCGTACTCGTCGAGGCGGCCGTGGTAGTGCAGCTCGTGCTGCCCGCAAGCTGTTCTGGTGACTTTCACCAGGTCGTTGGTGCGGAAATACTTGGCTTCTTCGCTGCAGGAGATCCGGTTTTTTTCTGTGCGGGCTTCTAGTTGCTCGTCGTCGGCACACGGTTGTGCGTGGAAAAACTGGGTTTGTGCCAAGTCTTCGCGACCAAAGTACTCGCCCAACATTGGCCCGGCGATGCACAGTTCCCCAACCACGTTCCTCGAAGCGGCTTGCGTGGGTGTCAGTAGCTTGTGATTTGGCTTGTGATGTTCTTGGGGTATCATCTTTTTCCTGGGGATTTTTATGCAGTGGGAAAAAACGCAAATTTCTGGTATCGTTCAACACTCTAGTACATGATAAAAACAGCGGACAATTATCATCGTGTTGTGTGCTTATGTTGCGGACGATATGAAAAGTCAATGGAAAGTTGGTTTGGCCAAAAGAGGTGGATATTGTTCGGCCAAAAGAGATTTTTATAATTCCCATCAAAACGCACGGAAAGCGTGAAAAAAATCGACATAGTATACGTACTTCATCTACTTTTCGAAAATGTTGACAGTCGCACAAGTGCTGGCTCAACGCGATGATTTGCATTTTCCACGATAAGAGATGAGGACGCGGTCGCGCTTTTATTCCGAGTGGAGGTTGGTCCTGTGCGGATGTTGGTTGCGCCGGTGCCCACCTGCTGTAGTTCATCCGCGCTTTCCTCTACTCCAGCTTGAAATTCCTCTGTTTTATCCTCCACCCGGGCGCCGTCATCTACAACAGGGCGTATCAGGATGCTGCATTCGTCGGTCCACGAATAGCCAATGGGCTTATCATCTAACACCCCGGTCCACCTGTTGTCCTCGAAAGCCGTTGGCGCTGTGTCCGTTCTGTGAACGGCGTCCACGGCGCCGGCACTCATGGCGGATGTTGACGACACGATGTCCACATCTAGCACCTGAGTTGATGATGTAGTTTTGTCCCCCGAAAGACCAAGCTGCGCGGACCGGAATAAAGACGAGGTGTGCTCCTGTATAGTCGTAGTTGTGTAGTTTCTCGTCGAGCTGCCATTTCCTCCCAACCTCCGGTACAGGCACAGCCAGTATTCCGTGGCAATGAGCAGTTCGAAGATCTGGATGTTTCGCTTCACGTAGCCGTTGGAAACGGCAGGTGACAAGGCCTCGCCCCATGTGAAAATGGTACTCACCGACTGCGCGAAGCAGGCTGTGCTCGCTGCTTTGCTCTCCGTGGTGGTTTCTGGTCGTGACGGGAGCACACCGAGCTCATTCTGGAGGCTATCCAATAGCAAAGTCCTCTCGAGTTGTACACAAAAGCAACACTGAGCCTGAGAATATCTATTTGTGTATTTTCACTGGAATAGTTATATTATGCCGGATGGAAAGGAGAATAAAAGAAGGAAACTGGGTGAAGGACCACTGTGCAGAGAAAGCCACGTTTAATGCATTCAATTCTGGCCTATACAGAAAAAGTCTACTTCTATGAATCATTTTGCTGCTACAATCGACAACTCAAGTTTTTTTTCGACGATACAGGGCCTCGAGGATGCTGGGGACCGCACCGAACACGTTTATCCGGTGCTTGGCGATGGCCTGCTGCAAAAGCTGGGGGCGGGAGGCGCTCGTGGGGAACTCCGCGACCACGAGGCAGCCTTGCAGCGCGAACGCGATGTCCCATTCGCCGATACAACTGGCGCCCCAGTACAGGGAAAAATAGTTCAAGCAGCGGATTTCAGCAGCAGCGGGGTTTTGGTCTGCCCCAACTTGTTGTGCACCTTCGGCCCCACGAGTACCTCCGGATGTAGTTGCGCGCAGATCATCCTGCAACTGACCATGGCCGTACTGGCCACGGCTGGCGGAAGTGGCAACGGAATCTTGTTTCGTTCTCTGCAAACAAAAGTCGGTCGTACTGTCCTGCCGTCGGAAAAGCTGGGGATACCCGGGAACGATCAAAAAGAAAAGCACGACGACGCCCATAGAAGTACCGAATGACTCAGTTGTACTATCATCATCACCATAATTGAGTAGACAATCGTTGCTCCTGCGATCAAGTAAATCTCAACTTGCACAAGATGTCCGGTCAATTTTACTGACATTCATCTAGTACATAATATCACGCATGAGCACAAATCTTACCTGAGTCTGGTATGTTGGAGAATTATTTGCTTTTCTTCACGATAATCAGCACTTCGTACTCGATCATTGCGAACGAAACCTGAACGCACTTTGCCGCCGACGTCGTGCCGCCCGTGAACTGGTAGAACAGGGTGGCCTCGCTTGACAGCAACGGGAGCTGGTTCAAAGAGGTTCTGGTCTGCTTGGACGCGACTCGCACATCGGTTTCATTCGCGCGTACTGCAGCCTCTCGTCCTTGTTTCCGCGGCTCTGTTACTCCGTTTGAACCGTGGCCACGCACTAGGCCATTCCTCTTCGTTTCAAGGCTCTTACGACGATCCTGTCGATCTTTTCCTGAGTTGTCATTCGGTTTTGATGAAATCAAACCCAATTCCTGAACATGAAAAATCTGGACACCAGCTTGCAGCAGGCGCCGCCGCCAGGAAAACGTCGCGGGTGTTGAGCTGCTATTCGTATTTCCGAAGTCCTCGGCGCCCGCTTGATGATCCTGCGATTTGTTTCCTAAATTGGAGTTGCCATTGTTCGCCGTAGTTCTGTCTTCGTGAAGTCCAGCGAGCTGGACGTCATCGGTGATCAACACCGAGATTTTCGGACACAGCGCGTTTGCTCGCGAGGATGTACTAGATGTTCCTCCGGTCGTCGCGCCTCCATTGCTCTTGGTTTGTTCCCCGCCGAGAAACAAACCTTCGACGGTAACTTGCAAATTCCGGTCCGCTTCGACCGCGTCCTGCATGTCGCGCGACAGGCAAACCACACCGCAGGTCCGCAACTTGATGATGCCCAAGAGCAGTGCGAAGAAATCGACCCCCCGGTGGAGGTGGAGGGCAAGGGTTGGCGGACGACAACCGCTAAAATCAGACCCGGCCGATTTGTGTTCTCCCGGAAATGAAATCGCAATTCCCGCGAGCGCGTCCGCAGCGCGCTCAGCTTGCAGGCGGAGCCCGCCGTAGGTGCACTCTCGCCCGGTCGCATCCTCGACGATGGCGCGCCTGGTGGGTTCGATGCTGCAGAGGTATTCCCAAAGAGGATTGGGTTTCGGGTCGTGCTGGAAATCACATTTAATATTGGAGGCATCATTTTGATTTTTTTGTGCAGCTATCATTTGGTCGAGGTCATGGCCCTCTCTTACGAGTTTTGCACGCCGGATTGCGCCAGCACCACATTCATTGTCCGCTATAGGTGCTGGTACTGTATGGATAGGAGGAGCACAACTACCATCAGGCCTACGGACGGACGAAAGACACGGTCCCATGTACGCCTAAATTCACGTGGGATTAGTCGAGCATTGTGGAATGAAAACAAAATGAACCACTTTTATGAAAATCTTTGAGCCGATGTTCGGCATCTTTCGCTGCGGGGAAATAGGACCACTGCGGGTCTTAGCAGAAGCAACATAAAGGAGAGCAACTTGTTCGCAATCGGATCGAAAAGTACAAAGCAAATTTCCCAACGCTGACGCCATTAGGAAAAAAGGGAACAAAAGAACTTCGCGCTGCCTTTATTCACACAGTGCAACTGTACCAGGATCACCATTGTCTTATTTCAATTGCTGAATTTTGTGATCTCGAAGTAGAGGTGAAGTCTTGCGTTTGCGCTGCGGGTTTCCCGACTCCCATTGCTTTTGCTAGTACGTTGTACTTGGCCTCCAATAGAAATATACATTTATTAGTTCTTGTTCCGCAGAAACTCTGGACTTGCGTTTTCTAAATAGAGTTCTTGAAACTGAACACAAGTTTTGTTTTTCGATTGTCACCACAGTACGCTCGTACTCCAGCACATTCAGAAGGCCGCCAAGCTCTACATTCTGACCGGTCAGGATTCCTCTTATAGCTTTTCTTCCGATGACCACACCCTTTCGCAAGCCTTCGGACGGACTTTGCGCATCCAGGCCTGTGTAACAGACTGGCACAACCATGACACCCGGCGCTACACCAAGGAAAACGCTTTCCGGTTGTAAAGGTGCCGGTTAATGGCGGCCGTTTCAATGGGCGGTGTGGTCTATCTAGATTTTGGTAGAATTCGAAGTTCAAGTACTTCAGCATCCTTATCCACACGAAACAACATCTAAAGGGTTTGTATCGACACGCGGGGTCCCGAACTCGAAAAAATACGGTGGTTGCTCGATGGGGGGCACTAGCTGCGAGTACGAGTTTCGTTTCGATTTATATCATAAAAGTTAGTTTCGGCGACATCATTCAGATATTCTTGGAGCACGAGCACGCTGACAATGCTATGCTTGCTGTCTATTTTGTTGCGTACTATACGACGCACTGCACTAGCCATCAGAATGGCCATTTCTCGGCCTAAGCCAACGTTTCGTTTTCCAGCAGGAATACCCCGACTGCAGATGATGTACTGTGTACGAATATATTTTTGAACCGGTTGCTTTACTAGTTTCACATACAGATTCGAACCCAAATCATTTGTGATGGCCCGCCTCCTCTTCTGCAGCTGGCGAGCGTTCCATGTTCACTTAGCGACGTTCCGTTTCTGGTGCACTTGAGATGGGAAATCGGTGCCATCTACGTATAATTATTGCCTGAAGATTCTGCCAGCCTGAAGCGTATGTCTTTTTGCGGCACCTGTGGGTGCAACTGCAACGGCGCCGGCGCCGGCTCTGCATCAGGTTCCGAACAAAGTCCAGACAGGGGCAGCTGTTCGGCGAAAGACTGCTCTACTAAGGGGAACGAATTAGTACCCGACGACGTCCTCGTCCTCGTGGATATCAACGAAGACGGCGAACTGCGCTGCTTGCCGGCAAGATTCAGTCGTAGCCGACTTGCTGGTAACGTTTTTGCTTTTTTCAGGTTCAACCCAGCGCTTTTTGCTTTTCCACGTGGGAGTGCCTGCTCAGTAGATGCAGATGCCCTGCGGTCGTCGAACGGCGGGTCCGTGCGTAAGGCGCCAGCGCCGCGAAACAACGATTGTTCGGGAGAGAATACCTGTGGTGGCCCGCAAGCTTCCGGAAGCGGGAAGTAAGAACTGGGTACAAAAAGTGCTCCTTCCCGTCGGTCATCTAGCCCCTCCTTCCCCGCTGCATATGCGTGGATGCTGTCGTGGAAGCTGTCCGAGGACGCGCCTACCATCTCTGCATCGGGTTCTTCATATTCTTGTCCTTCCTCGTCGAGAGCACCCTCTTCTTCTTTTTCTTTCAGTTGCGCCTCCTTGGTGGAACTCCATGGCACTAGGGCCACGTGTGACGCACACACCCCAGCAGCGGCAGTTGTAGTTATACGCTTGTTAGTAACATGGTAGCCGAGCAGGACCCGTAGTTGCGCCACTTTCGCACCATCAACTCCAGCCACCTTCCGTGCGGCCAGCACCAGAACCCGGAGCGCCGAGTCGAGCAATAGATTCTGGCTGAATTCTAACCGCTGCTGCCGTTCCTTTAGAATTCCCTCCAGCACGGGGAGGAGGCAAACGCGCGCGTAGAACTCGTCCGCGCCCTCATTCGCGAGCGGCTGGGCGTGCTTCTCGTCATCATTACGGGGCGGGCACGCTTTTTTGCTCGCACGCAGTGAACTGAGCCGCTCCAGGACGGAATCAAAGATCGAGGGAACTCCGCTTTTATCCTGGTGGTTGTTGTTGAAGAACGGTTTTGTGGTCGTGCTCCAGGCCGCACCAACGTCAGTACTATCGGGAATAAAATCTTCGTCGGCGTATATCGTGGCCATCGCCGGGTCCTCGTCGCGTCCTATAACCATAGGGGCTTTGTACAAATCGTCGAGCGCGAAAAGCGGGACGAGAAACTCCTCGCCCTTGGCATCCTTGAATGCCTGTTTCATATTGCACTTGCTCATGTGGTATTCAGGAGGCTGTGGCAAAGAGGTGGCCAGAATCCAGTCTGTGTAGCCGTCCACGAAGTCGTTCTGGTCCTCGGGCAAGACGACCCGCGGTAGACTTGAGGGCGGCTCTCCACCTCCATTCCGGCGGCTTACGCGGCGTAACACTTTGAGGCCCGAGGCGAGCTCCCGCACCGCACTGTCGCGACGTGCATCCTTGTTGTGCAGGTGGGCGAGCGAATTAACTTGTGTTTTGTAGGCTGCGAAAAGGTTTTCATAGATAACATCTTCGATTATACCGACGCGCGAGAGCATTGATGCGTAGTGCTGAACATGTTCTTCCTTGTCTGCATCCTGGAATCGTGGCCGCAGCATGCGCTCTATTCGAATTGCAGCTGCATATTTCTCAAAGTGCTGTGTCAGGAGGGTGTCTACTGTGTGGTGCAACCCGGTGCTCGGTGCGTTTGGGAGGAAAAGCCACTGCGCAGTCAGCGTGGCGGGTTGACGGCTCACTTTTGGTGCACCGGATTTCTGTCGGACTTCTTCTGGCAGCTCGTCGTGTGGGTCGGCGAGTCGCGATGGGCTTTCGCCTTGTTCCTGCAGCGCAATCGCATCCACCTCCGTTGTTCCGCCCGGCTGATACAGCACGGCCTGTAACCGAGCCGCCGCGGCGCCGGCCGGCCCATGTTTTGCGGGGCAGGCAGAGATGGTCTGCCACGGGAAGGCCCCCATCCAGCGCCGGCCCAATCTCTTTCCTACGTCCAACAGTTCAGGTACGCCCGGCGGTGCACTGAAATCGGCAAAAACGTCATGGAATCTTCTTTGCTGCTGGGGCTCCGCTCCCACTTCCAACCAAGCAGTCTTCATCTCGTCCAGCAGCGTCTGCATTTTGAGTTCGCGATGCAACACCGGTCGAAAGTCGCTGTCAAAGTTGATAGGAGCAACTTCTGTGTTGTCCGCCCTGATGGCTAGTCGATGCAGCTCGCGTAGCATGTGGGTGCGGTACTGCAGCTTCTCTCGCAGCGCCTCCGCAACATCCCAGTCATCCGGCTCAGTGGTCTTAAGTAGCTCGTAGTGCGCAGGAGTAAACGGTTTCGGCTCAAGCGTCACCGAATTTATTACGCTTTCATCCTCGAGTAACGCAACGTAGGTCAGCAGCAACCGCATTCGCTCCTCGCTTGACATGTTCTTTTGCTGCTGCGTTTCCTGCGTCTCTGGCCCGGCCGGCGGGCTACTTGTGACGGGGCTCTGCGCGGCTTCCTCGGCAGACGCGCTTATTTCGGGGTTCATTGGTCCTGCGTGGTTTCCAGCAGGAGTTGCAGGTGCAAGTGCCTGCGAACTCGTCGCGCATGATCTTTCTTTACCTGTGCTTTCGCATGATCCCGGCCCATGTAGTAGCTCCTTCACTGGGGACGATCGGTCTTTGGTAAACCAGAGCTCAACCATTTTGCCCACGGGGCTACGCATCTCCGGAGCAACAACGTTGTCCTCTCGTCGCGTGGCCCCCGTCGCTCGAAAATATGCCGCCAGTCGTCGTCCAGTTGGACTCGTCGCTGCCGGTGTTGCTTCTGCAAGTGCAACAACTGGGACTTTCGCAGCGCCAAGGATTTCCGTCCGCGTTTCCCGTTCTGCGTCCGCTATTCGCTCTCCGATCTCCTTCGCTAAGAAATGTGGGTTTGCCACCAGGTCACCGGAATAAATCCTGGTGATGACTTCTTGAAGTTTCTGCCGGATCCTGCCATCGCTGCTGAACTGCTTCAGCAGGAAAGGCTGCAGCGATTTGAGAGAAGGCGCGCTAGCCGCGAGTCTTGTCACTGCGGCCGTCAACCCGGGCTCCAAAACGATCTTGTCAAACTGCCGTGCCCGTTCCTCCCGACTCCCTGCAGATTGTGCTAGCTGCGCTGCGAAGTCGGCTATGCGCATCGCACGAAAAAGTGTTTCACTGATGTAACGACTACATGGCCAATTTTGCATCACAAAGCTGGTCAGTACATGCTGATCAGGAAAGGGAATATCAGTATTTGCCATGCGTGCTGCCGTAGGGAAACGGAAACTAAATCTAAGAATCCGCTGTCTCGCATGTGTAGCTGCAAGAAAAATACTTGTGTGCTGTGGCATCGTCCGTTGCGCCACACGAAGTCCACAAGGAAATACTCTTTTCGGTTCGATACTGCGTCCGGTACGCGTACTAGCATACCCGGATTGCACGACGGCTCGTGCAAGGGGGCCTGGCGCCTGCCAGGCTCGATAGAGTATCGCATTGACGATCCTGTCAACGAACCATTCGCTGAGGAGTTCCACTCGCCTCTCTTCCACGTCGGAAACCGGGGCTTGTTCTTGCATGGTGTTCTTCTTGCCGTCGAGCAAAAATCCCTCTGCCGCGGGGTCTTTGGTGGAGGCCCCTGAAGATGAAGATGAGGCACTCGTTGATCGTCCCGGCGCCGCCTGCAGCACGCGTCCAAAAGTGTACAAGAACGCGTCCTTGTCATCGGCAGACCAGTTGATCTGCCTCTCCCACGGTCCCGGAACTAGGCGCTCCGCCCCACTTGACGCCAGCTCGTCATGCGAAGCCCTCTGCCTGCCATTGTGCAGGGAACAGAGCAGGTGCAACCGTCTCGACCCGTCCGTCGCTTCGCCATCACCCACGTCCTCCTCCACAAAAAGCCAGGGCTGCGGTTGGTCCTCCTCGCCTGCGCGAGATTTATTTCGTGCGGGCCCCAGGAGGACACGGTGACGGCGGCCGCGGTATGCGCCAGAGTTCGCCCTCCCAGGCTCGTCGGTGCCGGCCAGATCCACGCGGGCCGCCGCACGGAGTGCGCCCCGCACTCGCTTTTGGAACTCCCCGAGGGTATCCGCTCCTCTGGCCGGGTGCGCGTTCTGACCACAGGTGTGATCCCCGGGCGGCGGGGCCGCAAACCGAATGTGCGTAGTTTTCATCCCCGAATTGCGGCCACCATCTTGGTTCGTTTGCCATTCGTACCGTGCCACCGCCCGAATGCCAAACTGCGGTGTTCTCTGTGCGACACTTCTTCTCTGGTTCCACAGAACCGACTCGCGGTGCTGTTCTTGCCGCTCGGGCCGGCGGAGTCGCACCAGGTCCTCCTGTTCGTCCTCTTCCTCTGGGCTCGTTGTACTAAGCGGCTCCAGCCTGTGCAAGCGAAGGTCCCAGTCTCGGATCTGGTCCGAGTTCTGCAGCTTGTCCGCGTCCGCACTGACCACGAACACTTGCATCTCATGACACCCGTTCTCCTGAACGCGGATGCATCATGTAGAAAAAGGCTAGCGAAAGTTCGTGGTACCTGTCGTGCTAAACACCAAGAGAATTATGTAGAAAACGTTTTTATTCGCCTCTAGTGCCTATGCATCATGATATAACTGTACTGCTAAATCGATGTTAGTTGGCTGTGCGTTGTACTCGAATCATATCACGGCATCTTTCCATTTCATTTCTCTTCATGTTGCTGCAATAAATCGTATCTACTCTACCTCGTCCAGCACATTGAGACGACAAAGAAGGCAACCTCGTATTTCGTTCATATCTCTTCAGACAAGATGGCGTGTGGTCTGTTGATGCTAGCGTGGCATAGTAGTTTTTCGATAATATTATATTTGGATTTTTGTACCACTAGGAGAAGCTTGAAGCCGCGAATTTCTAGAAGGATAGAACGAACCGACCGCGCTGTTCCAGCTTTTCCCCCGCATAGTGGTAGCGTTGAGACGCATTTAGGTCTTCTCCTCGAATGCAGTACTCCTGCTCAACACCGAGTGGAAGATGCTCTTCCCGGTTGGCGCCGCGAGACGAGGAGTCACTTCCCCGGCTGAATAAACTCGTGAAACCCACGTAGCAGGCACTACTACTATTCCCGGTTGGAAATACCGCTCTGCTATTTGCGTCGGTCGGAACAGAAGACTCGCCTTCGGAGGTGCCGGCCCAGGACGAGAAAAGTTCGTGCCTTGCACCAGCGGCGCCTGTGAGCAGCATCACCGTGCTACTATGTACGCCAAGAAGGAGCAGCTGACGCACTGCAGTGTAGGAAAACAAGGCTGGAGATGAATGCTCCCGCGTTCGTTTCCTTTTTGTCCACACGGAAACACTCGATGGCAACATTTTTGCTGGTTCGATGCCTAGTTGTGCTTGTGGCTGCGTAGTACTCCTCATGTGGAGTTGTAATTCAAAAGAGCTAGTACCAGAAAGATGAACATGATAAGTACCTCCTTACCAGCCTAATTTTTCTGTAGTGAGCAGAAATGAGGTTCGGCCACATCAAAAATTTTGTGCTGGGGAAGAATATACGACTGAAATAAAAGTTCGTGATTCATTCCCTGGCGGTAAGCTGCCCTGAAATTGGAGTCTCAGTTTGTTTCTACTGGGTTGCCATTCTCGTGCACGAGCAGCTCTTGTAGAAACCAGAACGTCAATCATGGCCATCTGTAGAGCTGCGAAAAAGGCCTGCTGAAGCTAAACAGAATAGATCTGGAACGTTCATGTGGTGATCCTGAAAAATTAAACTGAAAGGAGTCGCTTGGTAATATAGAAAAAAATAGAGTGGAACAGGAAAAATGAGAATGACGGAGAAAAACGGAAATTTCTAAAATTCTATCCACCAGCGAGCAGGATGACATAAGCGAATGTTGGGTAAAGGCCGCTATATAGAACTTATCCAAGATGACACCAAAACCAAAACATTGCGCGCAACATAATTTAATTGATCGGCGCCAGGCTGGAAAACGAAGGTCCTGGAATAAAAGATAGAGGAACTGCCTGTGTCTTTCATGAACACAACGTGCGTCCTCGTCGGCGCTTTCAGATGCCGCAAAAGCAATTAGGCAAGCACATGCTCGCTTGTCACAAAATTATACCTGTAGGTCCTAAAGACTTCTGAAATAAGCGGCATGATCTCGATGCGAAAAGTAGTTAATGTCAATCGCACTGTCAGCGATGAATATTCACATTTTTACGCCACCCCAAATTATCTCCGTGTTCCGTTAAAATTAGCTGTCGAAAGTACATTTCCATTTTCCATTTTGTATCTTCGTATGCATCAAAAATTATACGGTGCGCGGATGCTTGGGTTCACAAAATATTTCCCCATCTACCCCATCGGGTTCAAACAGCTGAACTTGATGAGGGTCGTGAAGGCACGCACGTAGGTGCGGGACGCTTTCTACCTCTAAATACGAAAGTACGTCTTATTGCTGGCATGGTTATAGCTTTGGTAGATCTGATTGCACTTCTCCCGAAATGCTGTTGCTATTGATCAGAAATAAATATAAAGTGGTACAGATCAGCTCGTATTCGGTACATCTCGATGCTGTGATGAACTACAATAAATTCTGCTTCTCTATTGGTTTTTTCGAAACTATCATTTGCGTCTAGCCAAACAAAAGCGAGACCTGTACCTAGCGGAAATCCCAAACGGCTGAGATTTTTCATCTTTAGGTAGCATTGAGGTATCTCCAAAACTTGCTGGCGCGTGTGAGTGTTACATGGTCTTTCTAACAACTACGCACAAAAACAAATGTGAGGAGCTACAGACTTTTTGCAAAATCTTACGTGCTCCATAGAGTTTGTGACTTTTGCCACTACATGCTCAAAATAAACAAAATCTAGAGAGCATGATAATTTTCGTATCTGTCTACAAAATGTAGAAAGCAAAAGCGTGATATTTTTTGATGCCAGCTGTTTGCTGAAGTAATAAGTTGAGCGCGGAATAAGCAGAGTTGTCTTTAGCTTCGTCAGAATCAAGTACATTATAATCTTCGTGTTGGAGCTCGTCCAGTTGCATTATGCATTGCAAATATATTATAATCTGGGTCTGGAAGTAGACTGTTGCATTTATTATGCATGTGGTCTGACTCTGACATGACGCGAGAGTCTGTCTCTGTCATGCATGGGCACGAAAATGCCCTCCGACCTGTCATGCAAAAACGCAGTTTCCTACCTCTATGCGAACTACGCAACACATAGCAGCTCAAAAATTGGCCATGCTTAGCTGCGCAATGCAGTGCGGCTATCATTCACTCTGAGCATTACGAACAGTTTGTCACTCTGACAATTCGAAAAAGTCGTATTTACGGTCCGTGGGTATTGAGGTCGCCGTTCCTCTAGCCTTGCTTGTAAGTTGCCGCGGTGCTGTCGCTTCTTTGTAGTCTGCTCTAAACCAGTCCCTGTCGTAGTGTGGGCTAATCCGGGGTCTAGTCGCATGTCCGTCGGGGCCACGGCGGACCTTGGTCTGCAGACCGCTCCTTCCGGAAGAAGAAGCTGGGCTCAGGCCAGGTTCTGGACAGGGTTCGCGCTGCTCGCTTCTGCTCGGGGCTATCCGTGATTGCCCGCTCGGGGCTATCAAATGCAAATATGTCCGGGTTCTCTGGATGAACGCAGATGATCGTCATGCTGTTTTCGTCTGACCAAGAAGGTATGCGTATGGTATGCCAGCCCTCACATCACAGGTTTTGAGGAGGTGTCTTGTCAATGCCACCTGAAGATCCGCAGGGCAAATCATCACTTTCGGTGATAAGAAAACGGGCAACTTTTGTTGTCCATGCATGTTGGCAATTATTTTTTTATTCATCTGAAATGCGCACCAGAACCAGATGCAGATATATTTGCCACGCATAGAGGCTTGGCCACTTATTGCCGTGGAGGAAGCTCCGGATGATCTGTGCGCCCTGTGGATTGGACGATGATCGTCTGGGTCGCCAAAACCGAAAAGGTCCTTGAGCTTTTTCGTTTTCACTGCTTCGGGATCCGCCCTCTTGGCGCCATTGAGCAGCACCCGCAGGGCCGTCTCGAACAAAATTTTCTTTCGCAGCTCGAGTCGAAACAGCCGTTCTTGCAGAACCTGTTCGAGGAGCGGGAGAAGTAATACCCGGACAAAGTAGCGCGCGGGCCCGTGGCGAGGGTCCTTTTCATCCTGTCGAGGGGCGGGCACCTGCAAAAATTTGTGCTCTGGTCCCATGCGGCTTCGCGCGGGCATGACGAACTGTACGAAGTCCTTGCGCTTCTCGACTTCTTCGAACATGGCGTCGACGATGCTAGGAAGCTTGCTCTTCTCCTCTTGTTCCCACTCAGCCGTTCCGGGGACAAATCGTTCCTCCAGGTAGAAGTTCGACTTTTGCCAAGCATTCACGTTCGTCCTCACCTCCAGCTCCCCGCGGAGCTCGTCATCCATTCTATTAAGCGGCGACACGGCGGCGTTGGCGTAGATTACATCTAGCTCAAGCAAGGCCAATAAAAATTCGTCCCCTCTACTAGGGGTCCTTTGCCTGCTTCCCCTCCGTATGCATTGCTAAAGCACCGCACTAGTATAAATCGCATGACAGATAATTTTCTCAGCACGAGCCATAAAGTTTGTATTTTGGTAGATGTTCCTAGAGAAAGGGATTTGCACTGCATGACTTCGATCAGTACGAGTACGATACTTTCGCAAAATCATACTGCTTCTAAGAGAAGATGAAACCATATATTCACCTGCTTCTGTCAATTGCAAACGTGTCTGAGTCTGGAAGTAGAGTTGCGTCTTGTGATGCAAAAGTCGGATCACGCAAAAATTTTTGTTGCATGAACTCCAAAAGCTACCCATACCTTGCTACGCAAAAAGGGAAGCTAAGAGGCGGCACAGGCATCAAGTTCAAGACACCTGCGCAAAACCTGTACCACTTTTGCGTGCATATAGCATTCCAGATCATCTGCGTGGTCCGCGAGATGCATGACAAACTTCCAGACCCAGACATATCTGCCTTCGATAGCGTCCCGGACCCATTGACTTATTCCTTCACGGATTTGGTCTCGTTTTGCACCGCGCAGAAAGCCATGGAAGGAGCTCCCTGGTTGACGATCGGCCGACTGTAGTCTCTGTGGCCTTGGGAGGAAGGCGGCCAGCAACCAATCCCGCATTTTTTCCTCGCTGCTCCTCGCCAGCGCTGTCAAGAAGTCCTGGGCCCAAGCCGCGTATGCAGCGTTACCAAATTCAGCGACAAAAAGGGACATGAAGCGGTCCCCCAAATCTGCGATAATCTCGTCCCGACTAGCGTCCTGGTTGTGGTCGGCAGCAAGCAGCTTCGCGTCCGTGCGGTACCGGCTGATCGGATCTTCGGTTTTCTTCTTGCCATCTTTGTCCACGGTGACGGCAATGGCATCAGGAAGAGGAGTACCAGTTGGATAAGACTCGCGCAGTTTTGACTCGAAAGCCTGGACGTGTTTCTCGCGCTCCGCTTCTGTCCAGGACGGACGCAACATTCGCTGGACGCGGATCGCGCAACCGTACTTGTTCAAAAAAATGCTCAAGCTCTCTTCCGACGGAGCAAACAACCAGTGCGTAGTCAACTCGTAAAAGCTTGTCGGTTTATCGGGGTCATCTTGTTCCACACCAAAGTAATCTTCTCCGCCGTGCAAGTGTAGCCTCTCTGCGCGCTCCCGCGTCAAGTCAACGTCTCGATTGTTGTTCGTGTAGCTCAACATGAAGTCGTACTCAGGCTGGAAGAGTACAGGCGTCAAGTGTTCGGTGTACCGTTGTACATCCTGTGTGTAAGCGTAGTTGATGCGGGGCATGCTGTCCGTCCCGCCAGAAGGCGAACTCTCCTCCTCCGGCTCGTAAGGCCCGGGCAGCATCTTCCTCTCACTTTCGCGCCACAGCGTCTTCATCGAATCCAGAAAGTACTTCCTCTTGCGCTCCCGCTCCAAAATTGATTGTGAACGCGAACTCTTCAAAAAATGCTCCCCGACGTCCGCAGACGGCTCGATCGTGAGCCGATAAAGTTCTTCCATCAGTTCGATCCTGTGCTGAATTTGGACATGCGTTGACTTGTACGTCCGAAACTCATCCTCGTTGGCGTCCAAGATATCAAAGTAGCGCTGCGAAAACTGGTCCGCTTCCCTCGCGTAGTCTACAAGGGAACCGTATGTGAAAAGCAGTCCGGCACGCCGCTCGTCGTCGTTATTGGCGCCTTCATCGGAAAGTAGTTTGTCGCAGAGGTCCACCACACCTTTTTCGACCCTTTCTTGGATCTCGTCGAACGTGTTTGGAAACATTTTGCTTACCGTGTCGCGCAATTTCGGCACATTCGCAGCTTTATGTACGCACTCTTTTACAAACTTTGGTGCCACCTTTTTGCCCTCGTGCTTCATGATGCGCGCCACCTTGCTGCCACCTGGCGGAAAGAACGAGGTGACCACGCGTCCCACAGGATCTCTTGGAAGCCCTTGGGGTTTAGCGGAAAAAATACTCTTCAGCCACGTCATAAACTTCGACGCTGGCCTGGAGCGCGGGGGAAGTTCCTTTTTCAGGGCACCGTAGACTTGTTCTACCGCCTCGCGGTGCGCAGCAGCTCGTTCTCCTGAAAGCGCCGACTTTAGTGCGGCCAGCGAGTCTGGATCAGCAATTAGGCCCCAATTGAAAAGACTTGCCCGTCCCTTGCTCCGCGTCTCCGCCCCCGCGTCGACAAGCGCCGCGCGCCACCATCCACCAGCGTTTCCAGCTAACCAGTCGAGCTGCTGATCCCATTTACCCAAGGGGACCTTCGTCTGAAACCAAGGCATGACCGCCAGTTTGTGTACCGCCAGTTTGGCTGCCGTAGCTATGCCATGGCCCGCGGCGTCCAGTACCGGCCCCACCAGGAGGGCGCCACCTGCACGCACGAGCACGTCGGTGCGGGCGCCATTGACGTTGTGCTTTGTATACGACAACCACTTCGCAATTCTCACGTCTTGAGGATAAACAATCACGTTGACTACTCGGTCTACGAAGAACTTGCGCAACGCAGCGCTTTCCACCTCGTCATTAGCGTTAAAAAGGTTTCCAAAACTCCGAATGAATCTTTGTAGCTCCCCCTCAAACGCGGCGGGGTCTTTAATATTGTCAAAGAAATCCGGGAAAGCTCGCTGCTCTTTTGTACTTTTGCGACCTCCAGTGTCGTTGTGCGGCGAGCACAGAAGGTTAAGCGGCCTGATCGACGTAATCTTCTGCATCCACTCGGGGAGCGCGGTCTGCCTCTTGACGAAAAGCAGCGGCAATTGCCCTTTGAACCCACTGATCAATATCCGTCTTCCTGGGGCACGAGTGGTCTCAGCCTTATCGCCCCTGACGTTTGCCGCCGCCGCATTTACTTCTTCCTGAAGTTTAAAATTAGCCGCATCGAGGGCTGCACTTAGCGTATCTGTGTACCACTTCCTCGCGTTCCCGTCCTTGTCGTCGAGGGAGGACGGTGGGCCGTAGTAGTAAGCGCGTTTGCCCCCCGACGTGACTTCGTACCTTGCAACCCCACGAAGTCCCCTGAAGGGAGCGCCCCTTCCACCTGTTTTGGTCGGGGAGAGCGCTGGCATTGTAGATGCATCGTCGACACGCATTAGCCGGAGGTCCCAATCCTTCACCTTCAGGGAGGACTTCATCATGTCTTCGTTCGCGTGGAGCACGTACACCTCCATGTCATCCTCGATCTTTGAAAATTTCACAGATGCTTGAGACCTCGCTTGGTTCGCGGACGGCGCAGGGGCGTACACCACCTGGCTGTGCTGGTCTGCGGGTGCGCTCCGGAGCCGTGGGTCGGGATTGTATGGGTAGCCTCCGGAACCGACGTCGCCCGAGGAGGTCCGGTAGTAGTCCGCTGGACTCCTGTAACGATCGTGCGCGGGGTATGGCGGATGAAAATCGTGAGTAGAGGCACTACTGCGTGAAGCAGCCGACGCACACGAGGCCCCTAAGAACAACTGCAGGACCACTAGGTAACGCGCCGCTGCACGGCCCGTCCGAGCCCACAGGTTTTTTTGCTGCGGCTCCACCATCTTGTAGCCAACGGCGCGGACGGAGCTGAGTCGCTGGGCGAAAGAATAGTATGAAAATACGCTTGAAGATTTTTTGAGAGCAAATTTTGCTCGCAAACACAAATAATGAAATCTATTTTAGCGAAAGACGCTATGCCTGCAGTCTGCTTTACAATTCTGCCCGTACGAGGACAAGGCTACGTAGCCGGGAAAAGCAAAACTGTATAAGGAATCGGAAATGAAACTCAATATCTCTTGCAGCACCAGGTGCTCCTGAACCTGCTTTCTTGATCTTGTATGAGGGCAATTATATGAATCGGCTCCACTCGCATCCTTGCTGAAAAAAAAACGCGATTGCGCAAAAATACAGTTATCTGGATGTAGCATCATTGACGCATCAAAACAATTATCCATCGCCCCAGCGGGAAGTAGATCATGTTGTACTAGTGTAGTAAGAGAAGTAACAGTAAGTTGCCGCCACAGACATGGTAGATGCATTGATATTGGATCATTTGCCACCACGCAGATAGCTCCAGTGACGCCGGTCTATAGGCGGCCCTCGTGTCGCGCCTAAACTAGATACAAATGGTTCAGAGATCTTATTATGTCAGCGTTTTCTCTTGTTTGTCTTCGGGCTATTCAACAGTTGTTCACCGTAAAAGACACGCCTCAATAATACGATACCAATGATCCAAAAAAGCACTGTCAGAGTCGTCTCCTCGGGCTGTTCAATACAGAGATCGTGGCACCAGAGGATTAAATACCTGGCATCACAGCTCTTGTTCGTTGCTAGCAAGGACAATGTTCTCGCAGCTGTGGCTGCCTATTCAAATTCATTTGGATCTTTCTTTCTTACATTTTTTACACACACGAGAAGTAGGTGTCTTAGGCTGGTGTCGTGGTAGTGACTGTTGAACCAGGACGGAGGGTGGAAAATCCGTTGCAATCGCAAAGCCATCCAATAGAAATCTCGGTGGAGACTTAGCAGATGAAGAATACTTATATTGAGATCCATACCTTCGGAATATTGAGATCCACACGTTCCGTAAATTCTGACTTGCTAATACTCAAAATATTTGCGTGGAGCTGCTCTCTAGAGCGAAAATCCGGAACAGGTTCGCGTGTTCCTTCTATAAGTACCGTAAGAAGTGCTTTTTAAAGGAAATGAGAAGCTTGTATTTCATTCTTCATCTAAAACGAAGGCAAGGTACCGCTGAAAGACGAAGGAGCCTTTATCAGTAGCGAAACATCAAGACGATTTTGATCGTCTTGCTCGGGCTGCTGAGACATGTGGTCACTTCGAACCGGTGTTCATCGGACCCCAAGGAATCTATTACTTTCTTTTGTTTCTGACCAAAAGAACGAGAACCGGGTCTACGATGCGACATATGCGCAGCGGGCTTTGATAAGAGTTGTAAGTTCTAGTTCTTCTAATTGCAATTTCAGTTCTCTAAATTTTCGATCTGACCTTTTATTTTTCTACAAGAAACGACCAAAGGCAAAAGCAAAACGATTAACAGCAAAATGAACGAGATCTGAATGCCCTTTGCGCCACACACGGTGTACATCGACGAAATCACAAATTCCTCCAACGGACCTATTTCCGAAAGCGAAATCTTAGCATTCTCTAAAACCAAACTACGTAGAGTCTCTCTCTGATGCTACTAGCATGTACTTACTAGATGTATCTTTCTTGATGCTCTTTTCTGTCACAATTGCAATTGGAAGTGGTGACTTCCGTTCTGGTTTCTGCATCGACATCGACATCCCTCTTAGTACTACTTTTCTTTCGTACGACTAACCTCTGATGATTGCGTACATGATTTCTGACGTCCGTGTGGGAAATGCGCTAGCGAAGACGAACACTTCCAGATAGACTAGCAACGCCGAGCTGAGTGCCACCCTCGATAAAATTTCACCTACTGGTGTACCAGGACCTTCACCTTGCAAGCATGTACCAGATGCTCTCTGTGTATTCAAGTCTGAGAAAGAGAAATGTGCTCATGCGGTCCTCAGGAACCCACCGTCCTGTTCCTCGCCATGTGCGTCTCGAAGAGTGAAATTCCGCCTCTATTCCTGATCAGACTTTGTCGCGAAGTACTGGATCAGCGCTCGACAATGCCGAGATCTAGGGTACCGTGGTACTGCGACTAAAATGGCCTCCGCGGCTTTGGACAGGTTTGCTGCATCCGCCGTCTCGTCGCCCGCCTGCCAGCTCTCTCATATGCTACGAAAACACGCCCTTCCCTGCAAGCCGGTAGTACGTAATGCAAAATATGCGTGCAGTGTCAGTTGATGTTGAAGGATTAGGATATATTCAAGTAACTCGACACTTCAACATCTTCTCTTTGTACTGATGGTTAGGAGGGGTCGTGTCTTTACACAAGATACGCCAGTAGATCGACCTTCTCTGCAGCTCCAATGCAACCGCCGTCTCCAAATCGCGTCGCGGCGTAACGCCGTCATGCAGATTGAAACGTAGCACCCTACGGCACAGTATGCAGTGCAAACGTGTAGTTGTCCGGGTGTGGAAAAGTGCGAGGTGTGACGCGTGTTTTACAGTTCTGGAAAATATGCGTTGCATGACCGACATCACAAGCGATAGTTGTTTTGTCATGCGAAAACGCAGCTTGTCATGCGTACTAGGGATGAGAAAGCGAAAGCGTTCTAAATCTGTCCTGCTTCTTGGCCGGAGGGCCTTTAGCAGTGCTGCACTCATCCATAAGTAGCCCAGCATCACAAGTTTCCAGAGCACCCAGACGTACTATATTTGCATTTGATATGCAGACGATCCTCCGAGAGCGTCGGGTCCCAGAAGTCCTCGTGCGGAGCAGAGACGATCATGAGGTCGTACTATCGCGAGAAGAAAGTGTTTCGCTGATAACTCGCAATGCCGAATAAAATGTCTTGATACACATTTTCGTTCGTGTTGCTACACTTACAAGGCAGTGGATTTGCAGTTATGTCGTACCTTGTTTGGGACGAGCGCACGGCAAGTTTTCTTTGTTTATGTGTACTTAAAAGAGGACTTGTGATGCAGAGGGTCATAACAGTAATGTAACAAAACAATTTTCTCCTACGATACGTACTGATTTGGGACAAACAGGTCGAGGAGGAAACGCGAAGCTTCGCGGGCTTTCTGCGGCACGTGGTCCGTCGTACTGCGCTGCTTGTCGCCCACCGCCCGCGGCTCGAGTCCTTCGAACATAGTCTCCAATTTCGCTGTCGCGATGCACACCGCTCTCCGATGGAAAAGTTCGGTCGCGCCTTCCAGAGCTGCAAGCTCGCACCCCTGACAGTGGATCTTCAAGTAGGTGAGCGCTTCCCCAGCGCCGGCAAAGGTACTAACGGCGGCGTCCGTTAGTGCGACAGGAGGCGCTGCCACTGCAGGGGCCGCGAGACTGCGTCCGGGACCCGTAAACCAATCCGACAAAGTAGTAGCGCGCACAACGTCGTAGTGGTCGCACTCCTGCGCGTCAGGCCGCAGGATGCAGGCGGAGGCGTCCTGAACTTTCTTTTGCCGCTTCGTGTGAAAGAACGAGTCCGAGGTCGCGTAGCTCTCCGCTGTGGAAAAGGGGTTCAGGTAGATCGTGTGCAGGTCTTCCGCATCTGGAATGCGCATTTTCGGGATCTTCGGCGTCCTTGCGTCTACTTGTATTTCGGACGCACCCTCGGAAGTAGTTCCGGCTGTAGTTGTAACATCGCCGGTCGTTTCATCCGCCGTGCCGTCCTTCTGGTCTGGCTTCTTCGCAGTTCTTCGCGCAACCACCATTTTTTGCACCACGCGCACTCGTTTTTCCCAGCCGTTGGCCCTCACCGTGCGCTGGAAGGCGGCCACTGCGAGCTTGCTCGGCTCAAAAACCACGGCTTGCGCGTCGGGAAACTTGCGGAGCGCGTGTATGATGCAATCCCCTTGGTGCGCGCCAACCTCAACAAAGACGAAGGGAGAATCGCCACTCGCTCGCTCCTCCGACGCGGCGAGGTCTCGGTCCGGGAAGACCGGTGTAGCGTCGACAAGGCGGATGAACAGTCCATCCGTGCAGAACGGTCTTTGGCCACCATTCACGCGCACGTTGTTGCCAACAGAGTCGTAGAACGGCACCGTGAAAAACTGTGACAGGCCTCGCGCTCCGAGAAACAACGCACTGGCCGCAAGCCCCAGAGCGGAAAGCAGTGAAAGCACTGGAAAGGTCGGCCACTGCTTGTGTGCGTGAGGGGAACCAAAAAGCACCAGATCCGACAGAGGGTTGCTTGACGTCTCCAGGGCGCGCTCCAGAAAACTCTGCGCCTTCGCAATGTGCCGACGTGCGTCTTGCTGGACTTGTTTGCCACTTGCAACATCTACCGAAAGCAGGGTGGGGGCGTCGTGGGCAAGTAGGCTGTGTGCGGCTGCCAGATGTACTGTAGCCTGCCTGAAGCAGGCGACAAAGGTCTTCGTTGGGGCCGGCAAGTACTCGGTTGTACTCTCGTCCTGTTTTCGCGAATCTGCCTGCCATTCCCACATGATGGCTTTCTTGGTAAATTGGGAGATCGTGCTGTTGCCACCACCGAAAATGGACCGCAAAAAGTCCACATCACAGGTGTGCGGGGCAGCAAAGTCCAGAAAAATCTGCGCTGAAATGCGGTCGTTGCGGGTCAGCGCCCTGCTGATGTGACTGATCAGAGTCCGGTCCTGCCTTCTTTCCTTCTCCGAGACCCACTGGTGTATTCGGCAGACCGCGCAAGAGCTTCCGGGACCGAACCCAACAGTCTGCGGCTGCGAAGAGTGTAGTTGCTGCTGAGTGCGAAATATGCATTGCGAAACAAATGTCGCCTTCGCACAAGAACTAGTACCAAGTGCATAGCAGAACGAATAATCGAATTTGTCATGCATAGGAAGAAAAAAAAACAGGTCTGTCATGCAAGAGCCGCATTTGATTTCGTACGAGTGCGATTGCGAGACTTGTTTTGCACACGATAGTACGAAGCGCGTTCCATTCGCTCGGCTTGATGCCACCAAACGGACCCCATCCGAACGCAGCCGGCTCCTTGCCCACCAGCACAGTATCGGACCACGTCTGTGCGAGCCCGTCGATGATGGAGAAGAGCTGCCATTGGCCGGCGAGAAGGAGGTCGTACAGGGTCAGAGACTTGCTGCGCCACAAGGCGGCGAAAATGACCTCCGTCACGCGCAAGTGGTAGTGCAGGTCGTGAAAATAGACGTCCAGTTCGCGAAACGAGGTCTTGCCCTGAAACCGGTGCACCCCCATTTGCAGCACCGTGCCCGATATGCATAATGCAAATATCCCTGGATCATGTCTGGAGATGATTTGTGACGCTGAACTGTGGATCATGAGGAGGACTCTTCCGAATGCAGCCAATGGCACGACAAGTTCGCAGAACGCTTTCTCAAACGCAATCCGCACTTTTCCATGACAAAAGAATCTACACTTCTTTATGAGACTTCACTGCGGTTTTTTATGACAAAAGAATCTGAGTGACTTCGTTTTGTTGGTCCCCCTGCAACACAGATTTCACAAGAATGGAAGCTCAGCATTACAAGCTCCACCTTTCCAGACCCAGATCGAGATTTGCATTTGGTACCCGAGGTAGCGGACGCCGCAAACTCACCGAGAATGCAGTGTCGTCGGTCCGACCGCTTCAGCACCTTGCCGGCAACCGACTTGTCTGCTGGTGTTGCAAAGAGCACCTGCCGCTTCCAGAGCTTCCAAAAACGTTCCTCTTCGCTGCCGATTACCAGCCCGTGCTCGCAATTTAAGGCCTTCTGGACGAGCTCTTCTCGCCAGCGGTATTGTATGCCACAGAGAAATACTACTATTACACCATCAATTTGCACTACTACACCGTCAATTTGCTAGAAATAATGAACGGAATTTCTGCTGCTCTTTCGCTGTTACTAGGATTAGATCAGATATTTTGAGGTGTTCAGCATGACAAAGTTTTATATTATTTTGGTCCTTCGTAATCGTAAAAATCGATGAAGCCCGTTTGTTGCAAACAGCATTTTCCGTGACAGCAGACCGCGTCTTTGGCTATCTCCGCATCACTACAAAGGCTCTTACCGCACGACTATAGCAACACAAAGCTACAAATATGTTTTTTTTCTGGTGCAAATTCTCGTGCAAATGACTTTTCTGTAGGATATATCTGTCGCAGCAAACTGCCGCCATCGATGAGCAGGCGGCGTAGAAGTCGCTCCGACCGTACAAACGAACCAGAGCATCGTGGTCGAGGCAGCATACCGGCCACTCCAGCGTCGTCGCGTTGTTTTGCCGCTTGTGCGGATATCGACTAAAAATATGCCTGAGTGTGAGTGAAGCTTGTAATGCTAAAAGCGAATAAGAATGGTGAGCGCACTGCAATACGCAGCCAGGCATTACAAGACTTTCCGCTGCTATGTTTTGCGCCTTCCGCATGGCGTGACAAAGTGCGTTTTTGCATGATAGGTAAGAGGGCCGTCTCGGTCGTACCTAGACATCACAGATTGTCGATTCATATCAGACATGCATGGCGAATGCAACAATCTTCCAGGCCCAGACACATTTGCATTCGATAGCGGAGGTACGAGGCAGGCGTCGCCCGTCGAGGCGTCGTCCTTCTTGAGCCATTTGGACAGGAAGAGGCATGATTGCTTCACTCCCCCCAGGGATCTATAATGAACGTACCGAAAATTATGGTCACCCCGCAGAGACCGTGAACTTGCGATAATGCATTTGTGGTTTCATCACTCTGCGTGAAACTTGTTTGAGTTTCGTTTTTCTTTTTGCATAAGAATATCATACAAGAAACTCCGTCCCGAAAGATGCAATCACCCCGGGCCTGTCGATGCGATAGTTTTCCAAGGCTGCTCTGGGAATTGTGGCACGGCCAATCCATGTACATCACCATGCCGGCCCAATGCCACCAGGTGGACCAAAGCAACAAATAGGACCGGCTGCGCAACAGTAGCTACGAGGACACCCGAGCGCATGGCATGGAGCGAGCAGTGCCCTGGGTGCAGCTCATGTAGAAAGCGTATTCCTGTGGCCTCAAACGAGAAAAATGAAAGGAAAAATTGTTTCTTGATGTTAGAGCTGGATTTATAAACTTATTGCAGGACAAGCTGCTCCTTTGTTTAAAATTATGAAAACCAAAATATCAGCTCACTTTTGTACGAAGATGTTTCGGAGACGAGGTAAGGAATAACATGAACAATCAATACTGTGGTCCCCCGCGAACAGCAATGCGAGAGTACAATTCCTTTGCGACATCTCAAAATAACGGGCGGGGCGATCTTTAATTGAGTTTAACACGAGCACGCAACTCCTTGTTGTACAGGCTCTTCCTTAACGGTCATATTCCTCCTGTCCGCGTTCGTCTTGCAATCAGGTAGAAACGGTGTCGTGTGCGTAATTCCCGTGAAAATTAAAATTTCTTTTGCAGATCAATAAAGCCCTAATTCGTAATACACACGATACTGATTTCCCTTCGCTGTAGTTTGTTTCCTTTTGCGATTTTTTCGCGCAATGAGTGGCTTCCTTGTGTCGAATTAGTTTACTGCGTTGCCACTTCTATGAGTTTTATGAAGCACCAAAATAATTTGTATTCTCTTGAGTCTGTTGTTAAGAAGAAAGTGCTGCTTCCTGAGAAAGAAAAAATCAGAATAGAATCTCAAGCGGAAATCCAAGACAAAATGCACATTTTCTGAAACTGGAAAAGCCGTCTTTTGGGAATCACATCGATGAGCAAATCGACGCATTTCCCTCCGTGGAAATTATTGGCTCAACACTGGTGGAGGTTCCTAAACCACCCGCAAAACACGTCTATCCCCTCGCACACATAGCGTTTTTTCGTAACTCGCATAGAACATTTTACATCGATAGGCATATCTGCGAAATTAAGTATCGAGGAATCAAGGGTTCAAATAGTTGGCGACCAAGATCTTCCCGAAATTGGGAAAAAATAGCAAAGCCGCGTGCTATGCTCTTCCTGCAATTGGGAAAAATTACAAAAACGGAAGTCCCCGGCCTCCCTCGGGGTCGGGTTAAGGTCTCCGGGCCGGGGCCCAAGCCGGGCGACCAAGATGGATCTTCCCGAAATTGGGAAAAAATAGCAAAGCCCCATGCTATGCTCTTCCCGAAATTGGGAAAAATTCCATACACAAGCTGCAGGCCCCGGCTTCGGGGTCGGGAGGTCTCGGGGCCGGGGCCCAAGCCGGGCGACCGGGATCTTCCCGAAATTGGGAAAAAATAGCAAAGCCGCACGCTATGCTCTTCCCGAAATTGGGAAAAATTACAAAAACGGAAGTCCCCGGCCTCGGCTCGGGGTCGGGAGGAAGGTCTCGGGGCCGGGGCCCAAGAAAGCCTGGCGACCAGGGTAGGTCTTCCCGAAATTGAGAAAGAATAGCAAAGCCGCGCGCTATGCTCTTCTCGAAATTGGGAAAAATTACAAAAGTTGCAGGCCCCGGCCTCGGGGTCGCGAGGAAGGTCCCGGGGCCGGGGCCCAAGCCGGGCGACCAAGATCTTCCCGAAATTGGGGAAAAATAGCAAAGCCACATGCTTTGCTCTTCCCGAAATTGGGAAAAATTACAAAAACGGAAGTCCCCGGGCCCGGCGGGCCTCGGGGTCGGGAGGAAGGTCTCGGGTCCGGGGCCCAAGCCGGGCGACCAAGATCTTCCCGAAATTGGGAAAAAATAGCAAAGCCGCACGCTATGCTCTTCCCGAAATTGGGAAAAATTACAAAAACTGAAGTCCCCGGGCCCGGCGGGCCTCGGGGTCGGGAGGAAGGTCTCGGGTCCGGGGCCCAAGCCGGGCGACCAAGATCTTCCCGAAATTGGGAAAAAATAGCAAAGCCGCACGCTATGCTCTTCCCGAAATTGGGAAAAATTACAAAAACGGAAGTCCCCGGGCCCGGCGGGCCTCGGGGTCGGGAGGAAGGTCTCGGGTCCGGGGCCCAAGCCGGGCGACCAAGATGGTCCTTCCCGAATGAAATTGGGAAAAAATAGCAAAGCCGCGTGCTATGCTCTTCCCGAAATTGCGAAAATTACAAAAGCTGCAGGCCCCGGCCTCGGGGTCGGGAGGTCTCGGGGCCGGGGCCCAAGCCGGGCGACCAAGATCTTCCCGAAATTGGGAAAAAATAGCAAAGCCGCACGCTATGCTCTTCCCGAAATTGGGAAAAATTACAAAAACGGAAGTCCCCGGGCCCGGCGGGCCTCGGGGTCGGGAGGAAGGTCTCGGGTCCGGGGCCCAAGCCGGGCGACCAAGATGGGCCTTCCCGAATGAAATTGGGAAAAAATAGCAAAGCCGCGTGCTATGCTCTTCCCGAAATTGCGAAAATTACAAAAGCTGCAGGACCCGGCCTCGGGGTCGGGAGGTCTCGGGGCCGGGGCCCAAGCCGGGCGACCAAGATCTTCCCGAAATTGGGAAAAAATAGCAAAGCCGCACGCTATGCTCTTCCCGAAATTGGGAAAAATTACAAAAACGGAAGTCCCCGGGCCCGGCGGGCCTCGGGGTCGGGAGGAAGGTCTCGGGTCCGGGGCCCAAGCCGGGCGACCAAGATGGGCCTTCCCGAATGAAATTGGGAAAAAATAGCAAAGCCGCGTGCTATGCTCTTCCCGAAATTGCGAAAATTACAAAAGCTGCAGGCCCCGGCCTCGGGGTCGGGAGGTCTCGGGGCCGGGGCCCAAGCCGGGCGACCAAGATCTTCCCGAAATTGGGAAAAAATAGCAAAGCCGCACGCTATGCTCTTCCCGAAATTGGGAAAAATTACAAAAACGGAAGTCCCCGGGCCCGGCGGGCCTCGGGGTCGGGAGGAAGGTCTCGGGTCCGGGGCCCAAGCCGGGCGACCAAGATGGGCCTTCCCGAATGAAATTGGGAAAAAATAGCAAAGCCGCGTGCTATGCTCTTCCCGAAATTGCGAAAATTACAAAAGCTGCAGGCCCCGGCCTCGGGGTCGGGAGGTCTCGGGGCCGGGGCCCAAGCCGGGCGACCAAGATCTTCCCGAAATTGGGAAAAAATAGCAAAGCCGCACGCTATGCTCTTCCCGAAATTGGGAAAAATTACAAAAACGGAAGTCCCCGGGCCCGGCGGGCCTCGGGGTCGGGAGGAAGGTCTCGGGTCCGGGGCCCAAGCCGGGCGACCAAGATGGGCCTTCCCGAATGAAATTGGGAAAAAATAGCAAAGCCGCGTGCTATGCTCTTCCCGAAATTGCGAAAATTACAAAAGCTGCAGGCCCCGGCCTCGGGGTCGGGAGGTCTCGGGGCCGGGGCCCAAGCCGGGCGACCAAGATCTTCCCGAAATTGGGAAAAAATAGCAAAGCCGCACGCTATGCTCTTCCCGAAATTGGGAAAAATTACAAAAACGGAAGTCCCCGGGCCCGGCGGGCCTCGGGGTCGGGAGGAAGGTCTCGGGTCCGGGGCCCAAGCCGGGCGACCAAGATGGGCCTTCCCGAATGAAATTGGGAAAAAATAGCAAAGCCGCGTGCTATGCTCTTCCCGAAATTGCGAAAATTACAAAAGCTGCAGGCCCCGGCCTCGGGGTCGGGAGGTCTCGGGGCCGGGGCCCAAGCCGGGCGACCAAGATCTTCCCGAAATTGGGAAAAAATAGCAAAGCCGCACGCTATGCTCTTCCCGAAATTGGGAAAAATTACAAAAACGGAAGTCCCCGGGCCCGGCGGGCCTCGGGGTCGGGAGGAAGGTCTCGGGTCCGGGGCCCAAGCCGGGCGACCAAGATGGGCCTTCCCGAATGAAATTGGGAAAAAATAGCAAAGCCGCGTGCTATGCTCTTCCCGAAATTGCGAAAATTACAAAAGCTGCAGGCCCCGGCCTCGGGGTCGGGAGGTCTCGGGGCCGGGGCCCAAGCCGGGCGACCAAGATCTTCCCGAAATTGGGAAAAAATAGCAAGACCACATGCTATGCTCTTCCCGAAATTGGGAAAAATTCTAAAAACGGAAGTCCCCGAGCCCGGCCTCGGGGTCGGGAGGAAGGTCTCGGGGCCGGGGCCCAAGCCGGGCGACCAAGATGGCTCTTCCCGAAATTGGGAACAAATAGCAAAGCCGCGTGCTATGCTCTTCCCGAAATTGGGAAAAATTACAAAAGCTGCAGTTGTTTTGAATACAGTCGTAATTTTGATACGAGCAAAAAATATTTTCTTCAAATCATGTTAAAGTGCGTGTTTTTGGAGCTGCAATTCACATGCACAAGCATTCCTTCAAAATACATCTTATCGCCGTCGCCCTTTTTCTCGACCGCCTGGTACCACAGCGACTTCATTGCGAGGAGGTTGTCGTGCTTAGATTGCGACGCCTCTGGAACTGCGACCATCGCCAGCAGTATAAACCACGACATAAAAACAATTGACTCGACCTTATGAGCAATCACTTTTGGTTCGTAAAATGCGGCTGAAGCGGTCGCGGGCGCTGGCGGACTTGTAGACGAGGCACTGGCACCATAAAGGCCTGCGACCTCCTCGAGAAAGCTCTGCGTGTACTCGCCCTTGTGCCGCGCGTTGCTGTCGTAGGGATGCAGGTGGATGTGTTGTAGACTATTCAACAAGTCCTCGTGCGTGGGGAAAAGCCGTTCGAATTCCGCATCGATTGCAGTTCCATCCGGACGAGAAATGTGGTGCCTGTGCAGAAAATCAGCAAGCTGGAGGACTTGGTCTGGGTTCACGGCAGTCGCGGCACTTGTTGACCCGAATCCCCAGGAGCGCCGCAACGCATTGATCACCATCTGTTCGTACTCGTCCCATTGGATCGCCCACCGATCAAAACGAGCTGATTCATATTTGCGCTGCTCCAGCCACAGCGTTCGTGGGTTTGCACTCCGCGGCGCGGCTTCTGCGTTTCCGCTAACTACCTGTTCAAGTTTTTGTGTGCTCTACAGAAATATCTACAAGAACTGATGCAACTCTACGGTGAATCTGAACGCAACGTCTGCAATTCTGGCACAGTTCACAGGGACCAAGCTTCCACTCGACTCGACGGGATTTGAGCAGCACAAGCACACGAGGGAACCAAAGCCTTCCAACTCGTAGAGATTGGTTGAAATAATCGCAGCGAACCTGTGCATCGGAGTCGTTCCTTTCCGGCCGCAAATGCCCGACTGGCGTTGTGTCTGCGACCCTTCCTCCTGGCTTCTTACCCCGTTTTCCGCCCATTTCTACGCGCAGATCCGTACGAAACCGGTCCTCCCGTGCTCGTTCCGCATCTTGCAGTTCTCTATGCGACACATGACACTTTCGGACGATTTGTCCGGCCATCCGCTTGTGAACGGTGTTGACAATCCTGACCCTCGCCTCCCTGTCACACTTTTCATCTAGCTCTTGCGCCAAAGCTGCGCGGGAACCTGTTTTTTGTATTTTGCGTTTTATGCCAATGCCATGAGAAGGCGGTGGGAACCAAAACCCATGAACTACACGCGTATACCATGATACCTCCGATGCACTACAGCCTGAGGCTCTGTCAGTAGAAAGCGTGCGGTAGCTGCAAGCAGAAAAACGAAAATCATTTTTATTTTTGTATAAGTACGATCTCCCCTTTCCCATTTTGCTGCTTTCTTGGCTGTCCTCGGCGCAGATCCCAGCTCGCGACGCGCGGATCGGCTTGATTTTGGAATCTCTTGGTTTGTAGCATGCCGCGGTGTCGTTTGCGCTGCAGTCTTGGTCTTGCCAGTCCAAGTGATCTCTGCACCATCTTTACCTACGAATTTAAATGTTTTACTCTGTCCGTAGGAAAAGGTGAAGAAAGCGAAAATATCTGCAACCACATATAATATCCATTGCATGACACGGTCACGGACAGATTCCAATGACGCCTGCTAGCATAATCAAACAGCCCCGCTATCCAAAACACTTAAGTAGAACACCTCCTGGTTCCTGTGCCGGTGCTGCAATGATCCGCTTCTTCGTAGGGGGGCCAGCGGCAATTTCTTCTTCCTGACCGGTATCCAATTCCGCCTCGTGTTCCATCATGCCAAAGCCGCTTGCTGAGGACGCAGAACTTGCGCTGGCCGATGAGCGCGCCGGGGTTCTCTCCTTGCCTGCATTCTGTTCCGTTGCGCCACCCGCTGCTTCGAAAGTGGTCGTCGCTTGCGTGGTGGACATTAGGGAATCTGAACATTAATTTGACGAGGACTTATCACGCAAACATTCTGCTCCAAGTAAGGCTACTCAACGACATTCACATGCAACACAATGGAAACAATAACAAACAGAAGCACGAAGACGAACGTGCCCGAAGCGACAATTATACAAACCAACAAAACTACCGCTCCGACTGCCTTGTGACTTTGGCAAAAAGTCTATACCGAGCTCCTCCGCGGTCAATGGCCGGAACTCGCGAAACGGCTCGGAGTTGTCTTCCTCCATTCGCTGCTTCTCCTCCTTTGTAAAATAGCGGAACCGAAGGGTCGTGCCGTTGCCGATTTGCAGCTCCATGCACTCTATGCATTGCAAATATCTTTTTGTTTGGGTCTGGAAGGATGCAGATGTTAATTTTTGTCATGTTGTTATTCTTATTTTTCCATTTCGATTTCCACGAGCACGACTCAGAAGGTCTGGCATGCAAGGTCTAGCACTAATGTTTTTGTTGAGAAGGCGCGCCGTAGATGCCTAATCCGCCTATCAGATTGCCTACCTATATTTCCAGTGACAAAAGCGAGCAGCGTTCGCTGTCTATGCATGAGAGGTTTTGGTGTTCTGTGAAGTGCGCATTACAAGTTCCACCTCTCCAGCAGAGGATCCAGATATATTTGCAGTGGGTACAGTCCAGCTCGCAAAGAGCTGGGTCGACTAGAATTTCTTCGACCTCCGACAAGAGGGCGGGTGGGAGCGCCGAGACTGCCTCCAGCAGGTCGCTGAGATCCCCCGCGGTCAGCTCCGTCCCTGGCACGAAGCGCACCAGCGAGCTATTCCACGCGTAAGACCCGAGCGCTTGGGCTGTGAGATTTTGCACCAAATCTATCAGAATCAGTCAGATTTTTCGCATTACATATTCATCAAGTGAGCAGAGCACACGCAAATACAAATGTACCTGGTATGCCATACAAGGTACAAGCTGCTTCTCGTGGTGGAGCACATGACGCATTAAATAAACATGACCAACTAGTCCACCGACACGCCTAGTAAATTGACACTGGCTGAGAATATACGAAGATGAAGTATTCTAATTCTTGGTAAATTTGATGTCAGATAGAAAGTTGCAAAAGGCACCTTAGGATGTCATTGGGCTACTAACTTAATCTCAAAGTTCATGCAAAAAAAGTGAAACACCCGTCTTTCGATTTGGTTGTGTCCACAGATGACACGCCCGCTGAAGAGAAAGAGAACGGTTACTTATCATCTGTACCGTATGGCAACGCCGCTGAGACCTTTTTCGCGTTCAGAAACTTTTTGTCGTCGCCGTCAGTCCTGTCCCGGACGACAATGCCAATGCTGTCGTGCGGACGGATTTTCTCCTGCTTGATCGTGTCTTTGCCAGCATCTGAATCCGTAGTCTTCGCTGGGGCCCCCGTCCCAAAAACAAAATGTTTCGAGATCCGACGCATAAGACCTGTTTCCGTCAATCAAGAATCGCAAGAACAAGAAATTTCTGTACTAGAGAGATTGCTCCCCTGAAATGACCTGCTACTTAATCCTTTCTTGAAATGTTTGGTGTACAAATGCATCGCTATCAAGCAAGCAAAACGTGTGTTGAAACAGATAATCATTTATACAGAAAAATTCCTTGTGCAGCCGTGCATCTGTCGACGTCACTCCAAGATCCAAGCGTAATTTCCAAACACGGTCACCGTGGTTGATTATGAAGGGCACTTTCTTGTCGAGTCCCGCGCGGACGAGAGACTGTGTGGACTCGACAGAGGATTTTGTGATGGTAGCCTCGCTGATGCTTCTGGGACCCGAACCTGGTTTATGCGGTTTTTCCTGGTTTATTGACAACGCAAAACAAGATCTCTGAAGAGGTTTTTTCTGCGGGCGACGGGACGTCACAAAAGAAGTCCTGCATGCTGCCATTAGCATCGTCCTAATCATACTACTTTGTGCCAGCGCTGAAACAGTATTCAAATGCGTACTTATCACAGTTAATAAGTACCAGCATCTTTCGGCCCCGGGGCCGCGGAGTTGGCGACTTGGTCATCAGCCCCGCCACGGCTCGGCATCGACAGCGCAGATCCACCGGCGTCGTGACCACAAGATCGTCCAACGAAAAACTGTCGCTCAAGCGGGTCTCCAACCTGAATAGTCGTTTTTTTCAGTCGTAGAGGTCTAGTTAGGAGAGAATGCAACTTGAAAATACTGAAAGAAACCGTCGGAAGGATGAGTAATTTTCGAGAGAGCCACTAGCAATACCGCGAGCAGTTCGACGATGAGGGTCCGGTAAAACGACTGGAAGCTGCTTTCGCTGAACACCACGTACGAGTTGTATTTTCTTATGAAGAAGTAAAAATATCATGTCCAGGTCCGGTTCTTTTGAAATCACGACTACTTGATGCTCCGTATTAGACGAGCTTCCCTGTGAAGATCATGAAAAATCTAGTCTACCACCATCCAGCAAAGAAACACAAGGAAGGCGGTTGTAACACTAGATTTAATTTTTTGCAAGAAGGAGTATCAACAAACATGCATGCCCAGCGTCTTCTACACACGACTGGCGCCACGATGTCTGTATTAGATTAGAGGATGCAACCCTTCAGTGGATCAAGAGCAGTGACTGCAGGCCTGGCATCTTCACCCCGGGCCCGGTAATGAGTATTTACCGAGGGCACTTTGAATGTTACTCAAAGAGCTGTGAATCGCGCCGTCCACCTGCTCCTTGTAGATCGTGTCAATGCCGTCACCCGCCAAGTCCAGAAAATTCTGTGCCCAGTGCGTCCAGGTGTTGTAAGTGTTGACCTCGTCCGTGGCTCGCTGCAGCGCGAGGTCGTCGAAGAGCGGCTGCAGGCGGTGAGCGGCAATCTTGCCAACCGGGGTTGACTGCGTTCGCGTGATGGTCACGGACCGTTGCAACCGTTCCTGCAGACGCGGTTGCAGTGTTCCACAAAAGTCCAGGCCGTACGGCAGGATTGTCTATCAACTGCAAATATGTCTTGGTCTGGAAGGAAAGTGCCCTTGTTTGTCATGCATCTTTTGGACCACGGTCACGTAAATGGTCTCTCAGGTAGATGCAAGCATCAAAAGCATTACAAGGTTTTTGCAGGACTCTAGATGCCTCTCCTTGAGCTGGGCGCCTCAGATGAAAAAAGTCATCTGATTTTCTCTCAATTTTTTGAGATTTTTTTTTTTTGAAAAATTTTGGAAAAAAACGGTCTACTTTGCATTGGAAACAAAGTTGCTATTCACGTCGTTAGGTGCATTTCTATAGCGGTTTCGCCTTCTCATCTCATTTTTTTGGTCGAAACTGCATGGTATGCTGCATCGATGCTATTCCGCATGGTATGGTGGTCATTCGACTTGTCGATCCTCCACCATACCATGCGGAATAGCGATCTAGCTGCTTCCGTCAGTTCCTTTTGGCCGTCGATAGCGTCGGGTTCGAAACCCGACGCTATACTGCTATCGCGACACACGACGCGACTGTCGTCGTATCGCTCGAAGCAGTATACCATGCGGAAACGCATCCTCAAAGTTGTCGACAAAGTACACAGCCCGTGTTGGGCTGTGATAGGGTCTCCGCGGTCGATGACCGATGCAGTCCGCTCGGCCGTTTGGCCGAGCGGTTAAGGGGCCGAGTTGTTTGTCTCAGTCCCTTTTCACCCTTCGCGAGGTCGGGTTCGAAACCCGGCACTATACTTCTATCGCGACAGACGACTTGGCTGTCGTCGTGTCGCTCAAAGCAGTTTATCATGCGGAAACGCATGATCAAAAATGTCGACAACGTACACAGCCCGTATTGGGCTGTGATAGGGTCTCCGAGGTCGATGACCGATGCAGTCCGCTCGGCCGTTTGGCCGAGCGGGTAAGGGGCCGAGTTGTTTGTCTCAGTCCCTTTTCACCCTTTTTGCGATCGCCGGTTCGATTCTCGGCGACAAGTTTTTTTTCCGCGATGCGATCAGTACTATTTTCGTAGCATAGCGCCCAGGTTTGGATTCTTGTGTGTCGATGAGTAATCACGACACACAACAATCCATACGCGGATGTGCGGCGCAAATAAAATAGTACTGATCAACGTGCAGCTGTTACTCGATTATTTGGCTGCGAACTTTCGCAGCCAAATAATACCGTCGACCCTCGTGTATTCGGTTTTGAGATACAGCTGCACACAGCGGAGGACTTTTACAGAGCTGCTACTTCGAAGGCTGAAGAGAAAAACGAAAAGTCTTTTGTCGATGATCATCGTGCTATGCATTTCGAAATGCATAGCACGACGATCATGTAGTACGGCAAAAGAGCTTATCGATTTTCCTTTCTAACTGTAGCGGGCTTGTGTATAGTCGGCTATTTTGTAAAAAAGGGAAACGAAACTGCACCTGTTCGCGTTCGCGTGAATAGCAACAAGAACTTTCCTCTGCAGAATAGAACCGGGCAAGCAGTCGGCGCGGGTAGAAGAGGCAGCGGTAGGAAAGTGGTAGCGCGACCGGGCGGTGGGAGATACACACAAAACAAAAGCGCTCGCAGTGTCGCTGCGAGTAACATCTTGCGCCGAGAAGCGGCTGCGAACTGCAACTACATCTGCAATAATTGCAGGCAGTGTTCGGTAATTTTTTTGTCATGCAAGAAGCGACGTTTTTTTCGAAATACCAAACGAGCTGCTTTTTTGTGTGAGAAGAGAAGGCTGAGAGATTTTTTGGCTGCGCTATCAGGAGGGAAGGGCTGCGGAAGAGTGCCAGCACGAGAACGGGGAAACGCAAGTATTTTTTTTTGGAAATACAAAATGCATATTCTATTCTCCTACTAGCAGGCAGGTTTTTTTTTTAAACTAAGCAATACCCACATACCTAAGATAAAATAATTAATTTGCTAGCACGCAATCCCATCTAAGTAAAGCTATATAATAACAACTGCATCCGCATCTACTGGCGCGGTCCTGTTCTTCCGCCGTCGTTTGTGTTTCCGCACCAGTTTTTCGGCGTAACAACACGGAGTAGGAAAATGGTGAAGAAGAACCAGGCGCCGAAGACAAAAAAGCAAGAAGAAGATGCGGCGGCGAAACAGAACGAAAAACAGGAGGAGCACGCGGCCTTTTTCAACTCGCAGTCGTACCTCGCTCCGAGGAAGTTGTGGAAACTAGCCGCACTGCTGGTCGAGACGTGTTTCGAGTTCAGCCAGACCTACTTCAACGACAGCAGCAGGCTTTCCCTCGTACATTATCGAGTCGAAATAGATGGCACTACGTGCCAAAACATGCTATTCGAGAATAGCACTCGCGGAAAAATAAAAGTGTTTGCCCACGTCATGATCAGCATGGTGGCAATAACTTTTTGCTGTGGCAACATCGACAAAATGGGCTCCGTCTTCCTGCCATCACATACTGTGATGTACCCATCGAGCTACGATTTTGGACCACGACAACAAAACCAAAAATCAGCATTCCGGGGGTACAGTGAAGCTTTTGAGGTGGCAGACCAGTTATGGACGTATCACTCGCCGGAAGTTTTTTTCAGTAACTGGTCGCAGAACACCATCAAAGTATGGTCGCCGGTTACGGACTCCGGCGGTAGTACAATCCCGACATTGTTTTATGTCGGGGGCCTGTTCATGGCGTCCAAGTACTTGTCCGACGTTGTACTTTGGACGCAACGCTGTAAAGTCCATCAAACCGCCCTTGTTACGAAGCAGGTTGCGGAGCTATACCTGGGGATGATGAACCTCGACCCGGTTGGTTGGCAAAAAAGGCTTTGGTTACAGGTATAGCCACGCAGTATTTGCTTCGTTTCTGCATGACAAATTTTATGACGTTCCGCATGACAAATGAAATAATATGCGCATCAACATTGTTTTCTATATTTATCATCCAGGTTCACAGCATCAAGCTGCTGCAGGAGAAGATCCACAACGGCCTCGACCAGGTGGAGCAATGGCTCGCTCCGTGGGACAAAGGAGAGAAACCACCCAAAGACGAGAAGCTGTGTGCTTTCTTGGACCGCCTACCGATGGACACGAAAAAAAAAGACTTCTTCCGGGACTGCAGTGTGCGGCAGAAGTTGCTCGTCATCCCGCGAAACAGCAAGCATCAATGCATGCGAGCGCTGCATTGTCTGTACCGCGGCTTCAAATGTCCGGTCTGGACACGATGGCTGACGGTGATGTCGTGTCTGACGCAGCTCTCCCTGGCGACCGCGTTCTTCCTAGGAAGAATTTTTACGGGACTGGGCGAAAGAATTTCTTTCGGCCAAGAGAAAATCTTGGAGCATGGTTTTACGGTGGACATGCGCAACAAGACAGGTGCTACAAATACATAATATTGCCATGCATCGACGGTTCCACAAAGTGCATGGTAGAAAAGCATGCAAATGCACATTTTTTCTCATGCAAAAATCATGCATTTTTGCCAATCCAGCATGACAAACTTACATCTTCAACTCATAACAAAATCAGGAACGCAATTCCTCTTCCTGGTGACGAGTTGGCTTTTGCTTCACTTGATACGCCCCATCGAGCGTTATAATGGTAGCATGCTGCGGAGCAATGTTCGGGAAAAAGGGCGGGCGGCATTGAAGCAAACCTTTCGGGAGGATCTCGTCAGCACGTACAACTACTTCAGCGACAAACAGGCAGTGCTGGATGATCTGGCGTTTTTGATGTGCGGCATCGGGATCGGAAGTGTGACGTTTTCGGATGCGCAACTTGAACTGGTATAGAATAAAACAACCTTTCCATTTTGTCATGCACATTTTCCAGCATGACACGAGGACTGTTGAAATGCATATTTAGAATTAAAATGCAAAACAGATAGAGCTGGCGCGGATAAATGCACAACACGTCCTCATCATCTCCCGCTGTATTCTTCTCTATCGCGACGGGCAGTGCGATCTGCATGAGACATGGTTGGGGAACGCGCGGGTCGACCTGAAGAAGGCCATGGAGCAGTTGGACAAGTGCAAGCTCGACGTGTACACGCAAGGGGATCCCGGGTCGATATCGCTTCATTCTGTACAGCGGTATATGCGGAATCTGCCGCAGAACATCCGCGAAGCGAAGATGAAATCCCTCACCGAATACCTCGAAGTTGCCAACCGCAGCACCAAAAACTGCGAAAAACGGGGTGGACGTTACAAGTGGCATACGAAGCGGCGCAAGACTGGAACCAAGAGTATCCCCGGAGTTATGAAGTGAAAATGTGTAGCATAGCTTTCTTGCATTACAGGTTTTTTTCTGAAAAGGCGCCACATACTACATAAGGCATGACGAATCTGTGCAACGACATGATGAGAACGCAACTTTTTGCATGCAAATTGCAGTGCTTTTTCAGTTTTGATTTTTACTTGCAGGAGGCTATGTTACATATTTTCAACGCATACGACCGGACGCGCAGCTAAACAGAAAGGACTGGCAAAACATGGCTTCGGTGGTGGAAGAGGAATACCGGCCGTACTTGCTACCGGATCAAGAAGACGACGATACCGGCGAACCCGCAGCGAAACGGCACTACGCCTGCACACGACCGATAGATGCGAAACGGGAAGACCAGTGGGAGGACGGTGAAGAAGACGTGAAGATGACAGCGGCGGACGTGCTAGAAAAGTGTCACAAATTGAATTCCTGGAAGGACGACGACGAAAAAGCGAAATACACCATCATCGCAGCGGAAATGGATAAGAAGAAGGAGCTACTAGCGGCGGAGCTGAAGTATGAGGATGCCGAAGAAAGCGAAGAAGAGGAGGAAGAAGTCCGGGAATTTGCTGTCGTGAACCGCGAGAAACTGTACTACGAAGGGGCGCAGGAACGAGTGCTGCAAAAGTACTTGACAAAAGACGGCGACTATCGAAAACTTGCACCCGCTATGTGCAACAGAACCAACCAGCTGATTACAGTGGAAAAGCCGCCGGAGGTGACGGTGCGGGCGAAAGTTAAACCGGCTTCTGCTGTGCTGATATCGCGTTTCATCCGGGCGAAGCGCGGTAAGCTGAAATCGCTGCGACAAGAGAAGAAGGCTGCTGGAATCGAACCCGGTGATCTAGCTCACCTGAACCTCGCCGAGCCGGATGATGATGCTATCGAAACGCAACAATCTTATCCTGCGAAGAAACAGAAAGCTTCGCATGCTTGCATACAAAAACTTTGGCCTTCTTCGCAGGATAAGATTGTTGCGATCGATAGTCGACGACGAACTGCTGGTAGAAGACGCAGACGAAGTTGGGGAAGACGACAACATCGCGATGCCGGTACTGCAGGGGGTGCACGACGTGTCGTCGTTATTGTCGCCATTCTTCATAACGCAGTACAAGCACCGTCCGTCGGGGGAAATGCACACGTTCCTCATTTCAGACGTGGTGCTGTCTCCATCATCGTTCAAAGCGGTGCAATTAGCACTGCAGAAAGATCCGGGAAAGGAGTGGTGGCAGTGCAGGATGCGAATGACCTGGATAAACTTGTACTCCGACGACCGCGGCACCGAATACGACCTGGATACGATGTATGCAACCAAAACATTGAAGCTACATGACAAGCATCACAAATGTTGACTGTTGCATTACAAAATTTGATTTCTTGTGCGCAAAACCTTTACATATTTCATGCAAATATCTAATGCATAGTAGTAATGCTTGGCTTGCAGCTTCAATGCTTTTCACGGGATACACTCGGGCCGATGTACACGATGAAAGTCGACGTAAAGGACGGCAGAAGCAAAGCGTGCTTGTTCTGTGGAGAACGGATCAACCTGTCGTACCGGCAGCAGCGGACCAAGGCGGGAAAGGAGGAGGACAAGGTGCTCAGGGAAGGGTGGGCCTCCGCTAGCAATAGCGAGAAAGCCCAAATGCAGGACAACTTGGAGAAGTTTCTGCAGCCTACGATGCTGGCTTTGACCGCGCCGAAATCGACCGACAAGATCTGGGTTCTGGACGACAACAAGATGGTAGCAATGCCACTACAGTCGGATGACGTCCATGCGGAAACGTGGCGAAAGACGAACAAGATCGTCGTGGAGGAACCGCAAACGCAGGCTTCAACGCAGGTGGAAACGCAGGGCATGACTGCCCTTTCTGCGACGGCGAAGATGCACCTCTCGAGCAAGGAATACGCACTGCATCAGCTGGAGCGACAGAAGGTTGCTAATCGTCTCTTCGCAACGAGAGTCGAAGGGTGGAAATGCATCGAAGCGTCGACGGTGTTTGACCGCAAGAGAACCGGAAGAGATGCTGTCCGACTGAGCATGAAGTGCGTGGACACCAAGCTGGCGAACAACATGAAAAAGCTCCTCGTCCACCCCTACCTGGACATGAAGTGCCAGTCGACGAAGAGGCCCATGAGGAGCATGGTGATTGGCGAGAAAGAGGGACCCCTTTGGGTCGAGTGCCTCCAAAACGGGTGGGCCGTGATGTGCCGTATCATCTGCGAAAAAGCCAGCTCCAACAGCAAGTACGAACCGCAGTCCACCGAAGATGATTTGGAGGATTTGAAGTCCCAGTACGCCGCCTACACCTCGGAGATCCGTGCTTTTGCCGCCGAACGTGCTGGAAAGGACGCTACCAGGCAGAAGGAGTTCGACGCTCTGATGCACATTTCTGACCAGACCTACAAGTACCTCTCGCCCGGAAAGTCGACTACGTCGTGGTTGGATTTCCAGAAGATCGACGCAGAATACCTGGAAATCGCCGAAGTCCTTGTGGAGAAGCAGAGGATCAAGGCCAAGACCAAAAAGCAGCCAAAGATGGCTGCTGCAGGTGCGGGTAAACAGCATGATGTGCTCGCAGAATCGGCGTCCCAAGTGCCGGCCCAGTGAAGGTGGTCGGGCACCTCAAGTTGTAGTTGAGCACACTTATATTCTGCACAGTTTCAGGTTCAAAAAGCATTGATTTATTGCACAATTCATCTCTCAAAGGAAATCTCAACTATTCCTCACAAAAAGTGGTCATTTTTTGAGCTCAAAAGTGATCACTTTTGAGCACAAAAAAAAGTCTCTCGCTTTTCCTCCTCGAAGTCACCTTTTGCATCTGCATAGTCAAAAAAAAAGTCTAGAAAAAGGACTCACGTCCTACTTATATTCTCCATTATCGCGAGACTTTTTCGAGTTCACCTTCTAGAAAATCAGGAGACTTTTTTTTCGAGGTCAAATTTGCAAAACGTCTCATTTTTCGAGTTCACTTTTGAGCAGAAAAAGTGATCACTTTTTGTGAGGAAAAGTCGTCACTTTTAAAGGATATCAGAAAATGTAGCCTTAAGTAGACAAGAAAACGTCAATTTGTAATGCGTAGAAGGTGTCAAAAAGAGCACTACTAGAACAAGAAAAGCTTAGTAAAGTAGTATATAGTAACTTCACGGCTGGTCATCGAACTTTGGCCCACCACGACTACTTCACCCTCGCGGTCATGCGGCAACGGAGATGGTCACCATGGACGAACGGATACCTGCGAGCCCTAGATCACCACCATGACGCGTTGACCATCTGCACCATGACCTTCGCCTTCTTGTCCGAGTTACCGATGGCCAGCCGTGTAGAATAGTGGTGTACCTGACAGTAGTTTCATTGCAAGTAGTAGAATATAGTGCACAAATTGAATATTACATAGGAACAGCTGTAGACTTTAGCATCGCGCAAAAGACCTATATATAAGCCAGAAGCGTTGACAACTTTGCACAATCTTAACTGCGTAGAACGACCTTACTTCGTGTGAAAGTACATAACTTGTAATACAAACAGTGTACCTGTAGATGGACGTAGTGCGTGACAGTAAAACCACACAGTAGTAGCATCATGCATACACATAGGGACATAGCGCAACTCTTCATGGGAAGTTGAAGCAGCATAGTACTGCTGCTTTGTGATACACAGCATGACAAATTAGTAGACTTCGAAGTGCATGTCATAAATTGAGTACGCTGGATTGACATACAAGAAGCATGACAGACTGCACATGCAAGTAGTGGAACATACATAAAAAAAGAAGGCACTTCTCGAGTTGATATAGCACAGCATGCAAGTATGTCATAGAGGTAGAATTGCGCGCACAATACAGAAGTAAAGCAAGGTTTTTTTTTGTGTGAGTTCGGCGTCGATGATGGCGTTGTCGTGTCGTAAGCTTCAGCACACATAGTACTTGGTAAAAACGTGCTGACATCATCAAATAAGTCGGCTCTTTGTTTTGTTTTTTTTTGTGAGAGATGAAGCAGTGCATTGTAGTGCCTAGAATGAGATGATTGTTGTTGTTGTAGTTCAAGTTATGGGATAGATCTGAGATCTCACTTTGACAGTGGTAATTGTGAAGAAAAAAAGGTGGTTGCTTTGATGATCTTGATGTTGTTTGGATACTTTCACTTTACAATTTTGAATTTCTGACGCGCGCCATCTAATACTTGCTTTTCATCATCTTCATCAACACAAAACCCGTAGCCAACTACTTCTTGAGTTCTTCCTTTGTGGAGAGTTCTTCCTTTGAAAAAAAAAGCGTGTCAAGATGGCAAACAGATTGGCCCGTCACCCCACTGGAGAGGTCGCCCAGGAGTTTCTGCAGAACGCAGCTCTGCCGGTACACATTTTTGAACTTGTCATGCATAGAATGCCTTTATCATGGATGGGCAGACGCTTGCTGATGTGAAAAAGACATACTGTAAATTCAAAAAAATTACCACTACAGCAAGACGCGAATCATGTCGCTGCCATGGGTGCCCTCTGGCGTCAGGAAGGTCGCATGCGGACCCGTCTGATATGGTAGCAATATCTAGCTCAGCACCTTACACTACTGCTTTGTCATGCTAACTATGATGCAAATTGGTCTCGACCAACTGTGCGACTACGTGCTTAATGCATGTGAAATAGCATATCTGATCATATGAGTTTGTCATGCGCTTTTGCATTTTTGAAGTAGCCAGGCATGCATGACGCGGCTGAGGTGCTGAGCTAGAGTTGCAACTTGCATAATTTTTGAGTCGCGTCCAGTACCTTTCCACCCTGACTGACGCCCAGATCGGTAACCTCGAACTGGCCCACGAAGCCGTCATCGCCAGGTCCATGGCCGCGTTGCCCTCGGCGGTGCGTCAGATCGTGCTCTTCACGCGCACCGACATCATCGCCCGCGAAGCGGCCCGTTTGGGAAGGGCCGATTTCAATCATACTACGCTCGAACAAGAACGTCGTGTGGCAGTACTACATCAATTTTGGAACTTGTGCATCACAAACTTGACCGACATGACAATCGCATGATGCTTTTGTGAAATATGGATTTCTGCATGACAAAACTGCCATTTGAAGTGGAAATCATGGTCAAGAACCACGACTCAGGTCCATCTCCAGGGGAGATTTGCCTCCCTGACCGATGAGGCCAACGGGTTACGTGCTCTCGGCGTGTGCGATCGTCTGTGCGGTTTAATGCGCCACCCAGAAGCCCGTGATGAAGTGGAGCGCGCGGGAATCATCGCTTTGTTTCAGGGTGGTGCCTTCCAGCGGACCGCGGCCCGCCAGCCCCGGACCTTGGTCCAGTTTCGCGACTGGTATATTTGTGTGTTTTTGTTGATAAAGTGATGCTGTTCACATCGTAATCTTACGTCGGTCCATTGAAATCATGCTTCAGTGCCACAGAAAAACGCAACTGTAATTTCATGAGATACATCATTCTGACAATAAAAAACAGGGCGTACGCGCAGGCCCGCGCGTTCGTGTCCGGCAACAACAACATGCCCGAGATCCGCGAGAACATGATGATGATCAGCAATGCGATCGAGCTGCAGCAGGTGTCTTTGCTGGAAGACGCCATCACCACCCAATTGCTGCAGGGTGCCCCCGTCAACGGCGGACAGACGCTCCAGGAGTTGTTCTGGGAGAAGGCGATGGACGTATATAGTGTTGTGCCTTTTGCAAAATGAGCGCGATTCATCGGTTGAGTCGTGTATTGCGTAGTCGGAAACTGACGAAGCAAAGTTTTTAGCTTCTATGCATGACAGAACTACTGTGTAGCGCAGATGACGAACAAAGCATCCAATATTGATAAGAAACATATCCTGAAACGATGAGCACGCATGTTGCATTTCATACTGCAAATCCACATCAGATGCTCCGCGCTGCCGCCGTGGCCGAACTGTTGGTCCAGGTGGAGATTCAGCTCGGCACCTTCTTGCGCACCGGTAACGCCCAGTTCACCGTGTACGACGATGCAAAGATAAAACCTTGGCTCAAAGCACTGTTTTCTCTTTCAGATTTTACTCTGCATGCTATGCTCATGAGTTCGCGTGGTTGGGACTTGAAAAAAAGAAAGTGCTGCACTGTAAAAGTACCAAGAGAACAGGACGTCAAAATACAGTGGAGGAAATGCAAGAAGAAGTGATAAAAAAGTCGAAGAATGCACCCGTCGTGCACCTTTTGAAAGGAAAACAGTGTGTTGCTCCAAGGTTTTTTTCATAGCATAGCAAGGCTGACTTGACCCGCGCGCTCGACACTTCGCGTTGTGCTGAGGAGATGGCGATGAAAGCGATCAAGCGCGCGCAGGGAGAGGTGCCCCCCCAGCCGGAGATCCATGATTTGGTACTACTTTTTCATGCTGCTTGAGTTGAGAGCTATCACGAGCCGAGAGAGCGAACTTTATTGGTTGATAGAAAAACGAATCTTCCTGCATAACAAGTTTGATACTGAAGTGCCAGCTTTATTGTCGTATAGTTTCGTCTGTAATTTCTACAATGCAAATCTCCAGGGCTTGATGCGTCAGATGGTCAACACTATCCGCCAGTGGATGAACCTGCCCCAGCCGCACCCGGTCATCACCACTTTGATCGGTTTGAACGACGCCTACACCAACACGACCTCGTTGTACTACACCAAATTGCCCGGCAACTTCACGCAGCAGTACAATGGTGCCTTGCGCCGCTACTTGTTGACCATGGACCAGACCCGCGTGGAGGGGCAACTGCGGGACCTCGACAACCGCATCCTGGCCATTGGCACCGCTTTTGACTTCTTGCATGACTGGGACAACCGCGGATCGCAGCAGGAGATGATCGACTTGCACGCCTTCTTGGGTGGAATCCGCTTTCCCGCCCGCAACCGCTGGCGTTCCCTGCACGAGATCATGCGCGAGATGTGCAACTGCTACACCGGTGGTGCGCACCAGGAGCATGCCGACCGCGCCAACACCATGTTAGCGATGAAGGAGGATTTGGAAGCGCGCCTGTTCACCGAGTACCCGTCCAACCAGGAGAAGTTGAGTGAGACGATTGAGAAGTTCGTCCGCCGCATGCAGGAGTTGGAGGAGGGTCCGTTGCGGATCGCTTTGGCGAACGGTATACGCACAGAAAATTTCTTGGTTGTAAGCAATTAGAAGAACGACCTACTGCATGCAAGACAGATTGGTTTATGCAAAGCAAAAATGAGCATAATACTATGCGAAACTGCATCTACAACATCAAGCCAAAAATAATATCAGGATCGTACCAGGAGTCCGACCAGGCTTACAACAGTATGACGGTGCCATTCAGTTTTCTCTTTCCCGCCCAGAAGCAATTGCTCTGGCGTGAGATCACCCGCCAGATCCCGAACGGTGCCGACCCGGCCGGTGCGAACGCCAATCAGCCCGCGCCCCAGAGACGCAGAATCAACCTCCAGTTGCACGTGCCGGGTGGTGCGCAGGCCAACGAGAACGCCCCCATTGCCAACAACGCGGTCGCGGGCGGATCCGATGATGAGGATGAGTAGTTGGACGGATAATTTTGGCCGTGAAAGTTGTTTGCAATAGTCGCACTTTACATACCAATATTTGCTGCTTCATCACCGTCGGTTTGATCGACCAGAGGATACTACTCAAGCAACTTTTACTAGGTTTTGATTGATTTATTGTTTCGTACTTTTTATACTTCGAAAATGCACAGTTTCATCTTGCCACAAGTACATAATAGTAAAAGTATGGACCAGTAAGTCAGTCAGTGAATCAATTTGTCGGGGACTTAATGATATTTGTAGGCTTCAATGTTTTCGTAAAGAACTCACTGTTCCTACTGGCAGGAGGCCCATATCCAACAGTCTCACACGTGGAGGAGGGAATAATAAATAAAGCTCAACACGTAAATAGGAGCGGGAACAGAGTTGTTAATCAAAAATAATATGTAAAATTTTTCTGTATAATATATCAAAAACAACTCTGTTATGGTGGATGTGTGAGATGTTGGCGCAAATGTAAAATTCCTCCTTTGTAGAAATGTTCTACTTGAGTTCAAGCAGAACCATCTACAGAAGGAGGGGGGAAATTAAAGTTTAGTTATAGAGTCGACGTCCAGCTAGTTGCTGCTTTTTTCCATCTTTTCTACATAATGTTCTACTTGTTGCCCATGACAAACTTTGATGAAACACGATGCAAGACATGAATGCACAAGTCGGTGAGAACGTTGTCGGTGTAGATCACAGCATACAAATGAAAAGTCGGTGATGAACCAGAAGCGCATGTGTAATATCGGTGCGACTATACAGAGTAAAGAAAAGCGCGATCGGTGTGACAGTTGCATGCGTGCAGTGCTTTATGCAAGCCGCCTCCCCGGGCGGGATAGAAATTCGGGAGGCTGTAGTGTTTACTATAGAAAAAGATAGTCGTGCCTTAGCATACGCTGTAAAATAGCCTGCTACTACATCACGCCAACAATAGAATGTAGTTTGAACTTTGTGCTGACGAGCACACCGGATCGGGCCGTCGGGCTGCACCGCGAATTCAGTGCCGACGGGGCTGCGATGTGGAGATGCGACTGTGGATTTTGCGAATGTGGACGCCGCGACCGCAGCGTTGGAATTTTTTGAACCCCCATCGGTTCCCATCGCCGCGTGAGCGGAGATTTGCGGTGGAGCGAGCGAATGTGGATCTGCGATGTGGAGCTGTGGAGCGGCGATGTGGATCGGCGTTGGCGAGCTGCGATGTGGAGCCGCGCGGTGGACCTGCGATGTGGATTTCGCGACGACAACCTTCGCTTCCCTTGAACCTTTGGTGGTTCTCGTGGCGGCGTAGACGGATTTGCGGCGGCAGGAGTGGATGCGGAGCTGCGATGTGGACTTACCGGCGGTGGCAGCGAGATGTGGAAAGCGGAATTGCGGCGTTGAGCCCGACTGCTCCGCCTGCGAACGGCGATGTGGATCCGCGATGCGACGACGCGATGCGGAGTTGGCTGCTACGGAGCCACGAGCGGAGGCTGGAGTGCGGATTTGGAACGACGGAGGAACTTCCGTCCGCCTTCGCAAACTTTGAACCTCAGGTGGTTCCTATCGCAGCGTGGACGAGCTGTGGTGGCGGCGTGGAGCGAATGCGGATTTGCGAATACGCCAACCTTCGTTGTGGCGCGGACGACTGGAAAGTGGACGTCGAGATGCGGACGAAACAGCGGTGGTGCTGTTGGATCTGCTGCTTGCTGCCGACGGATGGAAGTGGATTTTTCCTCCCTTCTACGGAAGGTTGAGCTTTTTTTCCCCGCATCGACCCGCTCTACATCATGAATCACAATCGGGTTTTGCGGGTTCCGAAGTCGCAACGAGGACGCGGTAAAAAGACAGCTGACGGTGGAGGCGGGAATGCTACGCGGCGATGCGGAGTGGCGAGACGACGGACCCGGGCGACGTGCAGATCACGATGAAATACATAATTGTGTAAGTACAGTAAAAAAAAAACGGGATTGCGTGCTAGCTAGCTCTATATCTATCACCACTCCTTGAAAAAAAAACGCGAACACAGTAGCACTACGATCTTTTTATGTCTAAGCATTGATGCAGCTATTGTATATGTTCATCTCAACCAAAAAAACAGGTGATGACTCGCGGGCAAGTGCAGTTGAAATACTGTTGGCGTGATGTAGTACTGAGATACGACTGACGGCAGTCACAAGCAGGCTCTCAAAGCAGGCCACTTCGCACCTGCAAACATCGACTTCAAAATTTTTTTTAAAAAAAAAAATCTAAAAAAATCGGGAGAAAATCGTGGACGGGGTGCCATCTGAGCGCGCCCAGCTCAACTCTCCTGCATGAGAAACAAGGTCCGAGCACGGGGACAGAGTCCCCGTGCGGCGACCTTCCGGCATTTGTCTGGGACGAGTTCGGGGGCCATGGTGGATGGCACCGGGCAGGCAGGCCCCTGCAACCCGGCGTCTCTGTGTGGCCTGCGCCCCCTGATCCGCGACAGATCTGCGGACGGAGCCCCTCTGTTTGCCCACACTAGACCCGTTGGCCTACCGCGAACAAAGAGAACAGATGAAAGGAAGAAGCTGGCGCCGGATTTGTAGCTGGCCCCTAGGTCATGACGCGGGGACCGAGTCCCCGCGCTGACCTAGGGCCTTTGCCCCTGGGCCGTGCGGTTAGTTTCCGGGAAGCGCCCAAAGCTGGCCCCTAGGTCATGGCGCGGGGACCGAGTCCCCGCGCTGACCTAGGATGGGCTTTTGCGCCTCGGCCGCGCGGTTAGTTTCCGGGGAGCGCCCAAAGCTGGCCCCTACGTCATGACGCGGGGACCGAGTCCCCGCGCTGCCCTAGGGCTTTTGCGCCTCGGCCGTGCAGTTAGTTTCCGGGGAGCGCCCAAAGCTGGCACCTAGATCATGACGCGGGGACCGAGTCCCCGCGCTGACCTAGGGCTTTTGCATTGCCCTCCGGCCGTGCGGTTAGTTTCCATCCGGGACGCGCCCGAAGCTGGACCCTAGGCCATGACGCGGGGACCGAGTCCCCGCGCTGACCTAGGGCTTTTGCATTGCTTGCCCGTGGGCCGTGCGGCTAGTTTCCGGGAAGAGCCCATAGCTGGCCCCTAGGTCATGACGCGGGGACCGAGTCCCCGCGCTGACCTAGGGCTTTTGCATTGCATGCAATGCTTGCCCGTGGGCCGTGCGGCTAGTTTCCGGGAGGAGCCCATAGCTGGCCCCTAGGTCATGACGCGGGGACCGAGTCCCCGCGCTGCCCTAGGGCTTTTGCCCCTGGGCCGTGCGGTTAGTTTCCGGCCGGGAAGCGCCCAAAGCTGGCCACGAGGTCATGACGCGGGAACCGAGTCCCCGCGCTGGCCTAGGGCTTTTGCGCCTTGGCCATGCGGTTAGTTTCCGGGAAGCGCCCAAAGCTGGCCCCTAGGTTATGGCGCGGGGACCGAGTCCCCGCGCTCACCTAGAGCTTCTGCCCCTGGGCCGTGCGGTTAGCTCCCGGGGCGCGCCCAAAGCTGGCCCCTAGGTCATGACGTGGGGACCGAGTCCCCGCGCTGACCTAGGGCTTTTGCCCCTGGGCCGTGCGGTTAGTTTGCGGGAAGCGCCCAAAGCTGGCCCCTAGGTCATGACGCGGGGACCGAGTCCCCGCGCTGCCCTAGGGCTTTTGTCCCTGGGCCGCGCGGTTAGTTCCCGGGGAGCGCCAAGAGCTTGCCCGTAGCTCATGACGCGGGGACCGAGTCCCCGCGCTGACCTAGGGCTTTCGCGCCTCGGCCGCGCAGTTAGTTTCCGGGGAGCGCCCAAAGCCGGCCCCTAGGTCATGACGCGGGGACCGAGTCCCCGCGCTGACCTAGGGTTTTTGCCTTGCCCGTGGGCCGTGCGGCTAGTTTCCGGGAAGAGCCCATGGCTGGCCCCTAGGTCATGACGCGGGAGCCGAGTCTCCGCGCTGACCTAGGGCTTTTGCCCCTGGGCCGTGCGGTTAGTTTCCGGGAAGCGCCCAAAGCTGGCCCCTAGGTCATGACGCGGGGACCGAGTCCCCGCGCTGACCTAGGACTTTTGCCCCTGGGCCGTGCGGTTAGTTTCCGGCAAGCGCCCAAAGCTGGCCCCTAGGTCATGACGCGGGGGCCGAGTCCCCGCGCTGACCTAGGGCCTTTACCCCTGGGCCGTGCTGTTAGTTTCCGGGAAGCGCCCAAAGCTGGCCCCTAGGTCATGACGTGGGGACCGAGTCCCCGCGCTGACCTAGGGTTATTGCATTGACCGTGGGCCGCGCGGCTAGTTTCCGGGAAGAGCCCATAGCTGGCCCCTAGGTCATGTCGCGGGGACCGAGTCCCCGCGCTGACCTCGGGCTTTTGCCCCTGGGCCGTGCGGTTAGTTTCCGGGAAGCGCCCAAAGCTGGCCCCTAGGTCATGATGCGGGGACCGAGTCCCCTTGCTGACCTAGGGCTTTTGCCCCTGGGTCGTGCGGTTAGTTTCCGGCAAGCGCCCAAAGCAGCTGGCCCCTAAGGTCATGACGCGGGGACCGAGTCCCCGCGCCGGCCTAGCGCCTTTACCCCTGGGCCGTGCGGCTAGTTTCCGGGGAGCGCCCATAGCTGGCCCCTAGGTCATGGCGCGGGGACCGAGTCCCCGCGCTGACCTAGGGCTTTTGCCCCTGTGCCGCGCGGTTAGTTTCCGGAAAGCGCCCAAAGCTGGCCCCTAGGTCATGGCGCGGGGACCGAGTCCCCGCGCTGACCTAGGGCTTTTGCCGGCCCCTGGGCCGTGCGGTTAGTTTCCGGCAAGCGCCCAAAGCTGGCCCCTAGGTCATGACGCGGGGACCGAGTCCCCGCACTGACCTAGGGCCTTTGCCCCTGGGCCGTGCGGTTAGTTTCCGGGAAGCGCCCGAAGCTGGCCCCTAGGTCATGACGCGGGGACCGGGTCCCCGCGCTGACCTAGGGCTTTTGCTCCTCGGCCGTGCGGCTAGTTTCCGGGAAGCGCCCAAAGCCGGCCCCCAGGTCATGGCGCGGGGACCGAGTCCCCGCGCTGGCCTAGGGCTTTCTTGCCCCTGGGCCGCGCTGTTAGTTTCCGGCCGGGAAGCGCCCAAAGCTGACCCCTAGGCCATGACGCGGGGACCGAGTCCCCGCGCTGACCTAGAGCTTTTGCCCCTGGGCCGCACGGTGTCCGGGAAGCGCCCAAAGGAAGCTGGCCCCCAGGTCATGACGCGGGGGCTGGGTCCCCGCGCTGACCGAGGGCGCCTTTCGCCCCTGGGCCTTGCCCACGGGGCCCGGGAAGCTCGACAGGCTGGCGGCTCGCGTGACAAACTGGAGTCCGGCATTGCGCATCTCGCGTGGCGAGGTCCCAAAGTGTGTCCGGGGTGTGGCCGAAAGTCTGCCCGGGGTGTGTCGGAAAGTCTGCCCGGGGTGTGTCCGGGGTGTGTCTGGGGTATGTTCGGACTTTTTGCCTGGGGTGTGTTCGGGGGTCTGTCTGGGGTATGTCTGGGGTGTGTCTGGGGTGTGTCTGGGGTGTGTCTGGGGTATGTTTATACCCCACCTGTTGCTTTTTCGCCAAAAATTTGTATTCAGGTCGTGACTGACTACCATTTGCATACCCCTGACACACCCCCGAACATACCCCCGAACATACCCCTCGCATGCATTTTTGACCAGCTGCTGCAGTTTAGATAGTAATTCCCCATTTGCGACGTAGCAAGGAGCGAGCAGCTTAGGGCGCTCCTCATGCAACACAAATGATTGCCGATAATTCTAATTCCAGAATCCGCATCACAAGTTGCAACCTTCCCGACACAGGTATATGTGCAATGCGTATTGTCAGGCAGTGGTCGATTTCGCTTTCATCCTCCTGCGACTCTGGGGTCCAGAAAACCTCGGTGGTCCTCTGGATGCCGCCGGCCTCTGCGGGGGCGACAAAGGTATCCAATGCAAATGTATCTGAGTGGTCTGGAAAACTAGTGCAAAAATCTCTGTTGCATAAACTACAACCAAAAGTCGTCCACTTTTGGCCAAGTTTAGCGGCAGTTTCTCATGCAAGGGAGGCATGGGAGATGAGATCCAGGTCTCACAGAATCTGTCATGCTGGGTCCTGTATGCCAAACCTCACCACGCGCAATGAAATACTAAAACCTGCAAGACAAGAAGTCTTGCAACCTTCCAGACACAGACACTATATTTGCATTTGATAGAAGGCCAGGGTCAACAGCTTGTAGTGGTCGGCGAACGTCGTGCTCCAACCATTTTGGATGTCGTAGCACACGACGCAAATGAGCAGCTCGGAAGACCGCGGCGTCGCGTGTGACGAGGGGATGCTGGTGGAAGAGCTCATAATGCTGCTGCCCGCCGAAGATGAACCTGTTTTGATTTTTTTGGTGGGTGGCTGTCAGAAAGCACATCTTGGTCGGGCACACGGTCTTCATGCAGAACAGCAACTTGTCCTTTTCGTGCAAATTCATGTGCAACAACTACACTGCCATTCCCATCGCTACTCTTGCGCGCAAAAAAATCGAAAACAGAGAAGTTCATCATCGTAAATAATATAATACTTGCTGCTCCTTCTACACCGCTGGAGCTGCCTCCGCCTATTTTATTATCGGGTTTCGCCGCAGTGGTCATTCGTACGCGTGACTCCCGCACGGCGGCCACGGATCGGAGTCCTGGTCGATAATAAGTCTTTATGCATTGCAAATATGTCTGAGTCTGCAAGAATGCCAATGTTTGTCTATGCATTTTCTAAATCACACAGATAGTCCTTAATGCTCGGAACAACATCTTCACAGGTTTTGTGCAGGCCGTTTGATGCCTGTTCCGCATGAGAAATGCCCTACTGCTGGCGTAGACGTATTATTTAAAGATGGGCAGCTCATGCAAGAGCAAGACCAATGTTTGTGTGATCCGGTAGACTATGCATCACAAGTTGGACGAACTCTTCGTCCAGACCCAGACATGTTTGCATTTGATAGTCTCACTCGGTAGGCCCGACGTCCTGTTGGATACAAAGCGAGCGGCTCGTTTGCCCTGCGCGATCGGCATCCACTCTTGAACGTCCAAGAGATGGTCGCTTTTTGCTGGGGAGAGCCATGTTGTCTGCACCAGCCGCAGTGGCGGTACCGGAGTAGTTGCTCCATATTGGAGCGCCATCTTTTCAGGCTTGGGTGGGCCGCTCCGAGTCGGAAAAAAAATATGATTTCGAGACGACGCCGCACAACATCACAAGGATGGAAGAAGAAGAACAAATAACATCCTCAAATTTTGAGGTTTTTCTGAAAAAGCTTCCTGTCGTACATCTACTATATCTCCTCTTCCTTCTGGTTTTACATTTGGCTGTTTTTCATCGATCGCTCGTGCCACAGACTGCAATATCTAGCGAGGGACACTAAGGACAAAGCTAACTTTGGAGACCATCTACTTGTGCGGAAAAAAAAATTGAGGTATTTTTGACAGATTTGCAATTTGGATTCCCAGCAACCCCCAACGCAAGATTGCCGTGTTGCGAGTATCCGGGAAAAAAAAAACAGCGTCCAATGCATCAAGATCATCCGACAGGCGTATTGGATCACACAAACGTACAGCCTGGCAGACTGGCCGGTGACCACAAATGTTCGGTGGCAGTGGCCGGCGACCACAAGTCTCCGCTGGCAGTTGCCGGCGAACACAAGTCTCCGTTATGTGAGGACTCTATGTGAAGAGATTCTAGTGCAGCTTCCCTGTTCTCTGTACTGATTTCTGTTCTGGATTAGACACTGGAGGTTAACTTGAGTACAACTCTGTTCTGTTTTCTGTTACCACGACGACCACTTCCGCACAGCGACCGGGCGCTTGCAGTGGTGGCATTGCTGTTTATTTAATCCCTTCCTGTAAAGGAAATGGAAAAGGTTGTGACAACATCATTTTCTAACGCGCTACCTAGTAGTTCAACATCAATAAGATATTCGATCCGCCGGCTCGGCTTCGCTCCGAACGGAGGTCGGACATTAGAAGAAGAATAAGAGATGAGACTGTTCCCTTTTTGCTTTCGACCCTAACTGCTTCGAACAGAGAGGGCAACCGCGTTTTTGTAAATGATCCACAGTTCCTCGCAATAGTTTGCTAAACGAAAAATTTTTTACAATGGACACATGAAAATCACCATTTGATTGGACGGAGCAAAATTTCCATTTGAGAAACAGAAACATTTAGTTAGTTAGTATTCCCACAGAAAACGTCACAATCACCATCAGCAGAACCACCAGACGAAGGCAATGTATCACATGCAAATATGTCTGGGTCTCCTGGAAGAATGCAGATGTTTGCCATGCTGTTTTTGCGTGACACGGTCATGGAAGGCCTGTCATGGAAGCCCTCGCACAACAGGTTTAGAGCAATGCCTGGTCTGCATGACAAATCTTCTATTTCGGCGACAGGAGATGAGCAACTTTTGCTGCCTATGAATAAGACCTCTGTGTATGTTGATGTCAATCATCACGAAATACAAGTTTGCCTTCCATCTCCAGATACCCAGACATTTTTGCAGTGGATACGATGTCTCTTGTACCGAAACCCGCGGCGGCGGCGAGTAGTTGGAAAAGTCCTCTCTTATCAGACGGAAAAGCACACCACCTACTGAGCAAACAAAAGCAATGTAGCAAGATTCTCCCTGGTGTTCTCATTGGCATTGCATCGGCTCATGCTCGTGTCAGAAGAAGTGAAGTTTATATAGAAATGTGGACTTTGGTGTTGGTCATCTCATGCAGCAGCGAAAACCTTTGCTCGTTTAGTTGGACAGGCACAGAAGCAAGCCGGCCCAGAGTAGATTGCACGACATAGATCAATAATCAGTGTTCCAGTATGCTTAGAGGAGTTTGTTTTTCCGGATAAGCTTCCGGGCAAATTGCGGACCCATGCAGGCAAAGCCCGTGTGCATCCCGGATCTCTCACATAGGCCGTGAAAGATGTCGTCGCGGGGGGAAGTATGCATCGCAAAACCGTCTGAATCTGGAAGGGCGCACAGGTACATTTCAACATCAAGGAGCATTTTCAGTTTTTTACTCCTATTTGTACGCAAAGAAAATATCAATATGTCATGCACACGGCAGATGGATGCACGTGCACCCAACGGGTGAACGAATGTACATGTTATGTAATGCAACAATCCAAAAGATTATACAATACTTAATGATCATTCTATCAACATCGCATGAATAGCTGGCATGACAAGTCTTACGTCTCGTGCCAGGTAGTTGGAAGCATGAACATGATGCTGTGGTCTGAAAAACAAAAAATATCATTCCTGAGTTACTAATCTTTTTATCTCGTTTCCATTCTCATACACATACAGGTACTTAAAGTCAGCATTACAAATCCAGATCCACGACCATAAATTTTTGCAGTGCATAATAGGAATCGAATGAGTCTTTCGCCCGGAGACTCTTCAACAGGTCCTTGAGTTCCTTCATCAGTTGCTCCTTCGTCTTCGTATCCATTAGAAAAATGTCTGCGTCTAAAACATTGCTGGAATATTAAGTGTAATCCAAGATGCACAGCAGCTTGCATACTTACTCGCGAGGTTTGTCATGCATGTTGGGGAGCAGTTGCAGTGCTGCTCGTTTGTCATGCAAAGACGCCAGTTTTATTTCGCACTCGGTGTGGCCTTCTTGCCGCTTCACGCAAAAGCAAACAGCCGCTTCACTGCAAAATTACGCTTTTCATTCGAACAAGCGGCACACTTTGCCTCCACCCATGCATGCGGCCACATATGGCTGTAATGTCTTCACAACATCACAGACAAAGACATTTTTTCAACGAGTACTTCGCCGGGCCGCGGCTCTCCATCCTATACAAAAACGTCCCCGTCCCAGAGTCAAGACGGGGATCTCGCACGACAAATTGAAAAGTTTTGGGAGTCAAGCATGACATAAACACACTGTGCTACAACTGCATGACAAGTTCGTCCCTGTATTGTAGTGCAGTTTCGCAAGTACAGTCGCAACACAAATCTATCTGCATCTGCTCATCCTGTTTACTACAGCATTACAAAATACAAAAGACGATTGGAAATTAATGCCTCTCATGGGGATGCACATTGGCATTACAAATCTTCCACTTACTGCAAATCTGCATGACAACTACGGTGTGGGGACATTTTTACTCAGGATACTCTCCACCCGCAATTTCATGCGGTCCACCTGGCGCTCCATGTAGGGTATGCAGCGCAAATTCTTCTGGGTTTCCCAATTTGTAATGCTGGTTTGGGAATGGCGGATACATTGGTTGCAATAACAATATTACGAAGCCATAGCCAAGCATGACAATTCGTTGAGCTGCTATGTGTTTTAGTTTTCTGCATCTTCAGCTGCGCTTTTGTAGCATGACAGAAAATAAGCTCTCTTCTTGCTCATGCATCACAGGATTGGGAGTCATGCGAGACAAGCATGACAAGCTTACATTGTTCCTGACCCCGACATATTTGCAATGCATATGGACCTTGGCGAGTCGGTAGTCCTTGCGGAGAAAGTGCTCCAGGCCGACGAGAACGAACCGCTCCCACTCGCCGATTATCAAATGCAAAAATGTCTGGGTCTGGAACGCTGGAACTTGTCATCCTAATTCTGGATCGTGCAAAAAGCTGTGTTGCAGGATTACCAAAAGTAAAGCTGTCCACTTTTGACGAATTTGAGAGGCAATTTCTCATGCGGGTGAGGCATGATAGAGGTCGCACACAATCTGTCATGCTAGGTCATGTATGACAGACCTCGCGCGTCATGGAAAACCTGCATGACAAGTCTTGCAACCTTCCAGACCCAGACATTTTTGCATTTGATAGCGATGAAATGCTTCTGGATTCTGGACGCGTATTCCCGCGGTACCCGCTTGTACGGAACGACCTTCGTGTCCAACTGCGTGACCCCCAAAGCCTCAAATGTAGTCTATGCAGTGCAAATATGTAGTCTGGGTCTCCTGGAGCTCTGTCCTGCTGAAACTCGTCGCATCATATCCGAGCAGGCGCTTGTACGGTCCGACAGCCTCAGAAGTTTTTTAGGCTTGTAGCAGCTTCGACCGTTTTTACTTACTTAGATGCATGACAAACTGACATAAATGCATCACAGAAATAGATCATCTTGAAGTCGTCCTTCAAATCCTGCACCACAAATGCAAATTCAGATCCAGGCATATTTGCCATGCACAAAATGCGCACTGGAATGTAATACGCCGGGTTGATGCGGTACTCCTTCATGTACTTGAATTATCAATCGCAAACACGTAATATGCGGGAAGTAGACCGTGGATGACGATGACTGCAAGGCGAGCATCAAAAATTCTTGGAACTCTCCTTCACGCGTAGTGCGACCACGCGTTTTTGAATGACGAAGGACAAAAATGCCTGTGCTTGTGTTGATAATGTAGTACAGGTTTTCGTTTTCGTTTCTAGAAATGCACAAAAAGCTGCATGACAAGTTCCACTTCTCCATAAGCATTTGCGGTTGATATCAAGACCGTTTTCACCAAATCGTAGGCCAGGTAGTATTTGTATGCACTGCAAAAAAAATCCCAGGGCCGCCCACATGAAGCATCAAATCAGTTGTACTACTTCATCTTCGCACGACAAGCCTTGAGGTTGTTCTTTGCCCGTCCCGAGAACTTCAATTTTGCACTGTACTTCTTTCATCATGTTGTGTTGCAAAATCGTGCACCGATGCAGCTTGTCATTACATTTGGAATGGCAGGGCTACTGCATGAACATTTTGACTGGCCCTGGGATGATAGTTTCAGTTGATATTCCGCACCAGTTCTCCACCTTGCCGTCATACATGTCCTTGAAGCGGTCCCCTTGGAGCTTTTTGATGATGTCCTGGAAATATGCAATGCAAAACAAGAAATATCTTCGTCCTAGTTCTTTAAGTTGCACCACAAGTAGCTTTATTGTTATTCTCAAGTTGAAATAAAGTGGATTTTGTATTGCTGATTTTTCGCGGCCTAAACCTAGGAGGAGATGATGAAATCTCAATCTGTCATGCAAGTCTGTACTTGATACAACGACAAACGCGATACTTACTTTTTCTTTTGCAGTGCATAGGGAACACTTCTTGATGTCCTCTTCATCCGGGTCAGCTGGGGGTTCTATCCAACGCAAATATGTCACTTGTCTGGGAACTTGTATTGCTGAGATGTGAATCTGAATCGTGAATGCAAATGCTCTCGAACGCACAGCCAAGCATGAGAAATATATTTGCGCGGCTTCGTGTTGCCTTTCCCGTATGAAACACTGCGTTCTTTTTGCGTGACAAGCCAAAGAGTCTCTTCTTGGACACGCATAGCAAACTCTTCAATCATGCCAGACAGGCATGACAAACCTTACATCCTACTCGCAGACCCAGGCATATTTGCAATGAATAGGGGGACAACAAATTCCTCCCCCGCAGAACAAAGCGAAGAATCCGGTATTATCGTAGTGAAAATTATTACCTCCCATTTTTTTCTTGTAGTTCCTCCGCTAAGTATCTCATGTCCATATGTCCACATTGCACTTCCTTCCGCATGACACACATCAAATCAGTCCACGAAAATCGGTCGTGCCACGTGCTGCAAATCGTGGGAGGTACTTTTTCACTACGTACGCTTCGCTCGCAGGTGGAGGCGCGTCCGTCGAACTGCTCGCTGACATAGTATTTTGTGCTTCAAAACGAAAACAAGATCGAGGCCACGTATTATCTAAGCCACGTATTAAATACTATTTCAGAAGAGTGGTTTTTTTTTACTCAATTTTACGAGCAAGGAAGGCCAGGTTCCATCACAACTTCACTATATTCTGAAAAAAACATCCTTTCCACTGTTGGTAGCCAAGATCACAAGGGATCGACCACTTATATTTTTCTGTGCAAATTTCAACTTGTACAGCACTGGTTCCATTTTTGGTTTCCTCCTCCAATGAAAATTCTGTATACAAAACTCGAAGGACACGCCAAAGAGTACTTAGACAGTAATATTTTCGAAGACACGACTCAGACGTACCCTCAGACAACCCTAATTGAACTCTCGGCTTCGGCCTAGAAGCCTGCTTCGACGAGAAATTGATGCAATCGATACGACCCTATTTTGTCAACAGAAATGACCACGCGCAAGAGAAAAATTCTTCAGTCATCCGACCAGCGAAAGCACACTCACATTCTCAAAAACAATCTATCAACCCATAGCGATTGTTTATAATGGATCCCCTTTTGCAAAGGTATTTGTGACAAAATGTTTTTCCACGAAGAGTGAAAGTCACCGACACATGTTTCTTACGTCCCCATAGACACGAAGGATAGAGTGAACCGAGACACGCCTATGGCTTTTGTTCATTGTACCGAACAAATCAATAATCAAATCATTGACGGAATCTTGCATACAGCTACAACATTGTTTTCGCGTATAAGAAAACAAATCGCGGAAAGAGGAAAGACCATGGACATTTTTGTAGCCAACCGAAATTCCTGTGACTGAGAGCGAGCTTGTTAGGAAGAGCTGACCATGAATGCGAAAGACAAAATACAGCAGAAAAGACTTACGCGCCCCCCATACATAGTACACGAACAATAGTCTTCAAGTGCGCATTAGCTGCGTCGCCACGTGTCCACACACTAAAACGTGGCGCAGCACACGTAGTACCGAGAACAGGAGCACGCCCACCAATGGCAAGGACCGCGGCAAACTAGTTTTCGGGCTCGGCAGAGCCACGCTTGCGGGACCCGCAAAGCCGCGTTTCTTGTTGGATACGTTATTCAATCACTCATCTGTGCTAAAAAGTAAGATCAACGCACAAAGTTCATCCTAGAAGGTTGGAAAGCTGATTAGTCCAATAAGCTTGGGACGGACCAGCGCGCCTGTCGCTCGTAGCCAGGCCATTCGCGTTCAGTCATGCCATTTACGCGCTCAACCACTAGTAGGCAGCTTATGCAGCTCAAACCTCCAGTGGCAGCAGTTCATAGCGGCCGCGGGCGCTGGCGGATCATCCAATGTGCGTCGCGGGTCGGGGTCCTGCAGAACATGCGGAAGCGGGTTCTGTTCGAGTGTATAATATTTTTGTGGAAAGCAAAGTACCAAAATAAAACAGGTGCTGGGCAGAGCAGGACGCTATGCCAAGCAAAATTCGCATAGTTACAACTTTTTCAAGCATCAGCTCGCACGGTGTTGATATATTGCTAGAAGCTGTTTCAATAAACAATGAGAGGTAACAAGCTTAAGCGCCCGGCACACAGACATATAAATTGGGATGCTACGCGCGACCCCATCAAGCTTGAAGAGAATCCAGAAAAAGCGGGGGAGCTGCTAACACCGCTCCGGAGTGTTGCCAACAGCTTTGCAGCCGTACAAATAGAATCCGGCTCGGGCCATTTTTTCTCTATCCTTATTGGCTTGGACTAGAAGGCGCCAGCGGCCAGAAGAGTCGCACGATTCCGCGAGAAATCATCAAAGCAGCTTACTTTGCTCACGGGCGGAGACTCTGGTGGAGACGCTTGCGGAGACACTGGCGGAGACTCCAGCGTTTTGTTCGGATTCTGCCGAAGGTAGGCGGGCGGGTGCTGTTTGAGAATTATTTTTTTTTGGATAGTAAAGCACCAAAATGGCACTGGTGCTGGCCAGGACGCTACGCCGAGCAAAATTCGCACAGTTACGTACCTTTTGAAGAATCAGGCCCCACGGTGTACAAGATCGCTAAAGCTTTTCAATTGATCAAAGTTGTTTATAGGGGGCAATTCAACTGCTAGCGCCTGGCGAACAGGCATATCAACTGGAACATTCTGTGCGACGCCCCCCCGAGTTTGCACGCAGAGAACCAAGAGGAGACTGGGGAGTTGCCAACATCCTTCCGGCCTGCCTGCTCGAGGAGGTGTCGATGAATGAAGGAAATCGAACACGGCGAGGCGCCGCCCATTTGCCTGAAACTTAGGCCTGCCCTCGATCAAGGATTCACTTTAAAACATAGAGGCGCCACCTTTTATGTTATTTGGCCGGTCCGCTTCCGCTACCATATCATGTGACATGGCAGTCAGGCAGGTCGCCACTTGTGAAAAGTTGTGTCCTTTAGCTTTACGCCTCAGGGATAGTCGCTTTTTTCTGTAGTACTATCCTTTTGCTTTTCCCTCGTGCGCTTTAGGGAGAACGAAGTTTAGAAACGGCAGGAGTGCCTTTGATGAAGCAAAAACGACTTTACTTTTGGCACTTTTTGCTTTACCGGCTTCGCGAACAAACAAAGATGCCAAGAAACGCACAAAGCGCAGTGTATTAGGAAGAGAAAAAAACTCCTTGCAGCAGGTCGTTTTTTATTTTTTGCGGTGGTGGCTTCAGGAGGACGCCAAGCACAAACCGCTGCGTACCTTTGAAGAAATGAAGAAATAGGATCCGTCTTATTTGGCTGTTTTTGCACCGCTGGCTGCAAGCAGAAGGCCTGAACCGGCAAGGCCTGCACTTTTAGAGAGCTACTTCTGGCCAATCATTTTTCCCTATCTTTACTGGCTGCGCCTGCAGTTAGAAGGCAGCAGCGGCCAGAAGCGTCGGGTGGCTTCAACGAGAAACCAAGAAAAGCCAGAAGCGTACCTCTCGTTGAAAAAAAGGTAGGCCTTGCTGGCTTCAGGGAGAACCTTTGAGACCCCAGAATCCCCAGCCCCGAATCGAAAAGGGCTACTTCTGGGTTGATCAGAAGACAAATTAGGCCCCAAAAGCGCGCCGCAAGAGGGAAAAAGCCCGGCTTCTGAACCTGCCACACCTTTAGAAGTGAATTCATCTTTGCCACGAAGACGAAGGGTTTTTATAAAATAAAAAGATTCATTTCATTCCCAAGCCTCAGCAGGTTCTGACGGCTAGCTAGACCTTCAAAAAAGAAAACCCTTCTGACGGCTAGACACAAGGAACCGAGCGCAGCCGTCGGTGCCCAACAAAATCTAAATTAGTCGCGAAACCAATACCGATGGCGTTTTCGTTCCCGTTGTGGCAACTGTGTATGACGATACTAAATGCGGCTCCGTCAGAAATATCCAAAAATTTCAGGGTCGGAACGCGGCATATCAGTCATCCTTGTCTGTCGTGAACATGAAATGTATTTTAGATCTTGTAGTCTGTCATGCATAATTCTTCATCTGACTTGGACTTCTTGACCTTGTTGTATACAGAGTTACCTCGCTGAGAGTGCAGGCCCTGCACACGGCGGAGCTACAACGGGCATGCCCACGGATTCAGGCGATTCCGCTGAGCGGCTTACCGACAGTCCCCTCAGGGCTGCCTTCTTACTACTACTAGACCACAACCACAGTAGTTTTGCTATGGCTTTCCACTACACGATACCAGTCGGGCGACAGCGACCACAAGAGCGACACACGCGACCCTTGAAATTTTTGGGCAGTCTTGACCCAACCACATATCGCGTTGACATATTATCACGATTTCAGATTCGACTCCTTGAAGCACCGTTTGCTCATATTCGACGTGTTCAAGCACCATTTGCTTATAGTGTCTTTTTGTACTTAGTGGTCGTTTACATGAAAATTAGAATTTGCGCAATGCGCGTCCTGTGAGAATTGAGTAGGTATTTTGAAAATGCAAGTCCTTGTTCTCCTTGTCCTGTGAGTATTGAATTTGAAAAGCAAAAGACGACTACGGGAAAGCAAAAACGTTTTTCACTCAGAACAAACAGAAAAAAACTCTCAAAAGCAGCTGCAAAACTATTGCAAAAAAGGGTGAAAAAAAGGAGACGACGTGCAATGCGCACTTACCGACGAATGACAAAACAATCACATCACGCACGAGTAGGGATGCACAAAGCATAAGGCTCCTGCTGTACAAGATAATGACGTCTACTTTAAACAAGATGACTTGGCATTCACTTGAAGTACTGTACCAGATGAGGAACAACTCACGAGGGATGGGCGCCACGAAGCAAATGCGTGACTGCAGCGGGGACTGGTATGAATCTGTACGACGGCCTACTTACGCACACAGTGGAGAGCAGAGCGACTGTAGTGATATTCATTCAAGAAATCCTGTTGCACCACCTCAAGGTCATTCTCACATACGTACCGGACCCGCTTTTCAAAAAAATAGCTGTCGTCCTCGCTTCGAACTATTTTGCTCATGCTCGCGAAAGCACGGCAATCAAAACATCTGGGTTGCATGATTGCATTGCAACCCTGGATAACTTGTCTTTGCAATGACAATGAAGGCTACCACTTGATGTAGTTCTAGTGGCTGTTTCTTAAAAGTCCCCCACGACCATCTCCTCCAGCGTCGGCTCCGCCTCGCGTGCATCCGGAAGAACACAAGCCTCCATCATGGCCCGTCGCATGGCGTTTAGCTCTCGGGCTTCCGCCGCGATGGTGCGCAGCTTCCTTTCCACGTCGGCAGACGGGGGCACGCAGAACAGGTAGACGGAATGATCCAGGGAAGAGGATGGGAGAGCAGCTGAGAGAGCACAAGAACTATACTGTCCTGCAGGTGCGCAGCGAGGATCTGGTACGGAATTGAAGTGGAGGTCCTGCTCTCCTGTAGATTGTGCCCTTGATGTAGTAGTAGTCCACGCCATCACCTCGATCGCCCACATGTCGCCTGGCTGCAGTGGCACAGGCAGCTGCAGCAGTGTTTCCGGAACTTGCGGACCACTGCCGGGGCCGTCTCGGGCTACAAAAATCGCAGTGGCCGTTGGGGAGAGCGTGGGAGAATCGCTTCGTGGTGTCCTTCCTATGTCCTCGTCCTCTGTGGCGCCAGCGGCCGCCGCGCGGACAGCGTGCTCGATGTCATGCGTTTTTATTCCCTGCGAGTCCACTGCAGAAACGCGTGCATGCCCCTCCTCGGTCGGTTCCATCGGGAGATTGTCTTTTGCGCAGGGGTAGTTCGCGCCACGACATGCGCACACGATCCGCTTCGCACAGACAGCCATCTCGACTTGCGGTGCAGTAGAGGTTTTGACAGGAAACAGAGCCGCGTGCAGATCTCCCGCTTCGCAGCGCAAAGGATCCTCGTCCACCATGGCACTCTCTTGCCCGTCCTCTCCTCGTTTGCTTCGAACGTTAGTTCTCCCCGCGACGTTGGGAGGAACATCAGCAGAGGCCAGATTCTGCAGGTGCTGGTAGAGCGTGGCGAAGCACAAAGTGTTGCATTCGCTATCGGCGTGATGCCCAATCATTACCACTGCGGCAGACGGCTTGCCCATGGAGCCCAGAGTCGTCCGCGGGATGCTGGGGGGATGGTCCTTTTGCCGAACAACGTTCCTGCTGTGAGGCTCCGACTGCAGAACTTGACAGAGGCTCTCTTGACCCGGTTCCCAACTAGTATCCTGAATGTTGCCAGAGCGCACGCCAAATAAATGCACCCAGGAGCCTATCATGCTGCAACCCCCCTTCTTACAATATATACGTAGGGCGCGAGGTTGCACAAGTTATGTCACTACGTAGAATATGCTAGTTTCCAAGGTTCAAAACGAAAAGCAAGAATGTCGCATCGAAACCTTCTTTCTTTGGCGGGCGTTAAGAGCCGGCTTTCGACGTCAGTTCTAGATGTTGGCGAGAAAAACCAAAATCATAGTATCTTGCGACACAGCAGCGTGTTGGGCTCAGCTCATAATTTTCGATAAATATGCTGCAAGCAACAAAAGCAATTTAGTAAGTAGCCTTCCTTTTCTAAAAAATTTCAAAGAAGGCACAAACCGAGGCGCGCATATATTGAGGTGCGAAGAGGGTTGCGGCAGCGATAGAATCCAGCAAGTCGCGTATAGGTACCTGCGCCAGGACAAAGGGCTGAACATTTTCCGACAACGTCATCTTTGCACCACCATGATCAGCACATTTCGCAAGAAGCACATTCGGAACCGCCGGTGCCACGGTAGAAGTCTCCCTACAAGAAACGGTTTTGCGGTCGTCCCAAACTTGAAAGCAATCGGCGTGCAGGATGGACCGCGGGTCCCGCACATTCCTCGTCCGGCGCTGAAAGCGCGAGTGCTTTCCGAAGGCACGGGTGCATTTGTTGGCGACGCCCCAGCCACTGGGCATGAACTTCGGCTTCTCTAGGTCGAGAAAATGCTCCCGCCACATCCGAATAAACCCGGCCAGTGTGTCTCTCGCAACGTGTTTCTCCACAATTCTCTGACCAATTTCGGTTTGCGAAAGAACCGGGTTCTTCTGTCGCAGCTGCCGTGATGAAGATGAGAAGTGCTGTCCAGGATTTATCTTCAAGTAGAAGTGCTGCTGCTCTGAGCCCTCTTCTTCACAGCTCCTGCTGGTTGATCTGCGAAGGGATGATCCGCCAGAAGTCATCTTCGTCGTGGCCCAGACCAGCTTGCCGGGTAGTGCCGTTCCCCCGTGGTCCTTCTCGGTCCACGTCAAGACTTTCTCGAGCAGATCGAGCGACACCTTCGGTTGCTCGTCCGAAATGCGGGCAATACCGCGACGGCACTGCTGGAGAATCGCCACCTGCCAGTTCCTTGTGTTGCTTTTTTCGCTTTCCGTGTTCTCATCTGCTTGCGAGCAGGGGCTATCGCCTTCCTCCGACATGATCACGGGTTGGGACCTGCTCCTTGCATCCCAGGCATAATTTTTACAGGACGGCGCGTTGGTACGTGTTTTGACAGCGGCCTCTTTCGCCGTCTTGCACATCCTCCGCACCAGGTTGAGAAGCTTGGTACTGCCGGGTGCTGTCCTCTCGAGGGCAGCAGGAGACGAAGTTTCGATGCCACGCTCGCGCAGCGTCTTCGTGAAAATCTCCTCTAGCGCATAACGTTGGTTTCGCCGGGCCGACTTCGTAGCACAAACGATGGCCTCATCGAGCAGGCGAAGCAGTGGGCAGTCCGGTCCCTGGCAATCATGCGAGGGGTCCCGCAGCCGCTCGGCGTCAACGAGCATCGAACAGGTTCTTTCTTCAAAATCCGTCTTCGAAGTAGAAATTGTCGTGGGCGTAATGGACCGCCGTTCATTCCGCTCGTGCGTTTCTCTCTCTGAAGCCGAAAAAAAAGGCCAGTCCAGTTCCTGCAGCGTTCGAATTTCCGCTTCGACAGTCCGCACCCGAATGTCTGCACAGAACCGCAGGATTTCGTTTTTCAGATCGCGAATGCGAGCTTCCGGAATGCGGTGCTTCCCCACGTCTCCCCACAGCGCCGCAGCTGCCGACCTTACTTTCTTCACGTGCGTGTCGGTATCAAGGGCTAGTGATCGTAGCTCTTCTGGATTTATTTTCATACAGGCTCTTCTCGTCGTGGTCGTGGTCCCGCCAGTAGAAGTAGTGTTCCTTGCACTTCCGCTGCGCACCATCCCTTTTCCGCTTTCCACTGGCGCGGAGGTTTTTCCAGAAGCGCCGGTTGAAGGCGAGAGCAGTGCACCAGCAGCCGCTTCCTCCCGCCGATCTGCCTCGTCCAACTTGCGTATCAGGCGGTACTGGTTCTGCTGCGCCCGCTCCTGGCACGCCACACACAGCAGCACCACGTCGTGGCTCGAGTGCGCCTTGAACTCCTCCGGGAAGTGTTTGCGGTACACTGTTATCCAGTACAAAGCTGTCCGGGTCGGGAAGATTCAATGCCAATTCTACATGTTGACTTGCGATGTCTGTGATGCATGCTCTAGCAGTACAGGTTTTCGTTTCGCGAAGGCTTTCCCACACCTGTCCTGTATGAGATATGCCTTCTCCGCGTGGCACAAGACTGAGTGCCTTTATTTGCTGCCCATGCAATACAGATTTTTGTATCATTGAACATTAGCATCACAAATTCCGTTCTTCCCAGACCCAGAAATTTTTGCAACACATAAATGTGGGCACAATTTTAAACCGCACGTAGTTCCGCTCCGCGCCACAGTATTCGGAGCAAAAGTTGTGTCGTCGCGGTCGTACTAGTTTTTGTTGCGATTTCACTATTAAGCATGACAAATGCGATAAAAGATCCACAGGATAACTCGCATCCACCTTCCGTGGGAAAAATGAATTTCCGTATGCAAAAATTTTTAGCTCATGCATCCTCGACGTCCTTCCAACTTCTACACGTGCCTAGACAGCAGACGCAGATATTTGCCTTCTCCTGGATGTGGAAGGAGTCCGCTTTTTTCTGTTCCTGGAGCTGCTCGAAGCTCATCTCGTCGTAGTGCTTCCTGCCCTCGGGGTCAAACAGCAACTTTATCGTTCTCGGTTCCCCCGGGACCCGCTCGGCCAATTTCTGTTGCAGATACCAACGCAGCTTTTTCTCGTCGCACTTCGTCAACAGCTCTCCGTCCCGGGCGATAATGCTGCAGTTCCCGTACACGGAGTATCAAAAGGAAAAATCCCCGCTCCCCATACCGAAAACGAAACTTGTGATGCTGTATTTGAGTACACAAAGCGACTTGTAATGCTAGAAGGGCAAGAGACGCAGCTGTTGGCTCGTTTGCAGGCAATTTGTCATGCTGTTTCCCACTTGCAGCTGCCCCCTGTCATGCTGAAGATGCAAGGCTTTCCCACGCCAGCCAGCACTAACGTCCGCATCTTTTCCCTTCTAGCATGACAAAGCTGATTTGTGGCCACAAATCTGCACCACAAATTTCTAGTTTGAGTATGGGGTGGAGGGATTTTTCACTTTGATACGGAGTCCGCACTGTACTTCAGGGTGAAATACACGTAGTTGGCCGTTTTTTTGTTCGCGGGCCTTCTGTATGGACTTGAAAAGTTTTCGTACTCACTGGAGCATAGCAATTTCTAATTCTATCGCAATTACGCATAACAAATCTTTATTTTCGCAAGGTATTAAGTCAGCGATGGCAATCAAAATAAATCCCGTTTCTGTCATGCTGAGAAAGAAGTTTGTAAATGCAATTTCTACGACCAGTAAGCATGCTACTTTTGCAATCCATAGTCTGCGCACCTCCCTTCGCACCGAGTCCGACAGACTGTTCACAGCTGCTTCGTACGCTTCCAAGGACGAAAACTTGTCAGACCAAAACGCGGTGCTGCTGAGTGCCTGCTTTTTAATCTTGCCTCCCTCAGTGTGACAACGCGGCATCACACCTTTTCCAAGTCCACCGTCCCCGGCATCCTCGGCGGCATCACCGCTGTCCTCTGCGGAGCAAGTCGACGATGTCGTGTTTTTCGGAGGTTGGCAGCTGTGGTTGAATGGAGTTGGAGACCGAAACGTGAAATAGCAGTATGTTCAAAAAGAAGTTATGTTGCTGCTCATCAACAAGATCAACATCGAGTGTTGCCGCGATAATTATCACTAAAACTAAAAGTGGACTTGCAAGAAATATAACATCATCAAGCTAATAAGTATGGACGCCGCCACAAAACGCGTACCGGCACCCAGCGGTGGACATCGCGTACATGAGATGAATAACCGCAGAAAAGTCCTCTACCTGCTGTTTTCCAGGTTCTCTCCGAAAGAAGCACACCGGGTTTCTGTCAGATCCACAATTCTCGCTCCAAGGTGCTCCACCAGCACTTTTTGTGAGACAAGGCGCGTCACCCCCGTCTGGTGTCCAACCGGAACTTCGAAAGCATCGTACATCGAAGCGAGCTTGGCGTCGATGAGGATTTGCACCGTGCCCGCACTTGTGTAGCAGCTTCCTCGATCGCTTTCTAGCGTGGTGGCAGGAATGTCTCTTCGTCTTTCTGCTACGGCTGGACACACATGATTCGACGAGAGGGGCGCGGTTGTTTTCGGGGGCAGTCTGCGAGTCTCCGGCGGTTTTTCTTTTTCGCTGGTTGAAGATATGCCAAACGCGGAACAAGCACCTGTGGCACCACCACCATCGTCCGTCGCCGGCAATTTCGAATCCTCTGTTACTTCATCGTGCTTTGAGCCACCGCTTGCAGAAGTTCCATTTTGGCCACTTTCGATCCAGTCAGACGATGCAGCTGCGGCTTCCTCCGTCATGCGCACTTCTAGCGGCGAGAACGGCCCGATGGAGCCTGGTTGCTGATAGAACTCTGCAACAACGTCGGAGGCGAGTTGCAGTCCGGTCGTCTTCGTGTCTAGACGGTCACACGAGGAAAGCATGCACAGAAATTTTTGTCTCGTGCTAGAATGGTTTTCATCCAACGAAGGTATTTTAAAGCTTCGCAGCCCGTCCTGGTCCTGCGTGCCATGATCCCCACCCCAGCACGCCAGTGTTTTGTAGTCGGCTGACCGGCAAATGCGGGAAGAATCTTCAGGCAGGGTAATCGTTGGAGTTTGTTCTTGGATGTTTTTCTGCAAAAATGATCCGGACGTCGCGGCAGTCCCACTCGGCGCGACAGCACCACCGCGTCCCATCACCAGCACGTTATCGCTGTTTAATTTTTCCGGTCCGCCGTGACGAGAGGGGAGTTCTATCGAGTGCTGCAGCATCTTTGGCGTGAGCACGAGCGGCCCAAATGTGGGTATGACGCCTCGAAGGAGCGGTCTCCTCACTCCTAATCTGACGTGCTGTTCTTGTTCCTCCGTTTCCCGGAAGAGGAGTTGAAGCAGATACCAGGCGTCCAGAGCAGCGTAGCGCTTTTGGTCCGCGGATAAGGGCCGCTGTGCCCAATCTGAGCACTGCTCCGCTTTGGACATCTCGTGCCCGAGCTCTTCACGCACGCGGGTCTGCAACGACGGCAGCTGGTCACGAGCTTTTCTCACAGTGCTACTTCGCTTGTTCTCATTCCCGCGCGGCCCATGCGAAGAAGAGGATGAAGAAGCCGGGCTTGTTTTCATCGCGCCCTCCGTCTCGTCTTCGCGGTGATTCGGGCTTGCTGACGAATGTTGAATTTCTCCCGGAACAATGGTTACGCTTATGCCCGAATCCGATTCAGACACGGGAGACGGACTGCGAGCAAGGACGGACACATCAGAGACCCGCGGCTGCAGGTCCACAACGGCATAGTGCAGGTTCTTGGGCTGCTGCCACCAGGCAAACGAAACTGCGATTTTGGCCAAATCGTTCATCGGGGCGAAGGCGTACATGCGCTCAGACGCCAGAATCCACTCTAGGAATTCCATCAGCAACTTGCTCTGCCGAAACTGCTGAATGTCGAAGAGAAAGATCCGGCAAGATGATGAGGAACAATCTCTCCTTCCCGCAAGAGCATCATCTCCTTGGCTTCGTTGTCCGGCGGGTTGTTGTCTCGCCGATGGTTCTGTGTTCGGCGCAACACAGATCGAGAGCACCTGGAGAAGGTAGTCTCCCGGCCGCCACTCGCAATCGACACACATGTATGAAGAGAGAGGGAATTGAATCTTCATGGGCACCAACTGAGATTTGACTTTGGCAAGCAACACAGACCGTCTTGCAACGGCAATAAGGCTGCAAGATTATAATCGCTTTTATTCGAACTTCAGCGGAAATCAATTTTTTCGTTCTTCTCGAACAATGTGGTGCTAGCAGGGAAGATTTGTCTTCTAAGAGTAGAAATACGCTATCCACTATCTTTTCGCATCGAAGAAAACCGATCGCGCGTTCTAACTGGTCCTCCGTATCAACCCACGTTGTAGCCGAGTGCAGCGCGGCAAGATGCAGCCCGTCCTCCGGTGGCGTGTCTGCATGTTGTGCGCTGTGCTGGCCCTCTCCGTGCTCAACAGCTGATGTGGAGAGCTCTAGTACCTGAACTTCACCTAAAACTGCCATAGTTTCCCCCTCGTTCCTGCAGGAATGCTCTTCTGTCGTGGGCGAGTCGCACATGCGGCCTGGTGGAGGCATCGTGTTCAAGCAGCAGGATGGATCCGGCATGTGATATCTAACCACTGTGTCGAAAACCTAGTGAGTGAATGACTTATTCAACTGACGGGGCTACTGGAGGGAATTATTGAGTTTCTATTCTGCTACGTTTCCTGAGCAGCGTGAAAAAAATACACAACCGAGGTCTTTGCCTGCTCATGGGGCGACTGTGTGAAACAACGATCCGGTAGAAAAAACATCATTGTTGATGTGTGGACCACACATACAACGACATCTTTAGATTCAGTTTGCAATACAAGAAGCATCTGATCGTCCCTGCCTGGAGATTTCAAGACTTCTACGGATGAAAAAGTGTGCTGCTGATAAATAGTACGGAATACTTTTGATTTGCGGGGCCACCTGGTTCGGCTTCAAGATTCGATTCTCGGACATAGATCTCAATGACCGAGATTTGTTCAACAGTGTGTGCCAAGTGTGAAGATGATCGCGATCATCAGAGCGCCCACACAGCTATCGGATGTGTTGGCAGTTAACGATATGCAGATTGATCGCTATCACGAATTTTGCAACATCCTCCACAATTGATCTTCTGCGGCACGGCCACAAACGAGCCTCATAGGGACAACAGAGACCGATCACGAAGCAGTCTGTAGTAAGTACTCTCATTGCTCACAGAGATATGTAGTTCATACTGCTCGGTCGATAATACAACTGACAGTCTTCCTCATCAAACTATAGTATGACGCGTCGTGCCCGCGACTTATTACCTACAGGACCAAAAAGCCTAGGGCAAAGTTTGCACAGGAATTCGCTACGACAATAGAGAATCTAGGTGCATACCAGTACAAGAGTTCTGCTGCCTCTCAAACCGATGCTCGTTCAGGTCGGAAAAAACCCGTTACTTACTATACAACGGGACGAATGTTGGCACTTATTCATGCTACTACAACTTACGTACTCTACTTACAACGATACTGCGTATATGGCGGGACTGCATGGCCATTGCGTGTTTAAAAATGCGGACGGCGTCATCTTCTGTAGTGAAGCCGCTTGATGACGGAGCAGGGAGGAAGTTGCGAGCGGCCACGAGAATCTCCAATCGCAGGCTGATGACGCTGCTGGGCGGGGTGTAACCTGATCCAGTATGTGTGTTTTTGGAATAGCCGACCATTTTTTTCATATCATTCCTTGCCTGTGACGCATTTTTCGACATTTTAGAAGATTTGTCGTCCGGGTTGAAAAGTGGTGACAAACTCCTTCCGACAACTGCCTGTACGTTAGTGCTCAGGTGGCAACAATAGCGCTCTTTTGTAAGAACGAGTCTCCACCTGACCGACTGCTAGTGACCGAGCGCTAGTCAGATAGTGGAGATTCGAACATTTTTTAAACACAACCCCATCTGCACACGACCTTCGCAGCATAATACTTTTCTAAATATAAGTATGCGAGATTGCAAGAAGATCTTGTCTGCGCTCTGTCATGAATTCTGTCTGCAACGTCGGAGCTTGAGCTGCATTGCGACACCTACTTTCGCTCTAATGAATTTCGAATCACAGCCGGCTGCATGATCTCAGCTTGTACTGCTCAGAGGTTGGTGCGACATCTTCAGTCTGGTTTTTTCAATCTGACTACGCACTAAGGACCGCACGCGAGTCGGACGAAGCTTGAAAAATAAAGAGTCGTGTTCCTCATCACAGGAGCCATCATTGATCTAAAATTGCAGCGCAGAAGTGCTGCGCCTCAAGTTGCGTGTAGGGTATTTTTTCTTTGCGTTGGGGTTTGGCCGTGCAATTATTTCCTGGCCGTCGAGAAGCCTCTAATACAACATCACTTGTTGCGCTGCAGCGTTCTTCGATAATAACCTTAGGAGATACTTACAACTTCCTGGTTCATAAGTCCTGCCGATGACACTGCCTGCAAAGTGGTGCTCAGCTGCACTCAGTCTGTATTTCTCCACCTGACCGACTGCTAATAAAACCGAGCGCTAGTCAGATGTGGAGAGATCGAAAGGACGAGGAGACAAGGTTTTGTGATCTTCACACCATTGCGATTGCAGGAGCACGTCATAGTCCTCTAGAGTTACGTGCAACATAGGTTTTTCCTGTAAAAGTGGTGACAGAGTCCTGCCGATGACACTGCCTGCAAAGTGGTGCTCAGAAGTCAATATTTCTTTGTAAGTCTCCACCTGACCGAGGGCTAAATAAAACCGAGCGCTAGTCAGGGAAAGACATCTGCTTTTTCGTCATCTTCACACCCTTGCAGGAGCACGGCATAGTTCTCTGTAGTAGAGATATGCAACATGATCTGCCCTCATATCTTTGTTTTTTCTGGGACCACATGATCTTCTTCAAGCTTGAGCTTCTATTGATAGACTATAACTTTTCGGCTGTTCTGCTCCCTTCACTACTATAGTAAGTTGCTCTTCAGTGCAGGAGATCGTAACGGAAGGTTTCTGACCACCAGAGCGGCTGCAGCTCGCTGCTCAGAGCTTGCTACGGTTTTTTGGCTTTTCATCCTATCTGACTGCGCAGAGCGGAATAAATACCACACTTGCAAGTTCCTCATCACATGAGCAGCATTTCGCCTTATGGAAAAAAATAACTTTCACCACTGTTACAATTAACTCAGATGATTGCGTTGTTTTCAATTGGTATGATCCATCCCTTACCGCTCTTTTCAGAGCTACACAGCAGAATTTCAGGAGAAAGCATGCGCCTAGTACTAGCGCCATTGCTGTCGTTCTAGTAAGCTGTAGCCCATCATCAATGCGGAAGGCGAAGGGATTTTTTTTCTAGAAAGAAATAGGTATCATTCAAATGCAGTACCTGGTAGATCATGATCAACACACACCTTTCCACTGTAGCGCTATTGTCGACGGCCAACCATTTGACCAGAGAAACACTATAAACGCACAGACACAACAACCTGAGGATGTTTGAAAACGCGTGCGAAAAACAGAAATACCTGTGCGGCCACTCGGCTAACAGTATTGGTGGAACCAAAACGTGGAAGAACTTGCGCATCACGCAGAGCTCGAGTAAGTAGGTGGCGCGGCCCAGATTCATCATTTTTCTGCCTCTCGATCTTGCAGAAAATTGCCGCGGCGAGTGAGACTTTCATACGCCCCTTTTCTCCATGGATTTCGGTCGGACCGGAAGACTCGCTCGAGAAGCGCGACGAGCTCCCGGCGCTGCTCCACGCGTGTGCAGGGAAAATCTTCACCTCGCCAAGTTTGTCCTGCCTGGCCGGTGGTGCGGCCAAGGTCAGCATGCGCTCTTTCCAGCACCGGCCCAAGCGACGTCACCGGCATCTTCATGTGGTCTGCAGTGGGCTCATTTTCCCGTAGTTCTGATTCCCCAAGAAAGTCGCGCAGCTCCGCTACAGCAGCACGCACGTTCTTGACCGCGATGTTGAATTGGACAGCGACATGCGGGAGCGAGAACGCGCACGGACTGTGTTCATCGTCCTGTCGATCGGATTGACGCAGCCCGGTAGAAGTTCTTGCGATCGCCCGTAGGGACACCTGGTTGACGCACTCAAAGGTAAATTGTTCGTCCAAAAAGCGGGTGCTGGCCGAAGGCGATCCCGATCTCGCTCTCCCGCCGCTGCGCTTGGAATAGATGCAATGGCGCTGCCACGAGTTCTGATGTTGTCCTCTGCAGTCATTCCCTATCATGTCCGGTAGTTCCGCGGTGAATGGCGCGGCGCTCGGGATACTTTTCGTGTAAAGGACGTGGACGTAGTTCTTGCAGGGCTCATCTCGTCGTGGTCCTGCTTCAACACCCGCTCCACCGTGGCTTTCGCCTGACGTTGTAGACATTTCACCTCCTGTACCTCCGGGGCGTCTTGTAGCCGCACCTCCGCTGGTCGTGGGAAAGAGCACCTGATCCACCTCTTGCGGTGTGGTCAGGAAGGGGTCTGATGCAGCTCTCGACGACGTCTCATCTAGAGCCAGTACTGACCATTTGAATAAACGAGCTGTCGAAGGAGTGCGGGGGCAGCTCGACTGCGTAGTTGTACCGAAATTATCCCTCACCAGCTCGCCCACGATGCAGTGTCGGCGGGAAACGTACACGGTTTTCCTGTGTGGCCAGCTGCGCACGTAGATGCCGCTGACGCAGGCCGGCGACCGTACGACGAAGGAATCCGGATGCACAAGCTCCGCGTTGCGCGATAGTGAAAGAGGCGACGACGGCAGAAGCGGTTCTTCTTCCGCGGTAGGTTGTGAGTCCCTAGTACCTTCTCGTAGCAGCGGTTCTCGCGAGGGTGTGACCAGAGTGGAAGATGAAGCAGGCTCGACTTGTTTCAGAGCGGATGAACCAACGCCTGCATGCGCGGACCGCGGTTCGACGCTTCTTGACTCCCAGGGATAATACTCGAGCAGTTTTTCTCGAAACGGGCCTTCCATTCGACCTCGCAGTTGCTCGAGCTTGCCCTCATCTCGAGAGGAAAACGCGTTCCACAGTACGGTGGCTTCCTCTAGGCCAGAATTGCTTGCCGCTGGACTCTTGCTTTGATTTTCGGTCGTGGACACCTTCGATTTCATTCTGAGATGCGGGCTGTCCTTGTCAGTAGTACCCGAAGTCGACGACACTTGTTCAGACGGATTCTGAAGATGACGGGTGTAGTAGTCTTTTAGATCCGCCACGAACGTTGAGCACCCGCCAACGATTTCTGGCAGCTTTAGTAGCTCGGAGTAGGAGCAGATTGTCCGATCGCCATCATATATCTCCAGGGCAACCTGCAGGGACACCTTGCGCCAGAGTAAAAAGCAAAAAGGCCATCGCTACGAAGCAATCGCGTTTGCTCCTGTCAGCATTCATTTACGAACAAAATTTGCCGGAAGAGTTTCATTTTCTATTTTCTACATCCTTGTTCAGGATCACGATTTATGCTGCAAGTCAGGCTGTGGCAAAACGTAGAAATATAGCAGACTTTATTCCACAGCAGCACATACACATAGAAATAAATCGCAGAGCGATAATGTAGTGACGGCCTTTTGCGGGTTCTTGCCGTAGTCGTCGGAGGCAAATCAGTTGGGCGAACTTGGGCTGCAAAGCCTCGTACACTGACCATATGTAGTTCTTGTTTGTCCACCTGGGTCGCGCAGACGCCGCTCTTTGGGCCGCGCCTGGTGTGTTTATCTGCGTTTCGTCTGCGTTCCCGCGGCTAGTCCATGAGGTCAAGTTGCCCTGCTCCGGAGGTAGAGGGTCCGTAGGAGGCGGTAGTTTTGATGACTTTGTTTCATCCACCATGGAAGTCGGAGATGCCAGCGTGACAACTCCCTGCGTCATAGTTGCATGAGCCATAGGTGCCTTTGTGCCTGACGTGGAGAACTTACGTGCTGCTTCAACGTCGCCTCTTTGTTCCGCGAGCCGCACCTCTCGCTCGAGGAGCTCCGTGGTTAGCACTTTTTTCTTCAGGCCCATCTTCGCAACCTCGGCCAGCCATTCTTGGACGCGCTCTCTGGCAACTCGGGCATGATCTTCATCGGTGATTTTTTCGTTTGGCATATGAACGTCCTCGTGATTGAGGATGTTTGTTCCACGCGGAGGCCGCGTCCCCGGGGATATGACCACGTTCTGGTCGACACCTTTCATCCGTTGTCGAAATTTCTCGAAAAGGAACCGGTATTCTCTTGCCGTCACCCGGGGCGGACGATGTAGCGACACGCTTGTTCCCGGAAGTTTTTCCATAAAGGCCTGAAGCTCTCTCGCTGAGCGAGGACCTAGTCGTCCTTCATAGCCCTGGTCCTGGCAGTACTGGAGGATTTTCCGCCACTCCGCCCTTTCTTGGTACACTTGCAGCGTCACGGCCTCGTCGCGTGTCGTGTACCGGGGGTGTCGTAGTGTGTTCCCGCCACCAGATTTTGTTTCTAGATTTATATCAGGCTGCACCACTACTTCTGAGGATCGCCTCCTGCACGTTGCCATGTTCCCCGCTCCTGTCTCAGGACTGCGATAGGTACTCGCGCCAGCGTCTCCTCCTGAGGTAGCCATGCCATCTGGGTCTGATTTTGAGGAGCGATTATAGTGTTGACGGATTTGGATTTCATCTTTACCACCGCTCGCGGCGTCTCTCTCGTGCGACGGCAGCGCTGTCGTGTTTTTCCCGAATGCATCGAGGTGGTAGGGGAAGCGAAGGGGCAGACCTGCCCGGACGGCGATGCCCTTCCAGTGCGGGTCTGCAAAGGCCATCAGCAGGTACACGTCCTCATACCCGTTGGCCTCCCAGAACGGTAACAACTCGAGATATCGACTTGGGAAAAAACAAATCCTTTTGTCGCGCATTCAAACAAGATGAAGTGCTACATCTATATCGCGAACGGGTCAAAGTGCTTCAATACAAAAAAAACATAAACGTTTATCTACCGATGCAAACACTCTTCGAGAAGCCTGTCGGCTCGGGCGGTCCTCTATTGTCCACGGAGAAAAAAAGCTTGCTCTTCGTGTGGCGGTAGAACCTTCAAATACTTCTTACAGCTCAAAGACTTAGTTTGCCATACGATATCGAAACCCAGGGCTTTATGTGCGCCACGAAGTCGGGTAGCACCTGTTCGGGATGGAGGTGGTCTGGGAAGCAGTCCGCACAGCGCTGCAGGAACAGGAAGATTTGGCACCCGAGGACGACCCGCTTCACGGCGTTTGGCACACTGTATCCGACAGTCAGAAGCAGATCCGATGGGGGGCTCGCCGAATTGGTCCCGCGCATCGTAGCCGCGCGCTCTACTTTGGCCGAACGAGCATCCGAGTTTTCCATTTTTGAGTTCCTGCAGGTTTCTTCTTGCCGGCAGCTACCAGCTGGGACTTCCTCTACTCCAGCTGCTTCTGCCCGCGGATATTTCATTGCCTGTCTATATTTGACTAGGGCGGCCTGGTTCCAGCAGCTGCTTTGCATACGCATGTTCTCCTGCGCTTCTTTCGAACCATCTATCTCAGCGTTCCGTCGTGCGCCATCATCTTCAAAAACGTCGTTGGCCCCGCCGTGCTGCGTCACTTTCTTGAAGAATTGATCGTCGGTAAAGCCAATTGGTGGTGGTCTTGGAGAAGTACAGGCAGGAGGCTGCTGTGTCCTGAGCGGGACGACCTTCGAAGAATTTCCGTTAGCACCGACCACTGTTGTCGCTGCATCCTCCGTGAGCAGCGTAGTAGTGCCGACCACGGGGTGGTTTTGAAAAGTACCGGTAGCAGTCGTACTGGCACCACCTCCCCCTCCTGCACGAAGATTTCCAGTCAGCCCCCTTGCTCGTGGCGCAACGAGACCTCCGTGGGCCACGGCTGCGTCGCTGCCGCCTTGTTCGGACTCGACTTTTGCCATGACTCGCCCTCCTGGGAACGAGAAGTCAGACTCTTCGCTAGATGAAGGTGTAGTGGAGCCGCTCTCCTTTCTGCTGCTGCTTTTGCGCGGTGTGTCGAAGCATCCCGGACGACCCGGTTCGTGGGATGTGGCTGTGGCTGCTTCCGTGGGCAGCGGATGCTCACACTCTGTAGGCACTGCCAGTTTTGGAAGTTCTTCCAATGCCGCTCCTGCGGCCTCCTTCGGCAGCACCGGGTTCATCTGATGCTTGCAGTCGGTAGTAGCAGCACCGCCTGCATCCTTTCGTAGTTTTTGTCTCTCCACTGCAGTATGTCGATCAAGAAACTCGTGGAAACGGCGGATGCCAGGCCCGAACTCCTCCTGCAGCTGCGGATACCGCAGACCAATACCTCCGTGCTGGAAAAGGCCTAAGCGATGCGAGACGAGTCGCTCGCAGAAATGCACGATCGAGTTGGAACTGGCTAGGTAGTTTCCGAGAATCGCTTTGGCCACACTGCGGGCCTCCTCGTCGCATACACCGAGGATCGCATCACAAAAATTGAAAAGAATCAACTTGTTGTCGTGGTTTTGCGAGTCGTCCGGCAGCGGAGCGGTCTGGTGTCGCAGTCGCGGCAAGCTGTGCCGGTCATTTATCCTCCCGGACACGGTTGGGGACGTGTGGATTGACACCGCCTTTCTTTGCGGCCAGAGATGGCACTCCGTGTGTTGCTCGTTGTTAGAACTCAAGGCGATATTAGCTGACTTCGTGTAGTCGGAACCCTCGTCGCAAAAATCCCGGTGCATTTGGAGCATCCCCGTTGACGGCTCAATGCAGCTGGCATACCTGGTAGACGTGTAAGTAGAACCAGCAGTAGAATTCGATCCACTTTTATACGTCAAAATTTTAGGAGAAGAAGCATGAGGGCGGAAAACTTGTGACCGGTATAGCTCCGGGTTCCGCTTACGGGGTGCACTCAAGCTGCAGGGTTTCGTCTACTATCAACAAACATAGTTCCTGCTCATTTTCATTTACTCGCTCTAGTTCATTGCTAATACATCACCGGCGCTACCGATCGCAAAGACCGTCCCTTTCGGCCGCCTTTTTTCGGTCCGGGAGGAGCCGCGTCACCTCCAACACGACGTTGTTCGGCGACTGCGCAGCCCGCGCTAGCATGTCGCCGACCCTCCGGGCCTCGACCGGCGTCCGGACGCAAATGTCTTTTTCCCCATTCACCGCGAGAAGCTTTGCGTAGGTGGGGAACTCGTGCTCGTGCTTCGCTAGTGCGCTCAACACAAGAGCTATGGCCCTGCCATCGTCCTCCGCCTCTTCCGCTTGTTCTACTCCGCGCAGAAAACATTTTTTGTCGATGAATCGCAGTACTACATTCCCGTCACACGTCACGGTGAGCACTTCTGCGCAGCGAGAAAAATCCCGTCCCGATTCGCAGGTAATGAGCCAGCTGGTGTTCCACGCGATAGACTGGCAGCTACGGGTGCCAGCATCTTCCAGCTATGCAATGCAGAATCATCGTGGTCGCTATTTCGTAAAACTAGTACAGTCAATTGCACGGAAAAGTAAGAGGCAGCAGGTGAAGATTGGTCATGAAAAAATATATATCAGAAGTACGATAACGACGAGAGAACGCGATAGTTTTGCACCGGATCATACCAAGATGGTGGTCGGAAGCTCGTGTGCCCTTCGCCAATACGTCGGTCCGATGCCACCCGCGTTGAAGTACCAAACGGCGCCATACGGCTCGGGGTAGGTAGTCAAGAACAACATTTTCGAAGCTTCTTGTAGTGAGGACCTGCAGCTCGTGGTCCTGGGGCTTTTGTGTGATGCGGACGGCGGCATTGTGTTTGTGTACGTGTTATTTCCGCAGAAAATGTTGTGACGTTTCTTATCGCGCTCTAGACGAGGAGAGTTGTCGTGGAGAAAACGTCGCTCGAATAATTCCTGGCTGGTAGGTGGGGTCGTGCAAGATAGAGTGACCGTGTGCCGCGAGAAACGGACAGAGAAGTTGGTCGTCGATCCGGCATTTTTTAGCACATCACGACCAGACGAATTTGCGCCGTCTTGTTGAATCACCCCGCACCGCCACGGTTCGGGTCCGCGGAGTCGCAACGAAAGTTCTTCAATCTGCAGGTCTTGTTCCCTTATTTCTTCATCGTCGCTCTCGCTGCTAATAGGGCGCGGAGGACCCCAGCTTCGTATATTTTGGATTTTTTTTGTCGAGTGATGAGTAACACACTATGCGGTTTTTACTGATGATGCAGATGAAGAAGTGAGTTTATTCATTCGAAAAAGGGCTGTACTGTTTAGAAAATGACCATTTGTGTGTAGCAGGCCTGGGCACTATATAAGGAAATCAAAATGACGTTCGGCAAATGTTGGTTTTTAAGGAAAAGTTCACTGGAGCAATTCTTTTGGTAGTTTTTTTTCAATGCTCTACCTCGTCTTGAACCGCCGACCGGGTGCTCCTCCCGCAAGTCGTTTCGCCGGATGCATTCCGAGGACGTGAAGCTTTGGCACCGTACTAGCGCCTGCACGACCCACCTCTTGCTCAGTCGCGCCGGCGATCGCCTGACGATCGCCTGCGATCACCCGCAGCGCTGTAAAAATCGTGACACTAGAAGCGCAGCGGGATGAAACGGTTTCGTGACTGCATCCCCGGGGTGGAATAGTAGAATCGGCCACCGTCGTAGTCCAACCCGTCCCGGCGCCGGCCACGCTGCTTTGTCTGACGACGTCGTGCAGCAAAAGCTGGTAGTTCCGTCGACTCAACTCGGACGTGGCTGCCTGATCGCTTTCGTCCCCTGCGTTCCGGCCCTTGTAGTTCGTGTTTGGCCCTGCCGCAACGAGCTTCCGTGCCGCCGTACTGGTGCTGCTTTTTGCCATGACCGCCACCCACGTCGTGCGCTTCGCCTCCTCTTCCTCTGAGGCGAATCGTTTGAATGCCGCGGAATGATGATCATGAGTTGATGTAGATGTGGTAACACTTCTGGGTGAAGAAGAAGAAGAAGAGGGTTTCTCCACCGGCTCTCCTGGTAGTCCTCCCGACCACCGGCTCTTTTCAAGGCTGCACCAGACTCGTTCCCCCCGCTGCCGCACTTTGCGTATCTCGTGGTACGCCTGCACACAGTCCTCGTTCGCGAACGCGAAACTGGAGAACAGGCGGTAGAGCAATCCGTTGTCTACTCCTTCACACACGTCCTGCTGGCCGGCGGCCTGACGGCGTGGTTGGTTTTGTAGTGCGGTTCCAGTTTCACTTCCAGTTCCGCCACCCGCTCTCCGGGGGTCGTGTGTTTGCGTCATTGCGCGGGATGTTAAACTGGACGACATTAAAAATTGCAGTTCAGCTTTCTGCTTTGATGGATTTTGCTCCGTCGGCGACGCGGCGACCAAAAACGCTCCATACTTCACCTCGCGAAGCAATTTCTCGCGGATTTCCGGACAAATCGCGTACAGGAACGGGAATACGTCTTGGATTCCGAAGGCCTCCACAAGAACTTGCTGCGGTTGGTGTACACAACCGTCGCCTCGGTCCGGCCTCGTGCCGACTTTGATGACCTTGCCAATGGCGGCAACACTGTGCTGCGTATCCATTGCAAAAGGAAAAGCTGTATCGGACTTTTTAGTGTAAATCGCATGACAAATGGAAATTTTTGTACGAAGGTTATTTCAGAATCAAATAGATTTTGTGATGCTCAATTGGGTAGGAAAGCAGATCTGTCATGCATAAATGCGATTCGTTGTACGATCAGCATGATACTTTGGCACAGGTGGATACTGTTTGTGATCACGCAAAAGCAGCACTTCGCCCAGAAGCTCGTCCTCATCCACAGTCAGGAAATTTGTCATCTTGTTCTGGTGTTTTTCGATGGATACAGAAATTTTTTGGTTTATCCTTATTTCGTTTTGTCGACAATAGCGACGAGAACGGCGTCCTATCTTTGACTTTATAGTGACCCTATCCCTGCTACTATTTTATGTGTTTTTTATAGTTCATCATTCCGCTGTCCATGATTGCTGGGTAAAGACATCATGTTGGTGACACCACCTACAAAAGACACATTAAAATCGCAGTGCGTGTGTGTCAGTGTTTTGAGGATCATAATCCATAAGTACGCGACGCAAACTGAAATGTAAGCACACACAACATGATGCATACGAATATGAAAATTTGTTGATTCTGAAATGGTAGGTGGCATAGGATAGGATCCTAAGAAGCAAATAATTGATGTGATTCGCAGATTTCGCTGAACTTTTTTTCATCCGGAATGGCGTTGTATTCCGTTTTGTTGTATTCATCTTCGGTTTTGCAGAGTTGCGCGTGTGTGCTTGCAATGCGGCGTTTTATCGTCGGCCATCGCTTTCTTGCTTCGCCTTTTTGCGAGTTTTTTGTTCGTCAGTAATCTACGAGGCTGAAAAATGGAAATCTTTGAGAAAGACGCTTTCTGTTAGGAACACCACCGTCAATGCAGACGAAGAAGTATTAATTCGGCAGCGAAAGCAGTTGCTGCAGCGTCTCGTCTACTCATAAAAATCTCCATATTTACATCCAACGCCAGAGTCGTCAAACAAATCCGATAGGATTTGAACAATCTCGTATATGTACAGTAGGTTCTTTTCGAATGAAATAATCGCTAGTTGTTGATGCTAATTTTAGCCTTTAACCGTCGTTGGATGCTCATTTATTTCGCTGGTAATCTCATCGGTAACTCTATTCTTAGTTTCTACAAATTTAGCTTGTATAAATTTCTATTCGCTGAAAAAAAATTCATTTCTGGAAAACGCTTTCTTTGCTTTGCCGAGGTATCTCTTCGTTAGGTTTTATCTTTCTCGCGAACTATTTTGTAGCCATCATTTACATGACCGCATTATACTCTATCTCCAGGTGGCAAGGAAATTTAGTGGTCATCAACGTCAATATACACATCGACATCACTTGCAACATCTACTGCTAGTCTGGAACGGGATAAACAAAACACTGTCTACAACAACCATAGGAAGTAAGTGGAAAATCATCGACCCTAATTCTGCGGTGAACGTGATCGTTAAGCAACCGCAGCGCAAATAACAATATCAGGCCTGCCTAGGTTACTTTCACAGATCACTTCTTCTTGAGTTCCGAACAACTCTAGCCTGCTCGACATAATTCAGGAAAAGAACTCGAATTCGAGTTCTACCGCAAGCTCGTGACTACCTATGCATTGCAAATCTCCCGCGACGTCTGGAAAAGTGCAACTTGTCATGCTTCCTTTGGATTCGGACAAACGTGCGTGAACGTGACAAACGTGACAAACACTCTTCCAGACCCAGACAGATTTGCATCTGATACTGCCAGCGGCCGTCCCGAAGAGGTTTGCGTTGCCCTGCCCGGTTACCAGCGTGTCCCGCGGGTCGCCGATCTCGAACAGATCCACCGTTGCTATCAAGTTGTTCCCGAACATCACTACATTGACTGCTGCTACGTGCTTTTGTAATGCCAGAATAGCAATTGCAATTACCAAAAGGGCGGAGGGTGATAGTCAAAATTACAGAATTGCATGACAATAAATTCTGTAGCAGCACCAGACAATGTAACGTTTGAGAACTGCATAGCTACGACCCCCTTGACTGCAACGGACCCGCCAAACGCGGAAAACGTGGTACTGTTCTGCAACAGGTAGTAGGATATGCATTGAAAATAGGTCTAGAGATTTGAGAGTAGATTTCGAGTGAAAATCTGCATTGCTCATTTGATTTCGAGTACTGTAGAGAAAATTCAAAATGCCGCATGACAAACCAAAGGTAAGGTACTAGCAGTTCCTCGTGTAATGCAGAAAAGTGTATGTTGTCACGACCCTGTACTATCCGTAAATTCGCCATGCGCAGCTACTGCGTACTAAGTAAAGCTACATCAAGTACGACCCTTCTACTAGTCCCAGACGCAATTCTTTTTGCAATGAATATCGTAAGCCTTCTCCAACACCACGCGCCGGCGAACGGAGGCGAAACCGAGGTCGACGGTCACAGTGAGGAAATGCGTATCACCAATTTCGTAGTGAGCAGCGGGTAGCAGCGGCAGACTCGTACTCGTTTTCTTCTTCCCGCACGAAGCACGGACCGTTCCGCCGAGAGGGTATGGACTGTAAAAACTCCTCCTGATTGCTTTTGTCGCTCACTGTGTCAGCATGACAATAGATCGGGTGCCGAAAAAACTAATTTTTGCTACGTCTAGCTTTTTTGTAAGTATGGTCCGGTATATTAATTTTGCATTCCCGGATCTACAACAAGCACCGTAGCGACCACGGGCCACACAGATTTTATGAAGTATCGTACTATGTACATTTTTGTTTTCTAGAAACGCAGCAGAAACTATGTTAGTAAACAACGGTGACTACGAGAGAGGGGCGTTTTGTCTTTGGATAAGCTCCCATCCAAGTTTACAACACGGACGACCTGCATGTAATTGGTTTTTTAGTTTGAGACTTGCAATGCTATATGTCTTTTTTCTGCATGATGACGTTGCGCCATTGGATATTAACAAAAGAGTAGGCGTGGGCCTGTAGGCCTAAATTCCGGTCGGTTGGTCGGTCGGTTGGTTGGTTTTGGACAGACGACAATTGACCGAATTTCCGACTTATGGAAAAACGCATATCGGTTTCGGATTTAGAAGACAACCGCAACGGCAAGGAGGGCGAAACACGATAGGGGGGTGGTCGGGGCGCGCGGCGCACCTGCCTCCCTACCGGGGCTGCAGCCCGCCCCTGCGAGGCTGGTAGCGCCGCATCCTATCGCCGCCCAGTAGGCACTTCCGCCAGGGCGGCAGAAAGGTCTCGGCAGAAGGAGAGTTCGATGTGTCCACGCAACACAGACGCAAATCTGTGTTGCGTGGACGCCAATCTGTGTTGCGCGCGCCACAGATCTGTGCTGCGCGCAGCTCGCCGCAGACACAAATCTCCGCTGCGTGCGCGCAGCACAAATCGGCGTTGCGCGCAAATCTGTGCTGCGTGTTGCGCGCAAATCTGTGCTGCGCGCAGCTCGCCGGAGACACAAATCTGTGTTGCGTGGGCGCGCATCTGTGTTGCGCGCAACACAAAGCAGTGTTGCGCGCAGCTCGCTGCCGACACAGATCTGTGCTGCGTGGACGCAATCGGAGCTCCAGGGGGCCTCGTGAGAGTTTGCGCCTGTCTGTGAGATAGAAAGAGGTCGGGGCTCCAATGCTGCATTTTTCTCCAGCCACGGCCTGCGTTTCCTCAACCCAAGCAAAACACACTTGGGAAATAGAGACAAATTCGCGCAAAATTTGGATCAGCCCCCGCTTGGTCAAGCCGAGCGGGGGCTTTTTGCGCAACCCCTTGGCTTCGCGAGTCCCTTGCTTGCAAGCCCCCTGCTAATAGATTGGGCCATAGGCGACGCACGCTCGCCCCACCCCCTCCCCCCCCGCTTGGCAGGTGGGCTGGTAGGTCGGTAGGCGTGGC